GTGTTTTGAAAATTTTTCACATAATTCATCACATTTCACACTAAAATATATTAATTAATGAATCTGGGTGCCTTTCAACTTTCTTCAACACTAAAGAAAAAAAAAGAATTTCATCAAAAAAATAATAAGAGAAAATATATTTAGAAAAAATACTAATACTAAGAAGAAATTAAAGAGAAAAGAAGATTTTTTGCAGGACCCCACTGAAAAACACTATAAGGTGATGTGGGTATCCTGGTTAAATATAATAATAATAATAAATAATAATAATACCTGGCACTTGGTGGACAAGATAAAATATTTCGAAACTACTGCCGTACATCTTCACATGCAATAACACCAGACAAAGGTTGGCTTTGCCGTGAAACATGTCGGCAGTAATCGGGGTAGTCCCATGAGGCCCAACTAAATCACCTTTCCCCTAAAGTTATTCCCCTAAGATCTAGATGAAGAATCAACAGAAAGTCCCACCCTAGCACGCAGTCGTAACTAATGTTATCCGATACTAGAAATTCAGTCGTATATAACGTGCTCTACGATTTATTTCAACAGACGTATTAAAACTACCTAATATATTTAACGCATTGCCAGTAATTGAGACACGCTTTATAGAGTTACGCTTCAGTCTACTATGGCATGCACGTACATGCGAAGAAATAGAATTGTGTGTCTATGTGTCTTTCACAGGAATACCTACTGGCTTTCCGTTTCTTCCTGTAACCACGCGCTCTTTGCTACTACCACCCTTTTGCGACTGAGCAGTCTGAGAGCAAGAGCTGCGGGGATTCGGCGGCATGTAGCCAAATAGACGTACATGCTCTTCTTGAACACTCAAACGCGAACTAGGCAAAGTTGACATATTTGACCGATTGTTCGAAGGCATGTTTAACACTTGAGAGGCCGGTTGTCTATCACTGCAAGCTATACTTTGGCCAGGCGACTCTGCATTACTATTATTTAATAACTGTACCGCATTTAAAAGATTCTGCGCGCACTGTCGTAGAATGGTTTTCGTATCCTGTTGACAACTCTCTTGGTTCTCCGCCATATTTGCAAGTCTGGCGCGCTTTGCGATAGCACGTGACAAAAAAGCAAGTTCGAAGAGGTTCATGGGATGTTTGCCGAATGATGTGCATCCGAATGAAATAGTAATCGTCGGAATGACAACAACACGTTTCCGAATAAAAAAGTCTATACCCGAGTAAGAAAGTCTGTAACCGAATGACCTTAAGTTGATCGCTGTTTTCATATTAGCGATGATACTATGCCCGTCAATTCAATGAATTGAATTTTGGCACTAAAAACGCACCATATATGATTAGTGTTTAAATCGATTTTTCGGCATTCTTATAAAAAATAAACATACTATATTTATATGAATACAATACAGTAATATGAATTAAGAATATTCTCTATTTGTATGAGGCATTATAAATATGTAAATTTGTATAATACTCCTGAAGCAAAGACTCGTAAATAAATCCTAATAAAATGAAAAGAAAACGTAAACGTACACTAAAAGTACATTAAATTTCAAGTAGAAATATTGGATGTACGGTGCAATTTGTTCTGTTTATTATAATTCCAAAGATGTATATAATGAATGTAATAATACAATGAATTTTTATTAGAAAGATCGGTAAAAAAATAGTGCAAAAATTTAAAATACATGTCTTTCACCTCTAAGAAATAGTGCAAAAATACATGACTTTCAGTTTCACCAAAGGTCTATATAGTCAGGTGCCTCAATCGCGTTTTTGACCTTGTAATTCCTATTAAAGTTTACATTTAAACTGAGAGCTATCAAGTATATATATAAAGTTGCGATATTAAAAAAATATATATATTAGCAATAGCGTTTTGGCTTATCTCAATTTCTATCGGCGAATTTTATCAGTTGCCATCATTTTTTACAAAAAATAGATCTAACATTTCTGCCTTCGCGCGTATATTGAAGTTAATAGAAGAAATAAACGATACATATTTAACGGTTTTCGTATTACAGTATCGTAAGTTATAGCAAAGTCGTGAAGCTTCGAATAAAGACAATCCTTAATCACCAAGCATTGGAATAGATGTTTTACGGCAAACGTTTCGGACCAAAAAGTTTCAACGCCGTTCTGGAAGGGAAAGTGGCAATAGAAATTGTTTTGTCTCGTGCTAGAAAGAATTATCATTTCTTTCAAAGTTTTTAACAGAACAGTTCTTCACCATCTTTACTTCTTAACATATTTGCGGGCTTTCTGTGAAAATTGTTGGCTTTCCCCGACTTCTTTTATTACATCAGATCAAATTGTTCGACATTCAGCTATCAAGCGATTTAAATATACGCGGAGATTTCATAATTATGAACGCCTAATGTCCGACATCCGGCTTTGCGCTATTTCAATGCTTCGTGTGTTAAATATTAGTTGTAAATATTAAGTATTTGCTGAAAATTCAACAAATAGAAAAATTTTATGTAAATTTGATGAATAAATATCATAAATTTTTTAAATGTGAACTGTTTCCCATGTGATTGTTTTGTGTACCATATATATGGCCTAATATGCCTGGCATGCATATAAAAGCCCGGCTTACTGGTTTTTTTTTTCGCAAACATGCCCTATAGCTTTTGTGGAAATAATTTTTCTGCCTTAAGCTGGTCTGGATATCCAGTCCGCACATGTAAGGCTTCCCTTATTGCCTTAGAAACTAATTGAATGGGGTAATAGGAATTCAAATCGAATACCTTTTTTCAAATCGTTGTTCCTGTTGTAGCGTGCTAAGAAAAGCTTGTCTGTACTTCGATAGGGAGGGTGGACGTAAATTAAGTTATATATTTGTGTTTTTAGTTCGATGAAATTTTTTAGGTTGTCGTTTAAACGCATTTTCAGTTTCAAAATTGCTTTCCATGTGCGTCTGTCTACCTTTGCATGCTTGTCTCCAACATGACCATGAATTTTAAGTTTGACAATTTGTATACCAGCTTCGCAAATTCACGATTCATTCTTGGCGTCTAATCGCATTGCAGGGATTAAACTGAGCAGAGTTCGCATTTTGCACGTCGGTTTTACATCCATGCAGTAATGCCATTTCATTCTTGGTGCCATGCAAATTCCACAATTATACCCACAGCTGAGAGCTCTTTAACAGTGTTCATTTCGTTACACGGGGAGGTTTACATTTATTCTCAGGAATTTGAATACTTCATGTATCATCAACTATCAGTTTCATTATATTTGTGCATGCCACAGTATTCGAACTCGATGTTTAATTTCGATTTCAAAGAAAATCCTAGCAGGAACACAAAATACCAAAGCCGAAAAAGAAAGGGACTGCACTGCGTGACGGAGTCTGTGACGACGCGAACGTTATATAAATAAAAACCACTGATAGTTAGTATCATTGCAACTCGGTTTTTCTGTGAAGCATAAAATTCGACCATTATTTAATTTCTACAAATTTCTATTGACACCCTGTACATTTCAGTATTTCATTCCAGCGTATATTAAGCAGTTTACATTTTGCATGTTGACTTTCTACGTACAGTAATGTCATTCTATTTCTGCTGCCAAAATCTAGTATACCTAAACAAAAGGCTAGAGAGCTGTTTGGCTGTTACACGAAGCTAGAAGTTTACATAATGACATTTATACCCAAGCAATTTTAATACTTCATCGTACTTTTAGTAACATGTGCATGTCACAATATTCGATTTTCCTGTTCAGTCTTGATCACAGAGAAAATCCTAGGGAGGAAACAGCGCAAAATACCAAAGCCACGAGGGAAGTGACTGTGCATTGCCTCGCGGAGCCGATCACGGCGAACCTCAACTTCTCAAAACCACCAGCGCAGTTAATATTACAGATCAACTCTGTTTTGTACGTAATCGTTTCCTTTTCTGTGAAGCAAACCGAAGCACATTCATTGGTCTTTTTATAGTTCAGTATAGAAACATCTCTGTACGCCACGCAGACTTCTTCGCCAAAGAATTTCGCAGTCACCGCGTAACGGTTAACGTCGTGGTTCATGTCAACCACCTCATTTCGATTCAAAACTGCCGTGCTCGATGGTTTGAGATTGCACACAGCTTTTGAGCTTGACTGTGCTTGACTGCATGTATAAAGAGACAAAACCACAGACTTTTTGCTTCCAGCTTTTCCGTTGTTTTTAAAATCGCATTGATTAGATGTCGAATTAGCTATCGAGGCCGAAGCGATGATGACAAAAACCAAGACAACCAGTGCATGATATCGATCTGAACTATCTGTAAACATTTTTTAACTTGTGCTGCCACGTTATCCCTTGCTTGATAATGTTGGTGTCTTCCAAATCAAAAATTCTATTTTGTTTAAACAGCGTGTGTCGTTCCACTTCGCTTTTTATTGTAACTGCGTGGCACCAGCCGTTGTGAAAATTGCACGATACGTTGCATGATTTATTTTGTTTATTCAGGTTAAAAACTGCACCCCACCGAACATAGTTGTTTTTCAAAAACTTGTTTCTAACAGGTTCTTGCAAGGTAAAAAATGCCATTCGGAATTATTTTCGTTCAGTGTATATTTTTTTCACAATACTAATCTTCGGATGTGACACCCCCAAATTGACAATGTTATGAAAAGTTGGTCAAAATAGTGTTGGTAAAAAATTCGAGTGAACTCTTCAAATATACAACACATACAGGGTTATTTCAGAGTTACTCATGCTCGAAATAGGCCGTTTTCAAAGATCCATACTCCATGGTATTTTGAAAAATTTAGGTAGTGCCTCGTCGAACATGCGACGTGTGCCTACTAAACCCGATTTTTATACATCACACAAAATGTTCGCAAGTCCTACTAAAGAACCCGTTCTGTCAAGAAGAAAGCTAGCTATGAGAGGGATAATGGCTGTTCGGCGGTGGGTAGGCAAGTACGCGTATCGATGCCAGCTATGATGCCAGCCAATCAAAAATCACGTACCCTGTGGTTATACCAAGTTCTTCGGGTAAGTCATGCCATTTGCGGGCTCATGTTATTTTTATATGGCGATGGCGTGCTCGTAGAAAAAATCCGAATTTGAAAAGTAACATTTCATAATTTTCATTGTTTTGGTTACGATCTAGTTTTTTTCTGATGTTTTATAGGAGATCGGAATAAAAGGTATTGTGCTATTCGTGTTTTAGTTGTTGATAGTGCTTTTTTCGCCTGGATTGTACGAATATTTGTGAAGATCTAGGCCATGGAAATTGAAAAAGATGGCACAACGGATCAACCGTTGTTGGAGTTCATCTTTGTTTATCCCATGTTATTTTGCGATCGCGAGTTAGTTTAAAGCCTAATCATGTCTACAAGTCAAAACCATATAAATACAGACCGAATAGACGGATGAACTTCAGGTTTAATAAGTCATTGATATTTTTCGCCAGAGGCAGAGGATAATAATCCGATATCTAAGGGCCATTTAGATATGATTATTGTATTTAATACTTGCATACGATAGTTGTCAACCCTATATGATGGAATAAACACACATACAATTTTTTCTGAACTATAGAGTTTGCCATCAACCTCGTACCCAGACACATTTATGTTGATCAGCCTTCATAATCATACCGTCCATACGCCACTATTTAGTTGCATAATTATCAGTACCTGGTATATTCTGTTTAACCTCTGGTAGACAAGTATGAGCCTCTGGTAGACAAGCATACATATGTAAGAACTGGTGCATGTTAGGGGTGACCTCAATATTCACATTGCTATGCAAAAGTCAAATTAATATTTTTAGCCATACCCTGTTAAATTTGCACTTCTAGTTAAAATTAGATACCCTAAGTTCATGCCATAGGGTTTTCATTGGGTACTGTAGTATTGAGATGATCTTAATAGCATGTGTGATATGGAGGTTTTTTATTGTATTCTGTAAAACAATAAATACAACATATTCACAATATGAAACCATACAAAATGTCAAAAAGGATCACAATTTCTCCCTCCCCTAGCCACATAAAATGCCAGTGACATTTTTCTTTTGAGTATGGACATTGCCCTGTTAGGCATGTTTGTTCATATTTTGGGAGGTAGTATAAAAGGCTCTGTTGTGCAGATGCATGTTGATGCAAAACAGTGTGGATACAACAATATAAGGGTTGACAACATTGAGACACTAGGCTTGGTTTTTATATCATGCGACTATTCTGTCAGGGTTGTCCTGTGAAACATGCCAAGGCCAAAGAAGAGTGAAGATCCCAGTGAACCTGACCCAAAGTATGCTTCCTGGATCCTTGCCGCAATTGCCAAAGTCCGGCATCAAAAACAACGACCAAATGAGGAGCGAATTACTCACATACTTGAGATAACATATGGCGTTGATGCAGAAACTGTTGCAGAACAGTTGGAATTGTGTGTCAAATCAGGGCGCATCATCCGTGGGGATTTCAAGGGAAAGTCATCATATAAAGATCCCTCCGTAGTAACACCTGGGGCAAGTAAATCACCACGGATGCCTTCAGATTTGACAAAGAGCATAAAAAAAGCTATCAAAAATGAAGGTACTGTTCAAGTACATTAAGTCTCCTGTTTCTGCTAAAGATCTTGACTTCCAGTGTTTTCAAAATTTGTTTATTTTATTGACATTTCGCATAATTTTTAAGGTGATGAAGGTGCAACAACAACGACTATAGAAAGATACCTGAAGGAGAACTTTCCTGAGAAAACCGAGGCAGTCACGGATCTCACGGTGGCAATAAGACATGCCATTCAACGAGGTGTAAACACGGGACGTTTCGTGAAGGAGGGGAGATATGTTAAACTCTCAGAAAAATATCAAGCGAGAGAGGCGGAGAGATCTGCAAGCAAACCAAAATCCAGTGCTCAGAGAGAGGTAATTTAAAGAATGATTGAGTGGCTGTTGTTGTTCTTTGAGTGTTCGTTAACTTATATTTACATACATAGTTTTATATACAGCTATTATAATTCAATGAAGGTTTCCTTCAAAAACTTTTGGAGATTCCATCTTGTTAATTATTGAAGAGTCTGTGTGTGTTTTCACTTGTGTTGGTAGAAGTACTGTGGTTAGCGAATGATGTGATATGCATTATGTTTATTTTCGAAATTGTGTTGGTTTTTTAGTCAGCAGCACAAGCGCAATCGAGAAAACCAAGGGCGCAACCAAGCCCGTTGTGTGGATTTTGTTTGGGCACGGCAGAGAAGAATCGAGATGGCGTGCCTGAAGTTCTTATTTCTTGTGCCGACTGTGGAAATAGCGGTAAGACGAGAGATAGCCTGGTTCAAACACTGGTCATTTCCACCTTTGAATCAAAGAAACTGTTCGTGTTTATGCATGTGACCAGAGATTGCTCTTTGTACCCATAATATACTTGACAAACCTTTCTAGACCATTTAGAAATCTAAACTAAACTCTCTTCACACTTATTTCTATATAATATTTATCTTTATAATCTTTCTATAACAATTTTCGTACAAAAAGTCAAGAATGACGTCATCCGTGCATCAGTAGCTACATCAACTGTATATTCAAAAAGGTCAAAACTACCGTAAAAAATGTATAGTTCTTTGCAGAAGTTGACCAGACAGACCATTCTGTTGGGGAACGTTTTGATCCTTATAATGAAATGACAGTGAACGCCCGGAAAAAATTTAGATTGTCTATTGCATGCCTAAATACTGGACAATTCCATGTAAACCGGTCGGATATTTTAGTGAAATGACTTTCCCGCACTCTAGGTACTCTAGCCTCGCAATGATGTCGCCAACAATATCTAATCTGTGATCTTACAGGTCATCCAACTTGCCTGAAGTACTCGCCGGAACTGACAGAAAAGATCCAATCTGAGAGATGGCAATGTATCGAGTGTAAAGTTTGCTCAGTTTGCGTATCAGCAGGCAATGCGGTATGTCTGAAACTAATCTTTCACGGTTTAAAGTGTGGAAGATTTCGAACTGCTTTGCTTTATAATTTTTAGGACAATCTCCTGTTTTGTGATGCGTGCGACAAAGGGTTTCATATGGAATGTCTCAGACCACCGATGACCGACATGCCTTTAGGTAACGAGATTCCTTATTTTCGCGCCAAACATTTGCTGTTCGCTTGCACCATCTTGCGTGGACAATTTGCATGTTTGACTAATTTTCATCCAAGCAAAATGGTGTCAATAAACAATTACGCCAAGGAAGATAGTATTTTAAAACAAAATTTTCTGTATTCACTGCCAAAATTTATTCCCCCGGCTACGAAATAGTGAATAAACCTATATGTAATGAAATGAAATGTGAAATGAAGTGAACCTGACCCTCCAAGACTTTATTTTATTATTCATGGTTATACACGGTGTAATTTTTCTTGCACCTATCAATGCAATTCCACTTTTAAGAGATAAAAAATTTGACAACTATTAAACTTTCATATTTATTACACTCCTTGGACGTTTCTTATATACTTACATTTTGAAGACTTTTCTTTTGGATAGATTGATATATGTCTTTTCCGTCTCTAGGATCGTGGATTTGTTTTATGTGCACTTCGAAACCTTCGCCGAAGAAAAGAAGGGCGATAACCACGCCACCTCGAAGGAAAATACAACATACACCGAACGATTCCAAAGAGTACGTTCACATGATAACAATAACGAGGGTCTTATTTATGAGGACTTGGCCGCAGCTTTCTTCTTCGACCTTTTTTCCAGGGATAGGGTTGGGGTAAAGGCCCCGGCATTATGAATTTGCCTCCATATATGTATATTTTATACACTTACTAAAATGACAGAGGAATCTTCTGTCCATGGATTTAGCGAACTCGCACACTTACACTTATAACTAGCGAGCTTAGGTACAATGATAATATTAGTTTCAAAGACCATCCAGATATTTCATCTCGATAAATACACAAACATCCTATAACTATAGTATAGAAATTCTTGTTACCATTTATATGCTATAATTAACAGGGCACAGCGACCACACAAGTTTTCTTATTTCGTCTATATATTTAACAGATTTGGTGTTTGTCCAACCGAAGGTTGTGATGGCAGCGGTCATTCATCTGGGAAATATACAACACATCGCAGGTACTTTGGTTTTTGAGAAAACCAATTTTTGAGATAATCGACGTGTTCTGTTTGGCCTAAATTTATTTTCCGGACTAAGTATAGTACATAAAAGTATTCTAATTTGGAATAGCCGCCATGTTGGTACTTCAAATCTGTGGCTTTTCTGAATGCACAAACGTTTCTGGTTTATGGACGGCAAATTCAGTTTTAGCTACAAAAGTATTCGAATATCAGCGCAACGTCCCGTAGAACTGGTAGTATACTTTAAAGCGCGGATTATCATTCGCTCATTTTGTCTCACCTTTCTTTCCTTCGGATCCACTAGTTTGTACGGTTGCCCTGTCGCTCAGTCTTTAAAAAGACGACATCAAATCTCGGATCTCTCGCTGTCCCCGGAAAAATTCAAGGATTCAACAGACGTTACGCCAAAGAGAAGGGGCAAGGTCGGCAGACCTCGGTCATCACCAAAATCACCTACCCACAAGCGACCACCACTGCCACCAGGTATAAAGCCAACCTATGGCACATTTTACAATTCCAAACTGTTCCCCTATATTGCTGGAGCTTTAGAAAGGCGTTGAAATATAGTGCTTTTACAAAAGCGCCAAATCTTAAATCTATCACTGAGCTTTATATACTATTGCGTTCAGGTGTAACAGAAGAAGATTATTTGTTATTCAAAAAAGCGCAAGAGAAAGCAAGCAACGAGATGGGCGCTCAGCCTGTTGCCGTTCCAGGTTCGAACGCTCGCTCGCCACCCTTCATTCAATTCGGACCTTATGAGATAACCACATGGTACTCGTCGCCATACCCCCAAGAATATGCACAGTAAGTTTTAAATCTACCGGATAACTATGAGGCTGCCTGATAACTATATCAGGTTGATAGCGCACCACCCGTGCATGGGTAGATATAACATGGATTTTTTTAAAAACGTGCTCTTTGTCCACAAGGTTCTTATGCAAATCATGACTCATCTCCTAACTCATGTGAGATGATTTATTTATGTTATTTTAGGCTTCCTAAACTCTACCTTTGTGAGTTCTGTCTCAAGTATATGAAGAGCATTAGTATATTACAGCGACACAAGGTATGTTGTTGCTCAGTTTTTTCGTCTTTACCTGCAGACATGCAGCATTTACCACTGCTAATACTTGACGTCTTGACCGTCATCGAAATAGTTGCTTTCCTGTTTTTCTTTCTATTTTTGAAGTTAGTTGAAAATCCAAGCAAACAATTTTTTTAACATGTAGCTAATAGCTTTGCTATGCTTTACTCAACTTCGAAGCTGATTAAATTTCGTTTTCGTCGAATTCGTAACATGTATATACAAAAATAGAATTGATCAGTATTGCCAATGTTAAACTCTGAGATTATTTTAACTTTGCAGACCAAATGCGGATGGTTTCATCCTCCTGCAAACGAGATCTACCGTCATGAAGATATCTCTGTGTTCGAGGTTGACGGAGCAGTCAATAAGGTAAGGAATTATTTACAGGTAACATCTTTACACCTAAATAATTCATCAATTATGTTTGATAATAATATATGATTTTTGAGATCGATTGCACTTTTAAGAATTCCTTGGTAAAATGGCTAATACTGTACGAAAATTAGGGACCTTAAGATGGACCAATTCAGCCGGAATTGTTAGGAACCCAGTTTCAATTAATTTTACGTACAGCTCTGACCTTTTTTATCAAAAGGAGTCTATAGTTTTTATTCCTGTTGTGAAACTATGGAAATGAAGACAGTATTATTTCACGTCCGCGTCGTAGATTTGGTGTATCTTAACGTCCCTATATTGTATGCTTGGCTGATCTAATTTGAACATCAAGGGTTCGTTATTCCTTGATGTCAAGCATTCAGCCTAGATCAAACTTTGCTGTGTTTGGTTAGTTGGTCTGAATTAAATGAAGACCCGACTCTAGGATACAGCTACATCATGAATATATTCTCGTTCAAAATACAGATAGATTCGAATATAACCACGAGGGTTGCATATTGTCCACCTTTTTTCACTGCCTGTTCCTTTATTTTGGAGTCTTTTTTCTCGCTTTTGAAGTTCTTTCCCGAAACTTTCTTCCCTTTGATTCCTTTCTTCTTCGAAGAGGGATCCCTTGGAGGGACGGGGGATAATTGAAAAATATATACCCCTGTAAATCAAGGTAGCGTCCTTGAGTAATTACTCATGAAGTAGGGTATAACAAATGCCCAAAACAGACGAAGGAAACTGCCTGAAGTTTCAACGTAAGGGCCTTCGTTGAAGGAGTTATTATGAAACGTCTAGAATTTTTTGTCTGTTAGTTTTAACTTTTAATACTATATTTGTCGATCCAAATATATAGCTTATTTATATTTTATAATTACAACTAAACGTGTATATATATATATTAACCTTTTCTTTCAAAGATTTATTGCCAAAACTTGTGTCTCTTGGCCAAATTGTTTCTGGATCATAAAACACTTTACTACGACGTGGAGCCGTTCCTCTTTTATGTCTTGACTTCGAACGATAGAAAAGGCTGCCATCTTGTTGGATATTTCTCGAAGGTAATTAATTCAGCTCGAACTGTTCACTTTATATATAGTACGAAAAATATGGTCTTATCATAAGTTATCTTGCATGTATACCATTTCTATTGAATCTACGTGTTTGCAAGTCAACAATCACGAGAAAATGGCGGTTTCACATCTTATCGGAATGCATGCCTGGAAAAAATGACAAGAACAAGCGTCATATTACGTGGAATGTTCCATTAAAGTGATTATTTTGATTTTCCGTTAGGAAAAAGCATGTCAACAGAAGTACAATCTTTCTTGTATCATGACAATGCCTCACTACCAAAGAAAAGGATACGGAAGGCTCTTGATTGATTTCAGTAAGTAACTCGTTATGATTTATAAACGGAACTATGCTTAGAAGTGTGTCTCTGTTCAAACTACTGCTCTTCACACTAGGCTATCTGTTGTCGAGGATTGAAGGGCAGTCTGGCTCGCCAGAAAAGCCATTGTCCGACCTGGGGCTGTTGACCTACCGCAGTTATTGGAAAAGCGTGATTTTGGAATATTTCAGTAAACATAAAGAAACAGAGGTGACGATAAGAGGTATAATTGAACATTATGCAATAGAAAGATGTGTTGTTAGTGTGGATTGTAGTGTATTAAAGGCCTGTTTACACTTTGCTGAATTTTAGGTGCGTTTTTCTTCGTTTGATGAATGTGCTAAGTTTAGATGTTCAATTTAGGGTACTCATACATCAAGAGCATTCATATACTGTAGCTGTTCTCTCTTTTGCATCTTCGAAATTCGAAGACGAAATTCGCACCGAGAATCGCTGCAATGATTGTGAACGAACCATTGAGAGTCCGGCCGTAACTGGAGAATAGGTTTAGTACTATACCCACTGGTGTGTCGGAGCATAGTTAACATTTTTTCTTCCTCCATAGATGTGAGTAAAGCGACAGGCATGGATCCTCATGATATTGCCGCCACTTTACAACTCTTGAAAATGGTGATACGAAAGGACAACAAGTAAGGCTTGATTCCATTTAAGGCTTGATTCCATTCCTTGAGTAATTTTGAATTAGCTGCAGAGGTTTGAAGACTTGCGCATGAAGAAATCGTTCTCTCGCCGTTCATTGGCGGATTATCGTGATGGTATAATGGCGTCCTGCTTTTTTCCCTTCAGGATATTCATACGCCTCAATCGCAAGTACATCAACGAATTCACGGAAAAACTGGTCTCCCAAAAGCGATTGGTACTCGACCCCGATCGACTACGTTGGACACCCTTGGTCCACGCTACAGCGGTGGTCCCGGAGCAAAGCTCCGAGAAAGAGCAACAGGAGAAGCATCGCAAACAGTCGGATGGGCAGGAACCCGTGGAGATCGATGTTGTAGAGGATGAAAAACCCGGGGTTGACTCGCCGGTTACGGTGAAAAACCCGGTGGGCCCGGGGAGCAGCAGCGAAGACGAAGAAGTCGTCCGACCGAGAAAGAGATCTCGCAAGGCGATCGATGAAAGTGATTCGGAGAAAGAATCGGGTGACGATATGAAGCCGATGGACGCCGAGGATGAGGCTGAAGATGCCGGCGAAGATGTCGCCGATGATGAGACGAAGGATGGCGAAGATGAACCGGAGGTGGTGAACGGTATGCCGGAAGCAGCAGGCTCTCCAGAAGTTGACGATTTACCAGACGTCGAGGAGGCTGAGACAGCAGAAACTGGCGATAACGTAAAAAGCCGAAGTAGCTCCGTTTCCGCGCGAAGCAATGCGAGCGATGACGAATCCCAATCGGATGATAGTGATGACTCGTCGAGTTCTTCGTCGTCGTCATCATCCGATTCCTCGTCGAGCAGTGACGAAGGGGACTCGAAGTCCGCCGAGCGAAAAGAAAGCCCGCTTTTCGATACCTTCCGTAAGGTGAGTGGCTTTTTTATTCACAATGGACAGCTCGAAAATGCTCACCCTCGAGGTACAGTTGAATCTAATATTTGAACTAATGCTAGTTTTAAATAAACTTCAGTACTGGCAAGTTTTATTGATTCTAAATAGTTTCTGTAACAGAATTTGTTTCCATGGCGCCTTCCTTCTGGTCATAAATAATATTGTGTGAAATGCAAATGTCATACATATGTCGTCGCATTGCATACTGTCATTTTATGGATTATACATACGCAATTTAGAGATTGATAAAATATATATAATATCTCTGTTAGGCAATCAAACAAACAAAGGATCCTGTGCTTACCGGAGTTAAAGATCCACCCTCGGAACTTGGCATCCCGGCAAGAAATATCCAGGAAGAAGCGCCTGATGATTTTGTACTTCCGCCTCAAGAGAACGCGTTTGACCTAGTGGACACCCCGTCCCTACAGGATTTCCTCGGTGGGGACATCAATATTAGCACTGGAGACGATTTGACGGGCGATAGTCTCTTAGAAGAAGTGAGAGATGCGTATTACGATGAAACTGCTAGTGCTAATGAGAAGGATTTGGAGTAGGCGCTTCAGTAGGATTACGCTTACCTTAGAAAAGCCTGGTTTCCATCTATGGTCGTAACTGTCGCTATCACATCTAGATGAACAATGTAAAGAGTGCTGACTCACATTAGAGTGCTGACATGCGGTAAGTAGAGAGAATACCGTAGAAAGAATACCGAGAGGTTTACACATGTGCAAAAGATATATCCACACTATTTCACACCATCCAAAGTGACTTGTTCAGTTACGACCAATTGTAAGCCAGGCTTTATTGCTATATCGCCAGACCAAGTCATGCAGTCATAGATCATCTGTTGTGATGAACTGCCATCGCTGATTGGAGAATTCGAAGTGCTTGCAGACACTGGGAGGACTACAGATGCAATGTTTGTAAACGACCTCGTGTAAGCGTTCTCGTTAATAACGAATACGTTAATTTACAACATAGAAAGTTTATACTACATAACTTTGATAAATCGTTCCCCATAACGTTGATAAATCGTTCAAAATATTCAGTGACTATTTCGTGAAAATGAATATCCATTCCAAAGCCTGTTTCATACAAGAATGGATTGTCATGCTTTGTCATGTTATTGTTTATATTAGCTGATTCATGCTGCGACTGTACAATGCGTCTACTATGAATAAATGAATTAATGGTAACACAGAAACGAGGCGATTGGGTGAAATTACTGAAAGGCATGTGGAATTCGCTGGCAACCCATGGCCTCGAGGCTTGATTTTATAAGATATTTTAATGTTTTACATTTTATTGTCTTTCACTCATTGTTTACCTCAACCGAATTTAATAGTACCCTTAGTCCTTGCAGTCCTCGTGTTTTCTTCTCGAATGAGATGTTTCAACACTGTTGGCTAAGAATGCTTCGCTTCGCCAAAACTCCTTCCTCCTTTGTCGGTCAAAAGCTTCTTCCATCTTTCCTGCGCACGCGTAGACGTCAACTTCAGCATGGCTTTTTTCCCTGTTGCCTGCTGTTCGATAACCGTCGCCGAAACCTGATCGATAACATCGCTCGAAATCCGATCGCCATGCCTCTGCAAACGTAATAGCGCTTTCTTTTCTTGTATTTTGATAACATCATCCGGAAAGCGCTCATCGTGATCTCGAATAACGGCCTGCAAGTACTTGATATAATCCACGGCATATCGAAGCGTTTCCACTTTTGAAAGCCGCTTTTTGCCCTGCGCGAATGGAATTTTCCGTCGTAGGCTCGAGAAACCCTCATTCACAAGACGCACTCGATTTCTCTCCCTCTCGTTTCGTTTCGACACGGCCGACGTTTCAGCGGAAAAATTTATATTTGGATATATTTCGTGCGGTTCGGCCGGGGTATTTTCTACGGTGAAGACGTAATTCGCGACTTTTAAACTTTCATCCTGCGACTTTTCCATCGATCTGCCGACGACGCCACACGCGACTTCCAACGCCAAAAGACAAATACAAAATAGGTAGACCCAAAAGCGAATATATTTTAATACAACTCTGTAAACGAAACGAAGCTGATGGCACCAGCAAAGTCGGCAACGAAAGTAAATTAAAATTCCTGCAACGCTGGGCCAAGCCAGTATTTTATATTCCCGACAGCGATTATTAAATCAAAATATTTGCGCTGGGAAAGCGTGTGAATATGGGATAAGATTAACAACTGTTAACTCGAGCGAATTGAATATTTGTCGTGAGAAAACGATTAATTTAGGTTACCACACGACCTGCTTGAATTTCTAAGCCTAAATTAAGACTTGCGTAACAAGAAATAGTTGTTTTCTCTCGCGCCGTTCGCCGTGAAATTTTTTAAGCACAAATGGACGGCTGTTCAGCTTGCAAGCTCACAATAGAGAGCTTTAGATTTGACTACGGCTCCCGCTACGGCTACGAGATTCGTCACATTGACGTGATATTCGTGATACTTCGTACTGACGCCAGAGGCACGTAGCCCTCGCTCATCTGACTACGGCATTTTAACAAAACTTCGTAGTCCTGAGCACGTGATTTAAAAAGCAATAAAAGTTGACATTTTTTCGTTTTTTTCCAGAAAAAAAATTTAGAGAAATGTTTTCCATGACTGTGGCCTTTGAATACGTGTATTTTTGGAAATGGTGAGGGTAAAATTCCCGAAATATTTGACGGGATAAACATGCGTTTATTATTGTGTTTGCAGAGATTTATCATGCCAGTACGAGGTGGCGTATGCATACAACGTTTGTTTCGCGCCACAGTGACGAATCTCGTAGCCGTAGCGGGAGCCGTAGTCAAATCTAAAGTTCCCTATTGAAAGATAGGCGACGTCCACGATAAAATTTCGAAGTTGCCGGTGCACTTGAAAATCGATTGAACAGTTTACATTGCGTGAGCAAAAGCTAATAATTGAAAGAAATGAAATTGTTTTAATATCTTTTTAATTAAACAAAGTCCTATGAGAGTAGCTGGTGTTTACATTACAATGATGCTGTTGTGTCTTTTGTCCCGCGCTGTTGTTTGTGAGAAAAATACGTTTTTTCAATTGAACGTTGAGATACAGTCTACAGGTGATAGATCACATTTATTAAAAATACAAAACGCTTTGCTTTTTTGGATAAAGCAGCTGAGCAGGCACGACGGATGCACATAATTTGAATATGTGGATAAATTGCAAACGAGTTCTGTTTCAGAAGACAAAAATCTCTGAATGCAATTGGTTATGCTTTGCATGCAATTTGTCCGAGTAGAATGCAAAAGGTTTGGTCACATTGGGATTGTCCCCCGAAGCGGTCAAGACGAAGCGCCTAAATGCCAGGTGGCATGTCACTCAGGCCATATTTACCTTAACTATGCTCTGACTTTGTTCTCGCAAAGCGACTAAAGCACATAAATGCAATGATCTCACAACTTGTCGTTTACAATTCCGACTGTCCCGCCTAAATAGCAGAACCGAATGTTGAAACGGAACAAAATTGCTTAAGGCCTATTTAAACTACACGATAAGTTGTATGCAATTATCATTCTGACGAATGCAAAAGAGGGCCTATGCCACAATCTTCATTCAATTTTGTTCAGGTTAGTATTTAAAGTGTCACATTTACACGTGTGTTCATACGTTCACATACGCCAGGGTATGAATCGTTTACGACAAATCGCATAGTGTCATTTACAGTGCCTTTAGAGTACACTCTTGAGAGCATCGAATAGCGATCGGGTCATCACGTGGGCAAACATAATGTGGCTAAAATCCGTGCTAAAATATATCTGTTGATCTATCATCTATTGTAGTTTTTAACATTCCAACTTTTTTGATTGATTGCTTTTGCGGATTGCTGATGAGAAGATTGGCACCACTCCTCCCCCTCCCCCCCACACATAAAGATCTTTGCGGCCCATCATTGTGAGTTATAGGCGGTCATATAGGTTGCATATTCCAGTTTTTTTTACATTTATTACATTTATTACATCATACATTTACATTTTAAATTAGACATTTTAAGAGTACATTATAAGTGAAGTGATACAAAGTATCGCTATGCATTTCTTGTTCGACCGCTGGAAAAGTACCACTTATCCAATATGGCGGCAAAAAAGCTTGTAGTTGATAACGGTGCTTCTCTCATAAAAATTGGCTTCAATGATTCTGAAACTCCGAGGTAATCCATCCCATTTGCTAGAATACATTGTTTTCTACTCTTTTGAAGTAGTTTTGTTTGATTTACTTTTATCTTCTGTGTTAAGGGTCATTCCGAATAGCGTTTTCAAAGTGAAGAGTGAGCGACGTAAGGTCTTTGTAGGAGACCAAATTGATGAATGTAAAGATTACTCGGGACTGTTTTATGTTTTACCATTTCAAAAGGTAATGGCTGATAAAATTTTGGGTGAATAAGGCGACTAACGCATCGGGTGTACAAAATATATTGGTTTATTTATAGTTGGCTCTAATATGTACTTCTTCAGAACATTAGACCATTTAAAAATGTAGTGTACGAGGGTTACAGTGCAATAATGATTCCTAGTGTAGGTCACATTGGACTTAGGTGAATTGCATGCTAAATTGCTAACATGTTACCTGAAGGCTGGTATGCTTTTCTAATTAATATTAATTTGTGGTAAAGTAGTTGAAATTAAATAGCTGAAAACATGAAGGCTGAATGAAGCCAATTTGGTTTTGTATTTGTTCTTAGGGTTTGCTATTGAATTGGACAATTGAAAAACAAGTATGGGATTATGTCTTTGGAAAGGATGCATTAAAGGTATATATATACCGTAAACCTCCGACTATAAGCCCCCCCAAATATAAGCCCTCCCATCTATAAGCCCATCACATTATTAACAATCACGTCATTCCAAATATAAGCCCCCCCGAATATAAGCCCCCCCGAATATAAGCCCCCCCCGAATATAAGCCCCCATTATACAGGTCGAGATACAGGTATATATTAAATACTCTTGCACTAAAACAATTCCCTATAGCAGTAACTAAGCAAAAACATTCAAGCAGTGTTAATTTTACAAAACATGTTCGTCCTGGTGATGTTTCAAAGCGGCACGGACGAATCTTTTGTGCAGCTTAACATGTTAACATTTGTTTATCTGTAATTCTTGTTTATTTTCGTGTTTATACCTTAACAATAAATACGGCACTTGGTTTATATAAACCCGAAATTTTGTCCATGTATAAGCTCCCCCGTATATAAGCCCTACCGTGTATAAGCCCATCAAAAAACGCTTACGAACTTATATAAGCCCAGGGCTTATAGTCGGATGTTTACGGTATACAATGTCAAGTCACTCCCCTTGAATCTAATTTCCACCTTACTGGGGCTTGATAATAGCCTTTTATTGTTTGGTTAAATTTAGGTGGATTGCCCAGAGACAGATATCATGATAACAGAACCATATTTTAACTTTTCATCAATTTCTGTAAGTGTGAATTTTACCTCTTTGGAATGGCATGTAGCCACGTACCATAGGCAAGACTGCCCAGTCTTTCTTTTAAATATATATTTATAATTCTCAAGATTGTCACTCACACAACACAAAAATTGCTTTGCAGGGCTTTTAAGATTTGAAATTTCTCGGAACAGTTTATCCCCACTTACACATACATTGTATATATTCGACATTTTAGGACGCTATGGATGAAATTCTCTTTGAAGAATACGACTACCGGGCATTATGCAGAATATCAGGTGAGTTTGATCCTCGATTTTTTTTCGTTTTACCACTGACCAGAATAGTAATTGTACAGAAGAGATAGACATCGCTCCTTAACTTAGAAGTACAATATTTGCCAGCAATATCGAGAATCTCCCGGAGTGTGTGTGTGTCACGAATTCACACGCTATAAAACCTCCGTCGCTGCCAGCCTGTCACTAACTACTCCGGGTGCGAGTTTGAATCAATCCTGAATCAATCAGGGTTTGAATCAACCATTCTGGAATTTACGAGGCACCGGAATTTTCGATGTACATACCGGAATTTATGTTTTACCGAAATTTACAATATACCGGAATCCACGATATACCGGTGTAAGTTTATCAGTATAACGATAATCTTTACGCTGAAGGCTTTTACTTTACTACCGTTTAACAATTCGTCGAAGTAGTAATTTTTTGTCAAACTCAAACTCCCTTTTTAATTATTAAAGGAATACTGGTAATATCGGGTATATTTTTTCATATACTGATGCCGAAAACGTCATAGCATAACTTCGAAAAAAATTTGATGAATGTTCGCACGCTCATTATTAACCGCGCTTGCAAAAAAAAAAGTGAAATCCAAAGTGCCCCAATTACAGTACATTGTATTAAAACTGCAAGTCATTGGATAACCATATATATATATATAAATTAAGATAGTTCCATGAACCTTAGAAATTCTTCCATTGTAACACCGAACTTTCTTCCTAGCGGCACAACTAAGTGCCTTTAAATACGTCCAGGAGGATCCTAGTTTACGCCTGGTCTGTCTCGTCGTTGATTGTGGTTACTCGTTTACACATATCGTTCCCGTGTATCAGGGAAAGATCCTTAAAGAAGGCGTTCGAAGGTACTGTCAAAAAAACGTACAATTATTGCGTACAATTATTACGTTACATGATCCAAGATTCTTCGAGCAAAATGTAGTCCGGGGGTTTTCTGATCTGCGGGTTAGTGTTTTTTGCACAAAAAAACCGCAGGGCTAGAAGCATTCCATCCAGAACTACCTTTTACAATTAATTTTCTATATAAACAGTAATGTTTTATTGAAGTGCTGAACTCATATGCCAACTGAAATTACATTGCAGACGATACCAGCAATTCAGGCGGAAAAATCAATGGATTTTTCAAATTTTTTCCCGCCAAAATTTCAAAATTCTCTGTTTATTTTTATTTTTTATTGGACCTGTTTCAACCTACATAAAAAATGGTGGCTAGCTGTGAATATTTAAGTGTTTTTTTTGTAAGAAAGGGATGATTTTGAAATTTTGGCAGGAGATTTGCCTCGTGTTTAACGTAACTCGCAACAGGCCTTTTACTCCGTTAATTTTTAAGTCTCCTTGAGATAATTATACAATTATCTCAATGTATAATTATCTCAATGTTGTATACCAACATAGAATGTTCTTTTTCGTAGATTTGTTCTTTAATTCTTTCCGTATTTAGAATAAATGTCGGAGGAAAGCTCCTCACAAATCATTTAAAGGAAATCATTTCGTACAGGTAGCTACAGTGAATCAGTCGGTAATTAAACTGTATGCTTCACATTTGGTTGAGAACCAGTCTTAATGTAAAATTTTCTTTGCATTAGACAGCTCCATGTTATGGACGAAACCTATGTTATGAACCAGGTGAATTAACTAGTTTTTCATTTCTATAATATGGAAATCAAGAGCGGATAATGTAATTTTTTCTGAGAGGAAAAATTCCCAGAAATTTTGCTTATAATTATGTGTGAGAAAAACTCGTCGAAAATTCGCGACGAAAAAGACAGTTTCTCAATCAGAATTTGAGCCAATCAGAATAGTAAGAGTATACCATGGAGATATCATTGCTTGTATTTGTTTACTTAGGTCAAAGAAGATGCCTGCTTCGTATCTCAAGATTTTTGCAAAGACGTGGAAATGGCGAGGTATATCGCAAGAACCTTTTTTATTTCGAAATTTATCGAACGAAATACTCAATGCATTGTTCCTTCCCCCCCCCTATTTGAAGAGTGAAAGGAAAAGAGAACAAAATAGTTCGGGATTACGTTCTTCCAGATTATACCAACATAAAACGAGGATACATCAAGGTGCGTCGAATGAATCGTGTTATATATTCAGTTAATCCTAATGCAATTGGAACGATAACCATGCAGTCAGAATTTTCACGCGTGGGATATATATGCAAAGTGTATACACATAAACTGGATTTGTCTTCACATGCATGTACACATTTTGTATCGACTTTTAATTTTTGTTCTCATCAAAGCTGAAATGTCTCCATAAATCTAGGTGTGACCTAAAACCTTTGCATAGTACTATATATAGTGATAAAACTGGTTTTTGAAGAATTTCGAAAAAGGCCAAAAACTCAGTCTAAAATGGTGTACGATAATCTGTAATAATAGACTGTGCGGTGCTCCCATTTTGCTTGTTTATTTGCCATGGATTTGTCTGATCATGCATGAAGTCACGAAGGAGCGTCTAAACTTTGTTTCTCCCTTTTCAGCCCGTTGAAGATATGTGGGATAAGTCGAAGATTATTGAAAACGAACAGGTGAGCTAGATGAATGTCGAACAGAAATTTAAATTGGCGATTTCTGCAATGATATTGACTTTTATCTGCAAAATAGAATGTTTGTAAGCGAATTTAAACAGAGAATTGCACGATGTATTTTGCCGTGCATGGACGTTTGAATGTCTTTGAATGGTTCATATTTAGATTTCCAGCGATTAAATCAATATGAAATTATTTTTCCCTTTAAATATATCTCTTGTAAATATATAGCTACTATAAATCTCTCTCTGTAGACATAACAGCTATTCAACAATCTAAACGCACCGCAGAAACAGTAAGAACAAAATGGCCGACCATTTTGCATGACCATTTTGCACGACAAATAAGGCTTTTGCATGGGAGCGCTTTTATAGAATGACTAAAAGATATCTGATAATAGTGGGTTTTTTAAGTCGATTTGTGTTTATATTTTTAAACAAGTACATTGTACATATATAAGACCCATTCAAAAATTATTGATGCTTTTTTAGATTATTCGAATAAACATTGAACGTTTTGCTGTTCCTGAAGTTTTGTTTCATCCTTCTGATATTGGTAAGATATTTTCATTGCAACAGTTCTGCGTTGGATTCCCGACCACCTCACGGAAGAATTGTTCATAGCAATGTTAATAGTTGATTTTTATACCACGACGTACCAAGTCATGCACTTTGACATGCATATTGTATTGAACCGTATAGTCTGTTCACTTATAGATACACGGTATGACGTCATTTGTGATAAGAACAAAAAGTGGCCACGAGCCGCCTGAACAGACAACGGTTCAATGTTACCTATTTGTTTTATATAATAAAATCGAAAAAATTCCAAATATCACACGTACATGATTTTTATGATTAAAGAAATGCTATTGGCTCGCTTAACACACGTGCTAAAATGTGATTGGCTAACAAAATAAAACAAGAGTAACTGATTAAATTCGTTAAAATTATCTGTGACGTCATTCCGTTCGTCTTTCCTGTTATAGATAGGTAGTTTCTTACCTCGAAATAGTTTTAAGCGACATTGGTCAGTTCTAGTCTGAACTGTGTTATCATTTGGTTTCAGCCATCTCGGAAATGGGAATAGCAGAAGCAATTGTTCATGCAATTGAAGCTACGCCGAAAGGTACGTCGACTAAATATGCGCAAAATCTGCAAAATCCGTCCGATTTCAAAATTGGAAAACAAGTTTGTCCTGACAGATAATTCGCATCTCTTAATTGACAGTGAATCAAAGCACGTTCTCTATACTGCACAACTTGTCAATATTTTCTTTCCGCCTCCTTTCATCGTTTAGAAATGCAACCTCATTTTTACACAAATATTTTATTGACTGGAGGAAGCTGTCTTTTTTCTGGTTTCAAGTCGAGATTGTAAGTTTCAACTTTACGAATACCCGTATTTAAAGTTTTTGGTTGAACACCTTTCATATCGGTTTTGTGGAAGGACCAGCCATTAGTCATAGGGTGGGTAGACAGGGTATAGTGGGTTCAAGTATACCAGAGGAATATTTGAATGTATGCTAGTATTGGCTCAAAGGATTTCGAAATTTAGAAATCAAGGATCTGGAACGTCAGAGCCTCAGATATATGAAGGCCCGTTTACACTTGCGATTTTTCCTGCGATTTTATGTGCGATTTTCTTCGTTTGATAGATGTGAATGAGTAATTAGTTACGAATGTTCTGATGTGTAAGTATATGTTATAGTACATCCGTAACTTATTCACTCATTCGCATCTATGAAAAGGAGAAAATTGCAGCAAAAATTGCAAGTGTAAACGGGCCTTGAGACTCTAAACTCAAAAGTACCAGATTATAATTAGGTTCTAATTTTTTTATCCAATAATTACAAATTCTTCTTAAATTTGCTGGAGCCGGTTGTATAAAACTCTTTAACTATGCATTTTACATAGTTAAATCCTAGTTAACTCCGACATACACAACTCTGATTGGCCAATTCTGTTAACTACAGTTAAAAGTTAACTAGTCTTTTATACAACTGGCCCCTGGTATGTAAATTATCAGAGCCTCGGAGAGACTCAACACTCCCAAATACACTGGCGGTCAAAAAGAACTGCTCAAATGTTGCTACTATCGTATGTAACAGGAATCGTAACAATCTATCTTTTATTGTACACTAGCGGTCAAAAAGAACTGTTTAGATACAAATTCATAAGAAAGAAGCAAATATAGGAGAGAGCTTCATAGGCATTTTGTATAATTCTCTTATTCCAAACAATATTTCAATAATGTAATGCAACCTGCCACACTTCCAAGATATAGTCAAACAATGGTTGCACAGTCAAAAGACCTTAACCCTATTGAAAATCTGTGGTACAGTGTCAAGGGGATAGTGCAAGAAAGGAATTCATTCATAAAGCGTCCATGATTTATGCGTTGCTGTAAAGACTGTCCATAGGATGAATTTCTTTTGCCCGCTCAAGATTACCACCTTAACAAAAAGTATGCTAAGCCGGTGTAAGGCCGTCATCAATTGTAAGGACAAAGGAGGGTCAACAAAATATTAATATTTCATATAGCTTAGCATGTAATCTAGTCTATATTTACTCGTATAAATTGTTAGAGGGACAGTTACGTTCATTTGAGAGCATTTTAACTTGTTTTGAGCAGTTCTGTTTGACCGCCAGTGTATAGTAGTTCCAAATTCTGCGAGCTCGTATGTCGGTATTTGTGCGCTAAATAGTGTTGCAGTATATTAATACTAACATTCGATAATATTTTTAGGTATTCCGACCTACGTTCGCTTGCACCTGTTGAGTTAGATGTTGGCATTCAATTGCCATCAGAGTAAGTTTAAAATACGTCCGTAAGTTATCTCAGCCTTTAGGATGGAAATCAGATTTTTAAGCAAAAACATCTGTTTTCATTGCTTTAAGTAAGAGGCTTGTATTCAAATAACTAAAAATTTAGCTCGAAGCCAAAAAAGTGGAAATTTATTCTAAAATTTTATTGAGGCCGAAGACGGAAGTGCGACTTGGTGCTCATAAGTGTTTATCATAACAATAATAAATACTGTCGTATTTTACGGCTTGAAATTTGGGCTAGCGCTCCTGCGCTTGGTAATCCGTAGCACACACATTCAAGATAGCCTCGCCGTTTATCTAGGATGAATTTGATAGGATGCGTTATCCAGTTCTTCTTTTCGAATCAGTGCTGTTTTAATAGACATAGTGCATATTCTCTTTCAAGTACTTCACCTGCGATCAGTTTAAACAAAGGTGCGTACACCTTCGCTTTTCCACATAGGCCCACGACGCACGCATGGCATGGCGGGAAGCTTCTTTCCAATTCCGAGGACTTCACGAACATGCTCATTACGAAAGCCGAATATCAAGAACAGGGAAAAAACGCGTGTAGAAAAAAATTTGGTGGGAAAGAAAAATAAGCTCACAGTAGGTTGTATTTAAACTATAGTAACGAGGATTTCTTGACTGCCTGGAACATACTCTCAGGATAGCCTGGGACCTTATTCCCCACAGACTGGCGTTTGGAGGGGCGAATGCGATTACTCTGATCCACGGTTAACTCGTGCCTAGAAGACGATGTTGCACAATGCATGGTCGGTGGATGTTTCTATTTAAATTTCGCAGGCGAGGTTTTGGGTAGTGGTGTAACTTTTATGCTGAGCAATGAGAATGGGGCTAGGTGACTTCCGAAATATGGGAAGGGGTATGGTATGGTAAACTTTATTTAGAAACTAGCCCCGTCAGCAGGACGTTGATTCCACGGGGGGGGAGGGGGATCGTTCGCAATGTTAAGTACAGATGGCCTATTGTGCTCCTTTAGAATTTGAGAATGGGGCTAGGTCAACTTCAAATATGAAGAGGGGCGTCTGACATTGATGCTAGCCCCCTTTTCATTGAGAACTGACATTATGACTCATACGCGATCACGTATCATACATGTAAACCACATAGATACTCCCAGTAGCGATAATTGGAGGGGCCCATATTCATATATTCATTTTTAATTCCATTTTATAAGGTAAAATACTCTAATGTGGAAATATAAAAATTCTCCTAATTCAAAAACTCCCTCATTTAAAAACTTTTGTGACAATTTGTTAACAAGTTTTAACAAACTTGTTGAATCAAAAGACTTGTTACAAGGCTGTCCCTACAAGTCTGGTACAAACATGACCTTACAATTTTTCAACAACGTTGTATTGCTAAGTAGCAAGGTTGTTATATCATAGCTGTATCAGACTCGCTACAAGTGTCAACAGTTTGTCCAAACCTGGTTGCAAGTGCGAACACATCTTCTTGACAGCATGTAAACAAACTTGTATTAACTTGTTTTTAAAACTTGTGCGTTTTCCGTCATATAACGCAGACTTTTAAATTTTAAAAGTCTATGGGTTTTATTTCGTAATCCCGGAAATGCCAGTATCTAGTTTTGCGGGAAAAAGATTTTTTAAAGAAACTCTCGTGCGCTGTAACGTTATGTAATACCTCATGCCTGTATGTCAAAAATTTCAAGATACAGGTTTTGCAATGAGCATTGCATTATAATGCAATTATATATGTATAAAGCGTACATGCAATTATATGTATAAAAACTATTTTGAACTGTAGCTACAACCCCTAACGAGTAATAACTCCAGTAACCTATTTCGAATTGCAATTCCACGCATGATTTATATCAATCCCAATGATTAAATGGATGCAATGGGTTACAGCGTCAACATTGGGTGTGAACCGGTAACTCATCAAGAGCCCGTCTTTGTTGGTGCACTTAGCTATCTGATCATACTTAACCAAAAATTAATGCTCTTGGAGAAACCAGTTTGAAATCGTGAACTCAAGTCATCCTAATAAATGAACAAATAATGCTTCTGTAAATATTAGTCTATCATGATTACTTTAGCAATATATAGGGCCTTCTTCCGATACCGGTCAGCATAGATTAATAAAACCACATCGAATAAAAAGACAATCTCGATTTTTCTGGCAAGTATTTATCTATATGTTGAAAGAAAATGATATTTCATTGTTAGGGGCAAACTCTACGGTCACGTCATCATATATAGAGAGACCGAAAACAAGATAAGAAATCGTCTATTCCCGCGGGCTATCGGAACACCGCAGAAGTTGGTGTTTATAACGTTTTAACCCGAAAATCTGATTACTGGTTCGGTTCACTATTGTGCATTTTTGTATCGCTATCAAGGAGAAAACTATTGGAAAACTTCAAAAAGTTCAGTTTTTCTTCTGAGTACGGGAATCGTACACATCTGACGGCTGTGAAGTGGCCATTTTGAGGCAGTATATACACAAAGTTATTAATTCAAACGATCCGGTTTTGCCGTGTGCAAGCTTCAAATCTTCTGTGCAAGATATATTTTGTTGAGTATTTATAAATCTTTTTTTTCACCAAGTTTGAAGCCTAAATATTGATGGACGACTTGCGCTTTAAACTAATTTCTTACCCCTGCGATACATTTTCTGAAAGAGCTTGCTAAAATTAGTAAAACTGCCAAGTTTGGCAGCCAATTGTTGTAAATTGCGGAAAATGTAGCCATGCGAAGTTGCCGAATTTTGTATACTTTTATATTAGGGTCATGCAGAAATTTGTAATTAAATTAGTTACACATTACCGCACGTAATACAAAAGTATACAAAATGTGCCAACTTCGCTTGGCTATATTTTCCATATTTTACAAACTTTCGTAGCTAAACCGTTTGCATTTGCACTTATTTAAGTACGCTCTTTCCAACTATGATTATTTTTTTCTTCTTGTTACTTCGATCAAAAATTAGTCTAAATCGCAAGTCGTCCATTGCGGCTAAGTATTTTTCAATTTTACCAATTTCCGCGGTGCATTGTCGGCTATCGGATAATGCTTCAAGACAAAGGGAGCGAAACGTCGTAATTTGCGTGAATTAGTTTCATAAACGAGAGCGAAAACGCTTTTCTGGTTTCGACGGTCTATCAAACCAGTCCTCGCTGAAGAGGCTTGTTCAGCCTGGTTCAGAATTTTATTCTTATTGAAAGTATCCGGTTTCAAACAGTATTTCGTAATACACATGACCTCTGGTCGAGCACTTATCGTACCGGAAAGACAAAAGCCGTTGAAACAACTCGTAGGAATGGCGTGGGTTCGTCGTGGAAACTCTAATAATACATACAGAGGAGCATTATATTTTACTGCATTCACTACAACTCTGTTCAATTCGAGTGCGTGGACATGCTCTCGCTGTGGACGAGGCGTCGAAAAAGCTTTATTCGTCGTGATATTTCTCACCCTGTCATTCATTGCTATACTCGCGGTATTTGCAAGGTCAGGTATCGATACTTGGATACAATTCTCGTTGTATATTGTGCCTATACTCACGATGATCTGCGGCCATCGGATATTCAAGTCTTACTCGTTCAAGGAAATTTTGAACCGAAGTATCGAAGTGAATCCAACTCGTAATTTACACGGAAGCGATGGTGAATCCGTAAGAGCTTACGAAAGTGATCGTTTTGATATGCGAACGCGTCGTACAGATTTTCTTAGAAATCGTTCTCTGAAAACATGCTTTTACCCTGTGAGCCTAGTCGTCTATCAATGGACTGTTTATCTTCTGTTCTACTACGTCGTTGGAAGCGACGAATTTTCAGGGCCTTTTAAAACACCCATACGTCCATTTAATATCGTGAAATATCTACATTTATGGTTAGGCCAGAAAATATGGCTTCCGCTTTATTATATTTTTTGGACGATCGCTATGTACGTAACTGGGTTCGTCGCGTGCTGTTTTATGCTTGTGGTTGATATCCATAAGCTTGATATTAAGTCGTTTCTCTGTAAGCTTGGAGACGGGCCTTTGGTGCAATCTACAAGCAACCATGCCAACGAAGAGCATCGAGCAACGCGAGTTACAGTCCATGGTCAATACGACGCGGTTGGTGCTAGGGTTAAAAATCCGTTCGGATTTTGTTTCAAAGTTGTTTCAGTGATTGCCGGGTTTTTGACTCTAGGACTTGTGGACGCGTCCAAGACGCAGCAATTATCGCCGGGCATCTCAGGTCTTGAGGGCACCGAAAATTCCGAAGATTTAGTCGGCGCGGTTCCGGATAGTGGTGTATCAGAGGGGTTGGCTGGCTCGCTTCGATTTGAGGATGGAGTGCGGGCAACTTCAGATGGGGAAACTGGTAGCCCCGTGAATATAATCACCGCGCGGAAAGCCAGTAGACTGTTAATTGAACTTATGTCAAACCTCGAAAAGAACAGTTCGTTGTTTAAACCATTTCTCGTCCTGCTAACTTTCTTTTCCGTGACAAATCTAGTCACCCATGTTGTCGCAATAGCAGTTTTGAAAATATACGGTTTCACCGACCTACATTGGTGGACCCTGGCTCGTACACTTTTTTGGTTCTTACTCGCAATCCGGTTGCTATGGACGGTTGCTACGATTACGAATGCACTATCACGTATCATCCCACACGTTTGCTACCTCAGAAGCGTCGGCAAGTTGCCGGGTGCCAAGCAAGATTGGGACGATTTTTTTCGACTCGCCGAAACTTTTCAATTCGGTTCGAAGAGCTACGGCTTTCCGCTAACGTTAAGTCAAGTTGCAAGCATTGTAGCTGTAGTTAACTTCTCGTTTCTGATTGCTCTCTCCTTGATTTCAAAAACACGGAGTTAGATCTACTGTAGATCAGACCTAGAATTAATTATTCATGAATTTCCGATTCTCGTGTTAAAATACAGGGTGTTCCAAAGTATGTAGGATATTTATCTCGAATGTAGCCCGCTTGAAAAATTATGATCCAATGAAAGCCTAAGCATCATTGGTTTTCCTTGAAATGTTTCAGATAAAACTTTTAAACAGAGAAATTAAAGCAATTAGCCTTTCTCACGATGACGTTTTTGGGGTACTTTCAATTTTTTCAAACGGGTTTTAAAAGTTATAACAACATGAAAAGCAATTTTTTTAGAATCAACAGACCATGGGAAGAATAACACCAGCCTAAAATTAAAGACTGTGGCCGTTATGAGGTCTCACGCTTGTAGTTTTGAGGAAAAGTACCCCAAAAATGGCGGCATATTCGTCATCGTGAGAAAGGCTAATTCGTTCAACAATTGTTCCAACTGAATTGGTATTTGTTTAAGAAAATACGTAACTCTGTTAATCATTAAATTTTTCAAGCTAAAGAAAGCTACTTCAAAAATGCATAATTTAACATATTAGGCGTATTTTTCCTTGTATCGTGTGGACAGGGTGTCTAAACAATAAAATAACCAAAAAGATTTTAAAAAGGCTCGAAAACGACGCTCGTGTACACATAGTCTAAGAATCCCAAGTTCCCTTATTCATGAAATTGATCTCACCGACGGTCAAGGATGGCTGTCGGTGATCGCTGACGAATGAAATGCTTGAATAAATTTTCGTCGTCACCGGCCACAAACAATACATCGCCGACTGTCGGCGACATATGAGAGAACCAGGCTTAAGAAATACAGCCAATAACCCGGTCACATCGGAAGAAAACAACCCAGTCATTTTAGAGGATGCTGTGGGCGATATCGTCCCAGCAGTAGGCCGAACGAAAACGTTCTAGAACAAACAAGACCACAGTCAAACAATGTTGACTTAATTAACTAGCCAACCAAGGCGGTATCCATCGCGTGAGCGAAAAATACTCGAGAAACTGACTTGAGGGAGAGGAGTGTTACATGCACGCGCAAAAACGCTCAGATTGATGCGAGCTGTCATTAACAACTTGTCCAAGGTTGTTCTTATCAGGTTGTAGCAATGTTGTGCGGCACCCTGTCAGCAATGCTTGTCAATAACAATATTGTTGACGCCTGCATGACAAACACTTAACCAGCGGCCAAGCGTGTTTAGAGTGCGCACGCACGTTAAGAAAATGTATATGAAGCATTAGACATTGATCTGTTCTTGTTTTCTTTTGTACGGTAAGAGTGGTTTTTTATATATTAAATATTCATATTAGCACGTTTAATCGCTATCGTAAATATCGGAATCGGCACAAGACACAACAATATTTACCGTTTAATATCAAAACATGGTACATAACGAATGCGAATGACATAAGATGAGATAAGATAATACGGCGACAAATGTCGTGGTTACGACGTGGCAGAAATCAAGCTTTCTCATTGGACACTTCTAAAAGAATGTTCACTTCTAATTTGAGGTATAATGTTGGTATATATTAATCGAAATACAATAAAATACATCATTTTGGAGCAGGTGACCGTGTATGTGATTTTCTTTTCACCAACAGATTTGTTACGACTCATGATTTACGTTGCCGTTGGTGTTGATGTCAATTATCAAAGCATTTGGTAAAGAACCTTTATTTGTTATCTAACAATGGTCTAAAGCCGGCGCTGCAATTATGATCTCTTTCTAGCGTATGTTGTTGTGTGAATTACGTACGTAGTTGTATTAACTTTGTGAAGGAATGCAATCAACTTTGTTAATTTATAAACTTAATAGTCTTCACCATGAGAAGAAAATCGCCGTCAAAAATCTCCCTGCATATCAATGCAGTATTTTAGCAATCATAGTGTTGTTGTTGTTTTCATTAGCTTAGCCTTGGTCAAAAACGTATTAAAGTGAGAGCAAGAGTAGACAAAGTTGCCGTTGATAAAGCTGAACCAACTGCATTGATAAAAAACGCTTTCCATGTAGCATATATTTGAATTATTTGATCGTAAATCGCTGTATATTGAAGTTACGGTATGTTGAAGTCACAGCGGGTGTCTCTCCAGCGAATTCTCCGTGATGCTGTCACGATTGTGTCATGAGATTTACATACGGACACGGAAGGGTGAATTTTGGGCAAATTGTGAATCTGTTGAGACCTGCATGTACGCGCGTGTTTAAAAACCAAGGTGGCATTGAAAGCATCAACATAGGCGTGCGAGCCGTGAAGGCTGGGAGGGCTGCAGCACCCCAGATACGGTGTACCTCGCGGTGTACTGTCTATTTTTCGGGCAAAATATTCTTGATTTTCGGGAACAAACACCCAGCCATTGAGCGTCAGCCAGTCAGCCACACATGTACCTCCCCCCAATTGAGAGGGACCTCGTTCGCCTATGAACGTCAGCCACATTAATTCTTTATTTGCGAGGGTCTTAAGCCCCCGGATACACGGGCGATTTTTGACGTCGATTTTCTTCACTTAGTGTACGGTTCTTCACTATTAATTAACATTAACAGAGTAAGGTATTTTACTTCACCCAGGTTATACAACTGCGTGATAATTCACACAATGAGATACCTTACATACACTAGAAGGAACCGGTCCCTGGGGCCAGTTGTATAAAAGTCTAGTTAACCTATAATATTGGCACGCGATTGAAAAGCAATCCTGATGTTCTGAAGAATCCGGTGTTAAACTGAATACAAGTAAACTAGTTAAAATTCAACTAACCGCATTTTTACCATATTTAGATAATGGCAAGAGGAATATCTAACCGCGCTTGTTTCCTAATTATTTTCTCGCTCCTCTGCATTTATCTTATATGGACGTGCCCGCAGAAAACGGTTGGTCAACTACCTACAGATAATTCTCATGCATAATTTCCAGGGACCGGTTGTATCAAAGTCGTTTAGGTCGTTATGTCCTATACGGTATATATAACTTGCTATTTGCAGCCCGCCGCACACGAGAGCTATCAGCTGAGCTATAACGACCTCGCGAGGCAGTTAGTTCCAGTGAACTCAAATAAGACTGGGACGCTCACATTGTCGGAAGTTTGAAGCCAAGATGGCGGACACTGAAGCCTTTCTTGTAGGTGAAATAAGAGCCTCCACGCGGAAATTCGATATAGGTAAAATGGCGGCAATTATGATTTTACCTTTGAAATTTCCGCGCCAGAGGCCTGGATCACACCTACAAGAAAGGCTTCATGATCCGCCATCTTCGCTTCACTCATTAACGAGGGAAAGTCAGAGTGAGTGTTCCAGACTTATTTAAGTGTTTTATTTTTGGAAGTTTTATCATCTCTGTTTGTTTTGAGATGCGATCGTATACTCATTTTATCATATTATGGTAAATATACTCCACATAATTCATATATTATCGTAAAACTTGTCAAGAAAACTTGTCAAGGAAAACGTGTTCGCCATACGCACAAGCAAGTGAACTGGGGGCTTTTTAGGACACCCTGTACATTATACACTTAATGTATGCTCCCGAGGGAAATAGTGTCTTGATAAAACAATGAAATACAAGCGTCTTGGTAAAACAATGAAATCCAGATAGATTAAAGTTTAACAAACATGTTCTTAAAACTGTCCTTAACCTAGTCCATTGTCACAGAACAAAATAATTATACAGTCACATCACGACGAAAACAAACTTGCCAAATTTTTTGAATCTCTTAAATTGCATTTCAATTGCAGTTGAGTACAATCGAGAAAAAAGGAAACAACGATGACTGTAAGTAGTGATGTACACAATATACATATTTCATGTAGTGTTGTCGTCCAATGAACCGTGTAACACGGTTATAGCTCGACGTCGCTAGTGAATTATTTTGCTAGAAATAAGCTTACGGGAAATTAATTATGCTGCCAGGACTTACAAACATACATATACAAACGTTTCAATTGTGCCAGGAACTTCCGATGTCTGGCTGATGTTGCAGTTTCATATATAACTATATAAGCTGTACAACAGCCATCACGTTACCGCTGCTTTTATGTCATCGAGACTCGTGAAAATGCACATTTGAAGGCGTCGTAAGAATGACAACCCACAAGTTATGCATACCTATTGTTTCGCGTGTGTAGTTTCTTTGTTTTGCAAGCGCGTCGTCGAGCTGGCCGCGGCGTGAATCGTAAACTCCCTATTGTATGATATATTTCAACTAGAAATGCGGGAAAATACCCGACTCTTGTTTGTGAAATGTTTCATGCCAATGGAAACTGAGTATACCGCAAATGACCATAGAAATATCACATCTAAAACTAAGTCCACTCCTTTGGTATATTGCGAGAATGCCATTGCTGACATCCAATCACATCATTCAACCGTTTGCAAGGCTGTCCTGCATGGCGAGCTGCTTTGCGAGAATGACATTCCCACAAAAACCTAAATAAAAAAAGGGAGGGGCCGGAAATTTCGTTCGCCTCTGCAAGGTGACGTTTTTTCTACATTGTGGGAAAATAAAGGGGGTAGTTATCACAAGAATGAAACTCTCAGTATCGTAAGGTGTATTCAACACCAATATTAATATGAAAATGTGGACAAAATCAAATCACGGTTTTTGTGACCGGAAAACGTTCTAAATTAATTATTTTATCCATATATAGTTCGTGCGGGGAGGAATGTACACTCGATTTCGGACAAAAGTCGGAGTGAGAAAATTTCTTCAAATCCGACACAACCACAAGCTTTAGATGATATATTCTCTTACAAAGAACCCCCAATAGCCGGCCGGATTGGCTCATATACTGAAGAAATGCGTCGCTATGATTTATTTATGGCAACTCAAGGGGTTGTGTGTAAAAATATTCGCCATTTTGGAGGAGTATATAGGGAGAATAAAGGTCCTCCTGAATTTGACCCTGATGGGTTATGGAATCTTTGTCTTGATAGGGAGGTTGGTCTCACCCGTGGATCATGCATTGTTTACTCTATAGGGTAAGTAATTGGATTTTTTAGTGTGTATATTTTCAGATTATTGCATGGTTTGATATTCTTGAACATATAAACCTCACTATACAGTATAACTTGCAATAAAAACTAGATTACTCGTGGACCCCAAGCCGATAAACAATATTTTAAACAAAATAAATTTTAATATTCTTGAATGTTTGCATGGTGACAATCGATAAGTAATTTAGCTTGTAGGTACACCACGTAGATATTTAATACTGCAAAGCTTTCGATCCGTAAACCCGGGCCTTCATCAGTGCAATTACCTGAAATATATTTTATTTTTGTAGAATAAACGATGAGTGGTCATTTGATGATAGTATAGCGAAGAGTTTTGGTTGCAGAGTTTATGCATTTGATCCAACAATGAACAAAGGAGATCATAATCGTTCGCAGCTTATACAGTTCTTTAATCTCGGCTTAGCAGATCATGATTCAGAGGGGAAGCCAGGAGTATCGGGCAGAGATGGATGGAAAACTAGGACGTTGAAATCTATAATCACTGACCTTCGTCATGAAAAGGTATTAAACCTATAAAAGCACTAAGACACCACCATTAATACCATGATCTACTGGCAAAATCGCGTTGCACCTATAAATGCACGTTGACGTTTACATCATATACTAAATGATACATTGCCATATGAATTACTACAAGGTTTTGTAACTTTCGCGTGCGTGGTTTAACGCGTTTTGTAAAGTCAATTATATAATTTAATATAAAGGCTTTAAACGTGTGTACTAGTAGTGGTGTGCATCGGAACGGTTGGCGTCTTTGAATCCGAGAGTTAATTTTGAAACTGATCCGAACTGATCCAATCCGAAGTGAAAAACTCAAAATCCAATCCGACCCGAGCTGAAAACATATAGTACTAAATCCGATCCGATGCTAAAAAGTCGCGTGATTATCATATCCGCCTGAAAAATATAAAAGAATCTGATGATTCTCATGCAATCCGAATCGATGAAAGTTATAATCTCCATTGTTACATCTCCAGTTGGAAATTTCCATTGAAAACATAACGAATTTACTATTACAAAGTAAAACCTTACAAAAACAATTTACATACAAATATAAACATAACTGTCGGGTGTGTAATATGTACACAGTCAAAACGAAATCTACGTACTTAATAATTAATTAATATATCTATGTAATTATTTTATTTAATGAAAAACTGCCCTTAAGTTAACGTCCTTATTAACTTCAAAGTTCAATGTCAAAACTTGGCAATTTATTAATTAATTTATTTATATATTTATTCAATATATTAATTTTGTGGCATATAACAATAACAGGAAACGTTTTCAATTGTAGAGATTGCTAGATGTTGTGAAGATAGATATAGAATGGGATGAATGGAAATGTTTGCGCCAAATGTTGTCCGATGGAACATTACGAAAATATGTGAAACAACTTGATATTGAGTTTCATCTTCAGAATCGTACAGGGCCTGGTATGCGTCAGCATTATGGAATGGTTAAATGGCTTGATAGACAAGGATTTAAAATAGTCATCACGCATAGAAACATGTACTGTGTAAGGTGTTATGAAACTACTCTCATCAATACAAATCTTATAAAGTTACCTCTTCGATAAGATGTTACGATATTACGTATATGTCAGTTTCACAACCTAGAAATCTGTACGGTTGGACATCTTGATGTACCTGTGACTTTTTATAACGTTTGCTCTTATGTCATTAGTTAGATTTATGCCGGAAATTGCCTCGTAAATGTCGACAAAAGGTTAAAATTTTGCGTCATATTTCGGTCTATATTTATTGGAAATTGCCTTGTACGCGAAATTGCTTTCATATTTTTGCACACTGTTAGGTGCTCCTTGGTATTATAGAATGTTTACTTACGCTTATGAAAAGTCAACGAAGGAGAATGCTTCCTAACGGCTGGTGGAATAGATGCTATGTCGATTCGGTCAAGAAGTTTGACTCGCTTTCATAATTTTGCATTTGTTCATGTGAAAATCATATCATGTGAAAACCAAATTCAATAATTGTTTTATTATTTATTTAAAAAAAATGAAGATTACAACTTTGTTCGCTTGAATTTGTGTCTGTTTCATATTCCCGCACCTTTGGGACGTTGATGTCTTCGCCATTGGTGTGACGTTATAACGTGGCCATACGAAGTAACGCTGTAGCAGACTGCATTTATAGCGACTAGCCGAACCAACGAACGCACTTACCAATCTTTGATTTCATCTAGTTTTAGCTCCAATAACTGGCGAAAGTTACGCGTAAACTTGTAATTCGTAGCAAATTAGCGGCAAGAATTGCGGTATTTTTGTCATTCGTGACACATTGAACCCAAGCATAACTATATAACTACATATAACTATAAGCACAAGACTCGAAGCATAAGCGAGGCTGGAACAAAAGACATTCGAAAAAAAAACTCCTTTGGCTTTGTCTTTTAGACCTCTAAAAGAAAAGATTTCTTTTGTATTTCTGCTTAATAATGCTTATTTTACTAGTGTGAACCAGGCTTTACCTCATCCTCGTCCCCAGGGCCTAGCTCCGTTGCTCTCCACATAGGGGAGCAACGGAGCTAGGCCCTGGGGACGAGGATGGGCTTTACCTGTTATCATACATAGGCGGTGGAATATCGTTAAGTGGGCGGTGGGGCGGCGGGGGCTAATCCGGGCCTCCGCGTCTTATTTGTATTTGAATATCGTCATAGCGATGGCAATGAAATAGAGACAAAAAACGTTTGAGAAGAATCCATAGCATATCCTATCAACACAGATTCCTCCCTCGGGGTTGTCATTTTGAAGTTGTGAATGTCCTGGGGCTAATATTCATATATTCAGGAACAACCGAACAAATAATACTGAACGTGTAAAAACAATCAAATTCAAAAAGAACTAATATTGTTGAATAATATGTGAGTATATGAATATTAGCACCAAATGTTTGGGAATCGTATACACTGGTGAATTAAGTGATAATTACCGCTAAATATAAAAAAATTCTACCGTTGTATAGTAGCGAATGCGAATGGCGTAAGCGCAATACGGCGAAAAATGTCATGATCACGTGGCAAAACTCTAGCTTTTTCATTTGACAATTTTTAGCTTAGGTAGTATTAGTACGTCATCAAAAATATAATTTGGGGGGCGGTGGCTAGAAGTGTTCCTTTCGCAAAAGATTCGTAACGTCTCATTGGCAATAGCGTAGCCAGCCGGACAATTTGTCCCGCTATGCTAATATTTTGGTGTTCATTGACTGTGAAAACAATAAGTTTCTAAAGACATGAACAATCATAATGACTCGAAATTTACATAGCGGGACAAAATCGTCAGGCTGGCTACACCAATGAGTCATTGGTGTTGATATTACTAGGTAAAGAACCTTTATTTGTTATATAAAAAAAATGTTTAAGAGAAGATAGTCAAAGTCTTTTAGCAAAGGTGTATATTATTGTCGTTGTTTTCACTTGGCTGGTCGAATTTGTTTACATGATATTGAAGTGAGGGCAAGTGTAGACAACGTCATTGTTGATGAAGCTGACCCAACTGCATTGATACAAACCACTTTCAAGGTAGATATGTTTGTTTAATCATAAACAACGCTCTTGTCCCATGGGAGGTTTCGTAGGGGAATTGAACGATGGGGCGTACAAAAAAACACAGCGTGCATGCCGGCTTTGTAATGTCATTTAAACAGAAGCTGGGAAGGGTCGATATTTGCAGGCTTATTTGAAAAAATTATCAATTTGTCGGCGCCTGCATATCCAAGCGTGGTTAAAAGCCAGGGGCAGGGTGACAATTTAAGCTTCAACCACATTGTTCTTTTGTGATTTGAAGATTTGTCAGAAGTCAGAACGATGCATGTATGTCAGGAATTCTGTCCGAAATTATATCAATATGTTACTACTTTGATCTGACATGTCATTGTCATTTGTGGTCAATCATTTTTACGACACAAATTATGCCTTATGATGGTGACAATTGTCTCGAGTGCTAAGTTCACCTGTGCGCGCCAGGCCTTAAAACTATATAAACTATATATTGAACTGGCACAAATTCAATTCTACTCGATGAAAAAAGGTCGAATATTCATGAATATTTAAGTGTTGCGTTTTTTTTATACAGCCTGATTAACGCACAGAATACGTTTTATTTAAGAGATTTAAGAACAATGAGATAATTTTTATAATGCCTTTTTTCGGGGGAGGACACCTAGTAGTTACACAAACAAACTTCTGTTGAACTAAAACGGGGCGAAGACAGAGCGCCGGTGCGTATGTAAAGCAGACTGGGGAAAAGATAACTAGAAAGACTTGCGAATAAGATTTTAAAACGAAATAGAAGCATTAAAAATAATTATTTAGACCGCGAAGGGACTGAGTACTAAATATATAGAAGTGGAAACTGAGTAGAATATATGTTCATGGTATACATTAAAAGATAATAGTCGTTCCGCTGGCTTAAACAATCATTTGTACGAAATCACGAAATTCCGCAAAATGGCGCATCTATAAGGGCACAGCATGAAAAAATGTGGGACATGTATTCGTGATAAGTAGACATTCTATATATAGTGTTTCAGTATTATTCGCCTGCGGCGCGATTGAAAAGCAATGCGGATGTTCCGAGATAAATCAGATGTTAAACTAAATACAAGTTAACTGGTCAGAATCTTTAATAACCTCATTTTTACCGTATATATTTATTTAGATGATGCCAAGAAATATATCTAACCTCGCTTGCTACCTAATTACCTTCTTGTCCCTTTCCATATTAATCATATGGACGTACCAGAAAACGGTTGGTCAAGTTGTCAACTACCTACAGATAATTATTCAATTCTCATAATTTTCAGGGACCGGTTGTATCAAAGGCGTTTAGGTCGTTATATCTACCGTATAACTTGCTATTCACCGGTCTTGAGACCGGTTCCGATGAGTCGCTATCCAGCGGATAAATAACAAAACTCCTGAAGGATTCATTTTTAGAAACAAAATATTGACCTATACCTTATAGCTTACAGTTGGCAATAAAGTCACAAAACCAGGCGCTCACAAGTCACAAAGCCAGGCGGTCGCATCGTAAAAAGCCCACCTAATGCAATCTTCAATACTGAATTGTTCAAAAGTGCCTATAGAAAGGGATGGTATGCCCGAAACGCTAGAAACTGAAAGTTTCTCTGGCTCTGGTTACCTTAACGCGGTGCTAAACGGGTGATTCGGCAACACAATTTTATCCAGCGCATACGCTGGCTACGAAGTTTATAGCCAACGGTGAATAGAATTTGATACAATTAGGCGGTTTTATATAAATATAAACTAATATTATTTGACTACTTCCCGCCTTGGTCAAAACTTGGTCGAATTTTCTTAACCTCCTCACTTGACTTGTTTTCAATTGCAGTTGAGTAAAATTCATGAAAAAGGAAAGAATGATGACTGTAAGTAGTAATGTTATCAAGACACATTCCATTAGTGTTGTCCTCTAAAGGCTCTAATGGAATGATTGTATGATCACGTTTCAATTTGAAACGCGTGGACTACGTATAAAACTAAATCCACCACTTCCACTGTGGATATATTGCGACCAGCGAACTGTAATAAATAACTTTGTTATTTTCATTTAACTGATTGCGACAATGACACGCATGTTTCCAACAAAAACACAATATAAAAAAGAGCGGAGTTTCGTTGGTCTGCATGGGGTGACGTTTCTTCTGAATCGTGGGAAAATAGACCGGTGGTTATCAAAAGAGCGAAGCCCTCAGGACTCATCAGTATTGTATTGACTATTGTATATTGCATAATAGTAAGTGAACAGAATCAAACATATAACGAAATATGTAGAAACGCTTTTTGACCTGAAAACGTTTTATGTTTCATCCATATAGTTCGTTTGGGGTCAAACGTACGATCAATTTTCAACCTGTCACAACCACAAGCATTAGATGATATATTCTTTTACAAAGACCCACCAATAGCCGGTCGGGTTGGCTCTTACGGGGAAGAAATGCATCGTTATGATTTATTTATGTCAACTCAAGGGGTTGTTTGTAAAAATATTCGCCATTTCGGGGGAAAATATATGAAGAATAAAGATCCTCCTGAATTTGACCCTGATGGGACATGGTACCTATGTCTTGATCCGGAAGTTGGTCTCACCCCTGGATCATGCATTGTTTACTCTATAGGGTAAGTAATTGGATTTTTAGTGTGTATATTTTGAAATTATTGCACGGTTTGTTAAACATATAAATCTCACTAAAGTACATATGATCATAGGTAGCCCAACACTCGTGTTCCGCGCGCGTACACGCTACTCAGTGAGTAGCGTGTACGCGCGCGGAACACGAGTGTTGGGCTACCTATGATATGATTTGCAATAAAATCTAGACTGGTTGTGGACTCCAAGATTTCACAATTTTTGAAACAAAATAAATTTTTTTGTAGAATAAACAATGAGTGGTCATTTGATGATAGTATAGCGAAATTTGGTTGCAGAGTTTATGCATTTGATCCAACAATGAACAAAGGAGATCATAATCGTTCGCAGCTTATACAGTTCTTTAATCTCGGCTTAGCAGATCATGATTCAGAGGGGAAGCCAGGAGTATCGGGCAGAGTTGGATGGAAAACTAGGACGTTGAAGTCAATAATCACTGACCTTCGTCATGAAAAGGTATTAAACCCATGACCATGCACTGGCAATGTCGCCGACTGAGTATGTGATGTCGCGTTGCACCGGTAAACACACGTTAAGTTTATATCATTTTTTCAAATGATACATTGAATTGATTGAAACAGCAAAGTTAATGAATTAGAGTTAGCCTAAGCGTGTTTTGTGTGATAAAAAGTGTACGATTTTACCATGCATCAGTGCTAATAGTAATACAGTAGAAATAATCAAAACAAATAATAATATCCAAATTGGCAAAACCATCTTTCAACCATCACTCGTACTATTAATCCCGATAAAATAAAATTACTATCCTTGTGCTTTACCTTTGGCTATGTACAGAATAAAATGTGCGTGCATATATAAGAAACGACACTATAGCACTGCCTAATTTCCTTTCATAAACGCGTTGCAATATATTTACGGACTATAATAGGAAACATTTTTTAATTGTAGAAATTGGTAGATGTTGTGAAGATGGATATAGAATGGGATGAATGGAAATGTTTGCCCCAAATGTTGTCCGATGGAACATTGCGAAAATATGTGAAACAACTTGATGTTGAGTTTCATGTTGTGAATCACACACCACTTGGTGTTCGTGGGTATTATGGAATAGTTAAATGGCTTGATAGACAAGGATTTAAAATAGCCAACATGCATAGAAACATGTACTGTAAAGAGTGTTATGAAACTACTTTCATCAACACAAATCTTATTAAGATACCTCTTCGGTAATATTACGATATTACGTATATGTCCGGCGGTTTTACAATGTAGAAATATTTATGGTTACTGGTTAGACATTTTGATGTACTTTTTGTCTTTTTTTAACGCTTGCTAGGTGTGGCATTATTTAGTATGAAATTTTTCGTGAAGGAAGGTTGACAAAAAATGAAAATCAGTTTGCGTCATATTTCTGTCTTATAATTTATTGGAAATATTTTTATGTAGTTGATCGACATGACTCATGCATGCAATAGACAATAACTTAATGGTTTCCGTGTTTTGATGGCCTGATCCAAACACGGGCTTCGATCAGAACGCAGGTTATATAATGTCATTCAGTTTATAATATAACAATAGAGTTGGTGTTCGCGGGCATAAATGTGTTTTTGGCCCTACTCCATTTTTTTGTATAAAAAGTTATGCAAATAATGCAATAGGTAAACACTTCAGTCATTCTTCTGATTGGCTTAGATCAGCGGGCTAAAATATATTTCAGCCGGGCAAATTTACTATTATTTTAGCCCGCAAACTGCCACACCACAATGCCCGCGAAAGTTAATATAATGATAATTTACGCCCGTGAAAGGTGAATGCAATTTATCGTATACTGAACTTACAAAATAACAATGGCTGGATTTGTTGAACCATCGCTGAACCTTTTTTAGCGACGCCACACACTATTTGCAGGGGGTACAAAAACAAACAATGGCAAATTCTGAAATTCAATGCTGATGGTATCATGCACAAGTGCTCGGAATTCTAAAACCTCGGTGTTATGAATTAGAATAACCACATAATGTGAATTAGAATGCAAATAAGTAATTATATGAATTCAAAGAATTCGTAATTGGCAGTTTATTGAGCTACTTTGCAGTGTTCAATTGATCTCTCCAGTGAACAGAGTCAAGAGAAGTATTTGGACTAATTGCAAAAAAAACAACTCTTCTGGGCAAAACAATCCCGCGTTCTTATTGGTTATTCCATGCTACGTGTCGCCGGAAGCGAGATGCGCCAGGCGAATTGTCGCAAATTATCAGTCTTTGTAGTAATAGAATTTTATATGTGCAACTTTATACACCCAAAATGACGGGGAAATCGTCTCGAAATGGCGTGGTTGCTGCCGATGAAAGCTTCAAACCGTTCGAAACGACTACGGGAGTAAAATTCGTGAGTGCTGGGCTGGCAGCCTCGGTTGCAGAAATCGTAACGATGCCAATCGATACCTCGAAAGTTCGTCTTCAGGTAATAAATTATATATTTTATATTGTAATTAGCTAGTTAGGATACGAATCAGCTAATATTTGAGGCAAACATATGCGGCCTACGATTAGTTATAAATCAATGGAAGCATTACACTCGGGCTAGCATGGCTTGGGTTTGATGTTTATATGCATCTTTCACTTTGTTTACAAACGCCAATTAACAACATATTTCTACGTTTTTGCCAAGTTCTTTCAGAAGTTCCTACGGCTTTATATAGCACGCTATTTAACTGTTTTTAATCGTTTTCTTCGTTTTATTTACAAAAATATCGATATCCAAAGAGACTGGAGTTTTTAACCGACGTGTATTATAAGGGAATATTAATTAGAAATTGTTTAGATTTTCATACTGTTCAATAAGTATAATTTCTACCGAAGTAATTGCATATATGTTTTATAGTTGCAGATATAGTGTTTCATTCTTTTTGCAAATCAAGGACTTTCTACTTCTCGTAACAAATACCAATTCAACCTATTTGTCTTTCCTAGAGATGATTTTGATGTTACACTGAAATTAAAGAATGCAAATATTTTAATGCTAAGTGCTGAGCCGTATTTGCATGTTTTTTTAATGTCAGAATTTTTAGTATAGCTGAGATTGTTTGGACTTCTGTACTGCCATCGCAATATTTTATCAGTACTAGGTTCCATGAAGGTTGAAATTTCATACAAGCAATCTTGGAAAAGCTTTTTTTCAAATGTATGTGATGGCAATGCCCTATTGCTGCCTTTGATCTAGATTCAAGGGGAAAGTGCAATTACTCAAATGGCAAAAGATGGTGCCTTACATGTCAAAAAGTATAGGGGACTCATTGGCACTTTGTTCACAATAGCTCGAGAGGAGGGAGTCAGAAGTCTTTATAGTGGGTTGGTGCCTGCGATCCATCGTCAGCTTGCCTTTGCTAGTATCAGAATTGGCTTGTATGACCGGGTGAAGGAACTGTATGGTGATGATGGCAGTGGTAGCCACCCTAAAGTTTTAACCAAAATTGCAGCAAGTATAACCACTGGCACCTTTGCTGTCTGCTTGTTTCAGTGTACAGATGTTGTCAAGATACGCATGCAAGCTAGCGGAGTAAAGAATGCTCGTTATTCTGGTGCTTTCAATGCATATCATACAATATATGTTCAAGAAGGAGTCAAGGGCTTATGGAAGGGCTCATTTGCCAATATTGCACGATTGAGTCTAGTCAATGTTTCAGAAGTTGTTGTGTATGATATTATCAAAAGTTTTTTCCTTGCAAGACGCCTCTTGCACGATAATATACCATTGCATTTAGTTTCAGCATTTGGAGCAGGGTTCGCAGCTACAGTGATAGCTTCTCCAGTTGATGTGGTAAAGACAAGATTTATGAATTCCGCACCAGGACAGTACAAGAGCGCCTTGCACTGTGCTGTTGAAACAATGAAACACAATGGACCAACAGCATTTTATAAAGGGTGAGCCATACAAATAGTTTACTGGCATGTCTGGTAAACTCTCGTTTTAATAGGGTTGTCTCTCTTTTTAGTTTTCTTCATTGTTATGCTTATCACTTTAGATTTACACCAAATTTCATGCGACTTGGATCGTGGAACATTGTCATGTTTTTAACTTATGAGCAATTGAAGAGAGCCATTTCGACATTGACTACAAGTAGTAATTAAATTGTACATTAGAAATGAATCAATTAAAGTTAAAGAGAAATATGCCACCATGATTTGTGCCTGAAATTTAGGTGTTGGCCAAGCTAGCCAACTCGGCAACACTAACAGACAAAGACTTTTATTGTAACTAATGTATGATAACAGGGTCATTGGCAATACTTGTGTGCAGGAGTGTATCTAGCCTTGATCAAAGATTCCTATAGGAATTTCTATAGGAATAGCTATATACAAAATATGCGAATTTTGCACCCTTGCAGGGCTTTAAGACCCGTTTCAAACGTCGAAATTTTCATGTCAGCACACTGCTGAACTAAATGTTAATGAGCTGAAGACTGTGTTTAATTTCGGCACATGAAATGTTCGACGTCTGAAAGAGGCCATCAAGCTTTGTGCACACGAACTTCGTTATGTGAAAAACCGTTTTGGCAGTAAAAGACGAAAACGCTCAAAAAGGTTATGTGTAATGTGTGCACAAAGCTTAGGCCTGTTTAATTACCCTCTTTTTATTTCGTTTATTATGAGCAGTATTCCAGTAAGTCGCTATAAAGGTGTGGCTGTGAATTTCATACTTTCAACCGGATTAAAATTAAGTCTACAAGGACTACAAGTACAGGCAGCCTACCTGGAAACGTCAATCACTAAGTTTGAAATTAATTAAGAAGTAGTCAAGTAGTTAGCTAGTTTATTATAATTCCGGTAAAAATATCAAATAACAATAATAACATAATTTTGCAATATGCTCTAATCAATACTGGTACCAGTGGTAGTCTAGTAGAGAGTGATAATAAATATCAATATTAGACCACTCACCACTTACCGTTGGAATGGTTGGAATATAAAGGTCTAAGGACCGAAAAAAAGAATTCTAGGGGCGCTTTCCATTAATTAAGCAGCCAAAATAGGCAGACCGGTCATATTTTAAATTGAAATCGAGTATTTTGTTAAGAATATAGCGGTGAAACTGCATTTCCCGTGCTAGTCAGATGTAAATAACGATATACTTGAATGCAGAGTTCTTGAAACGCTAATCTGTTTGTACCGAAATACAACAGGACCGGTCTGGCCGTTTTTTCCGCATAAAGGAAAGCGCCCTTAGACTCTAAGAGGTCTAATTTCCTATAATCAAAAATCCCGGGGGTTCTTAATTCAGTAAATAACCTGCAAAGCCGAAATCCGGTTCTTCCTTTCGATTTCAAAGTTCAACATGGCGACCTCTAAAAGTCAAGACGATATTAGGAGAGCAAATTATGCATCGATTTTTCTGTCTGCTTCGATGACAGCAGTAACGCATCCAATACAAATGACTAAAGTGATGATTCAGGTATTTAAATGTGTGCATTGCTTGGTTTTTGTATGTAAAATTTACATCTTGAAGTGTGTACTTCTGTACTGTATTCATCTATAAACATGTGGTACAGTTGCAATTTTTGAATTCGTTTCGATCTCAACGTTGGAACCCGAAACGACTTCATTTGTGTGCAGCAAGGGACTTTATTTTACACATTTTGGTTTTGTTTCTATCTTCAATATGAACTGTATTCCTATGAAACGATTTTGTACACCGGAAGTCAATTCAGACTCGAGTATAACTTTAGGCTTGTCCAGGGGGCGCATTCCATCATTTCCATGAAGAAAATCCGGACAGTTTTTCTTTTCTTGCGGCATTGCATTTCATTGTATATCAATGAAAATACTAGTGCTTTATTTTCCTAGATTGGGTTTGAACCTGTTGAGCCAACCCCATACAAGAATTTGTTTGGAAAACAAATGTATAAATTGCCTGGTCTTTTTACTTATGGTGAGTTGAGCAGAATATTGAAGTCATTAAGAAAGTTCTGGGAGTTAAAAAACGTACATATTCATACCAAAGCAGGGAACTATATCAAACCAATCTTCACTTGAATGAAAACGTACCCCTTCCAGATTATCCTTTTAAAATTAAACGTGCCCTCTTTGCTGATAAATTTATACAACAATTCTTTCTCATGCCTTGACTAATTATTGTCGATCCCATGGAAGTCCTGAGGCTTATAATTTTGTTTGGATGACCTTGGTGGATCATAAGTGTAGTGTTGAAGATCACTTGGAGAATATATATAGACCTTCATAAAGCAATCAAGATACTATTTAAAATAAAGGTTGCCTAGTCAAAAAATAAAAAATTGCTAATGCTGTTAAATACATTTTAGTGCAATGTTTGCATCACATCTTATAGATAGATTTGCCCCTATGATCAGGCTACTTGAGAATCAAATGAGAATATTGCCAGGATTTTGAGAGTTTTATTTATAGAATATAATTTGACTGCAAATTTTCTTTGCCAAGTTTCTCAGAAAGCTGAGTGAAAACACTGATAGAATGGCAGGTGCAAGCCTGCATAATTAGCAGGTGCAAACCTGCAAATCATAGTTATTCAAATAAAGGCCATTTTTAGATAAAAGTTGCCCTCAACCGAACACAAGACAAGAAAAATATTATACAAAAGCTGCTTTTGAATAAACAATGCACTCAAATAAACTTTGGTCATTGCAGCTGTCATTAAAAATGCCCAGCATCTGTTAAAAATTCAATAATGTAATAATGCACCTATCTGAATAATTATGGTGTTGAATTGTCATAATCTTAGGATGAGATTGAGTTTTTGAGATTGATAATTTTGTAAACATCTTTTCAAAATAAATGAAAAACAGTATCAAAAGAGTCCACCTATTGATAAGAGAAATGAGAATTTAGTCTTCCGTCAAAATGCATATTTCTCTCATTGGTCCCCATGCACTCAGTCCTACTCTTCTCTGTCATAATAACTGAATGCTACCATTGTGTTTTTAATATTAAAACAGCCTGGGCCCATAAACAGCCCATGCCTAAACGCCATAATCTCTAACTTCATGTTTTTGAACTTGACAGCGGAACGTTTTTAATTTTAGCCTCTATAATATATCAAAGGGATGGTACACTTGGCTTGTTTCGTGGAGTCACTCCTAGGTAAAAGCATTTTTAACCAGGAGAGTTGGTTATAACAGTTTGTTTCTAAGTGTTGTTGACCCATTACCCACTAATCTCAAGTTCATGGGCATTTTCAAATGAAAGTGACACAGCGGAGCAGGTGCATTTGACATCATTGCTTTTTAATGTGGTAAAAGAAGACATTGGTAGACAGCCCTGTAAGCCAGTTGACAGTGCTATACTCTTACCTCTTCTCAATACTGCTTGACAGAGTAAGGACATGCAAAATTTAATGTCACTTGAATTATGTTCAACCTTTTAGAATCTTTGCAGCCACTTTGAATTCTACCATAAACAATTCTATGCTGCAGGTATATGATCAATGATAAGTTTTGTTTTTTTTTACTTTTTAACAAGTTTTAAGAAAAATATTAAAAATTGTGTTAAAAATTCCTTGATTTTATGTAGATGTTTCATTCAAATGACCAAAATGATGATGTGGACCAGGTATTTTTTCTTTATCAATTGTGAATTTTATAATTTATGTTACTTTTATAATTTATGTTATTTTATAATTTATTGCTATTTTGTCGTTAGAAGGAGTATTTTATTATAGGATATCATTGTTATAAATACAAGTGTCTACGCCATTATCACTAAAATGAATTCAAAAAAAGTATCTTCAATTCAACTACTGTCATTTTCTTCCCAAGGAATATTTTCTTGCATTTCTACACTGTTTTTAGATTATGTAGTAAACATATTTTATTATGCTTTCCGGGTTTGCTTTAAATGTTTAAAATTTTCGTATTGTTTCGTGATGATATAAGGTTTTGATTGTTTTGCGAACATATTATGAAAAAAAAAGTTTCATGGAGTGTATAAAAAAATAAAAGGTTCGTAGTTGTAAGTTTTATTCACCCGACCCCTAGCACTCATTACCGCACATCTGTCTTCATTTAGACGTCAAAATCTGATATGGACATTGTAGAATTTGCGAAGGAGGTGATTATTTAAATATTGTGCATTCTTTACTTTTTCTTGTACTTTTTCACCACTGTCAAGTGTCAACCAGATGATCCGAAATGGCGGGAATGGATTGGGACTAGTTGTCAAATAAAAACGGTTGAAGCAACTCAAATATACTCTATTTCGGTTTCAAATTTATTCAGAACTATGGTTTTATATCTAAACATAATCCCAAAATTTCTACTGGTTTCATAAAGAAACCAAAATATATAATTGGGTAAATAGCTACAGCAAAATGGATTTCTATTTCGACAAACTTTTTGAGCGATGATTGACAGAAATATCAAATATCAGCGTGAGATAAACTTATAAACTTGACCATAATAATATTATCACCTCATCTTTGCCCAATTGAAGCAAAAAAAACCCGCTATGAAGCACGTGACAGTCCCAACTTTGTCCTGATAATTTCTCTCCCTTCTCTTTAGACCTGTTATCAATCAATATCCCGTGCAACCTCAACAATCGTCACTTATCCCTTCCAAGGTACCGTATACTATTTTTCTTGGCAGAAGAAAATCCTAAAACACCCAAATTATTTCTAACGCTCACATTAGCCACAATCTTTCCCCAACCTTTCTTCTAATCCCTTGCCTTATCCGAGCGAAGATCCTAATCTAATTTTCATTCCGAGATCAACCTTACTATTTTAATTCTAATCCCGAGAAATTGTTAAATATATTTAATATATTTAACTGATATTCTTTTCAGTTGTGTCGATACGAATGATTGCCCAATTCGTAGGGAAAGAAACAAAATACACGTATGTGCGCAATATTGGCGATTTTCTTCTTATATATATAAGCGCCCTGGGGCCGGTTGTATCAAGCCAGTTTAGCTTAAACGGTGGATAAGTCAAAATTAAATAACACTCTTACATCTCCCTCAAATCAGTCAACTTGAATATTATGCACTGAATATGTAGTTGTAAACAGTATCGTTGTATTAAGGTTAAAAACATTTAGATGGCTTCTTGAATAAAACGATAGACTTTCTTTCTATTTTGAATTTAACTACCGTTTAAACTAAACGGGCTTGATATAACCCGCTCCTGGTATTGATGTTTTATATCTGCAATAGATAGTGCATCTCTTTAATATATTCCGCTATATTTAAAATTTAAAGCTGTGATTGCTGTGTAAGTATACTATCATAAAATAATTCAATAATTTTTTTTAAAGAAACCTAAACATAAATTAAATATACACTAATCACTACATTTTTAAACTATTCAAATGATGAAATTTATCGGTGTTTTTCAAGCGTTTAAATAGCAAGTGGAGACGAGCAAAATATGCCAGGCATCTATTCAAATAGTTGGCTTCAATTTTGCTGCAAGAGTCGTGCTATCTAGCTTTCTATAGTTAAATTTTGCATATATAACGATAGGATTGTTTGACTAAAAACGTTGTCGCATGGAATCTATCGCTTATTGGTTCACTGAACGAAACGTATCTTAGTTGTAAATTATTACAATTTTAAAAATTTCTTCCATCTAGTGGTATAATTCAGTCAGTTCGTGAGATATACAGCGAGGAAGGCATATCTGGTTTATTTGCGTAAGTAAACAGGAACGGTTATTAAAACGTAGAATAAGATGGGTGTGTATTGGTATTTTCCAATTCCAGCGAATTTGACAAAATTTTTATAGTATTATGAACCAATCACATATTTTGAGACACATTCTCTATGTCCGAATATTGATCTTTTCAATATTTTCCAATATGTCTCGAACAAATAAAATACTGCGAATAATAAGATGCATTCTTTTGATTATTGATGTTTCTTGTCTAGTGGTCTTCTTCCTCATCTAATTGGAGATCTTGTCACATTGTGGATTTTCCGTGGGTTGACATATTGCGTCAATAGAGCCGTTAGCTCTGAGGTAATGCAAAAACAATATTGCTCGGAAATAGTAATCTAGGTAATCTATACCCGCATGGATAACAGCAATTCGTACGACGTACGAGTCCTAAAGGAAAATTTCAACACTTGAATATGAAAATGTGTGTGCCATACAACAGGAGATAGTTTTACAACAACTTTCGAGAAGAGAAAGCAGGGGCGAGGGTCACAACCCTTGCATCTGCACCTCATCTACGCCACTTGCCACGGGTGAGGAGGCAAATTTATAGGGACGTCGTGTACCATCCCTGCTGGAGAAAATAGAGATTTCGCAATGTTCAGCCCCTAATTTTCCGCCCGGATTTCAACGTCATACATGCATGATTTCTCAAAAGATTGGTCGCCCGTGCCTCCTGCCCTCTCGAGGAAACAGATTTCGAACTAAATCATTGCAAATCAATGCCTTTTTAGATTGGTGATTTCAAAGATCTTAAAGTCTACACACAGCAAGCCTCTCATGTGAGCGAATGTTCAAACTTTTGGATTCTGTTTGCTTATTTCTGTTTTGTATGTGCGAGATACCTATAGATATATTATTTTCACTAGATCATTGTTAGTTCCATGACATATCCATTTGTCCTGGTGGCAAATCTTATGGCTGTTAACAAATGCAGGTAAATTAGTCAATTTCATAAGCGATCTAAAAAGTATGGTGGGGATTACCCTCCAGCGCTTTAGCGCCAGGCTCTTAACTCACTTCAAACTCAGTTCCCCAGAACCTTGAGGCGCTTTCCTTGATACGGAAAAAACGGTCAAACCGGTCTTGTTGTATTTCAGTACAGACAGATTACTGGTGTTTTTGAAAATTTAGGAACTCTTCATTCAAGAATGTCGTTATTATCTGCCTAGCGCTATATAAAAAGGCAGTTTCACCGCTATATTCTTAACGACACAATCTATTTCAATTCAAAATATATGACAGGTTTGGCCATTTTGGCCGCTTAAAGGAAAGCGCCCTGGATTCCCTTGTAGAGCCGATAACAGAAAATGAAGTTTATACAATGTCATACAACCGATATCCTTATTACCAAGTTCACCGAAACTATTCCTGGCAATGCGTTCTCAACTTCACGGCACTTCATGTGCTAATTATCTTTTGATAGATGAAGATGAGGGGATAAGTATTGAATGTATAGATAAGGGAATGCATGCCCAAAAACATTCATAACTATTATCGTTCGGATCTATCAAAAAACGAAAGTCGCACCGAAAGAGTGTAACAGGCCTTAAATAGGAAATGCGAGTGCTTATTAAAACGTTCCATATTTTCATGTAAAATAATTTGCATAATTCTGCGCCAGATTTGAAGGAACTAGCAAACTACCGACATTTGATGGCTGGACAGATTGTTGGGGCACCCTTAGAAAACATGTAAGTGAACATATATCTGGTGAACCTTTCACAAGCTGAAGTCAAATAATTTTAGAAGATGTTTTTCACTCGATAAAATTATTGATATTTTGTAGCATTTGTTATGGCGAGGTTCGAGCATATTCCGTCGAACATCAAATACCAACATAGCGGGACCTTTGACGTTGCGAAAGAGCCTGTGATATGCCCCGGTATCCATGTTTACCCTACAATGATCCTGTTCCACACTCCCCATAGAGACAGTCTATAGCGGTACTTTAACTATAAACGTGTACTAATATATATTGTAAGATTGTGAAAATTGGAAGACAATGCATACAGGTGACAATTGCTTTGCTGGTGGAAGAGGTTTGTGGAAAATAATTGAAATTACAGCGTGCTTTGTTTGTAAATACGTTGTGTGGAGAATTTTTTAGCCCATGCTGGATGCAATACTCTGGCCATGAGCGTACGTCTCTGTGGAAGCAGATATGTTCACACAGGGAAATGGCGACGATTTTTTTCTCCGGCGGAGTATCACCAAATCAGATATTATTTCATAAAGTGATCAGTTTACAAGTGACCTGGGTATAGCATCTTGCGTCAATTTGCTTTCAAATATGGCGGCCAAATTATATCTGGCAGTTTCGTATTGTTCGCGGTGCTCTGCCGACGTGGTTGGGTCGTCGTAAATCTGACCTGTTTTTCTTATAAGCGCGATAAGAGCCCGATTGCACCATTGACCGAATTTCGCCGTTAGCAAACGTGTAAGGGCACGGGAGACGCATGTAAAATCTTGTGCCGTGATCCTACTTAAAGGAAGTCAATCACCTACTACTTGTTGTGTAGTGTATTATTTGGTGTTTTTACCAGCTGTTAAAAGTATGTAAGATAAGAGCTATAATTTAGGATTCTCACATCAATAAATATTTCGTATGTTTATAAATAAACAGTACACTTCTAAAACAAAGTGAGGGGGTTTTCCACCACGTATCCGTGAATTTCCTGAAACAGCGGAAGATACGTTAAAAAGTCTAGGAAATCGAAACGGTTTTTTTCCGAGAAATAATCGTCGATCGTCGCCTCTGCTGACCTCAAGCCGCCGGCGGCCAATCCTATCCAAAGGTCAGTCCGGGAGATACTCATCGTTTCTTTGTTCACATAGCATTCAAATAACATCTGAAAAGAAGAGAAAAAATGGAATGGGAAAAGTGTTATGGCGGGGAGCTAAGGGCAATAAGGCAAAATTACAATGAAATGTGTAAGTCCTGTTTCAGACGTCGCGCTTTTCATGTGCCGAATCGAATACAAATGAACTTAAACAAAGACTTTAGCTCATCAAATTAGGTTTGGCACGTGAAAAGTTCGACGTCTGAAACGGGCCTAAATCGATTTTGACTGGCCTGGCTTTTTAACCACTTCTTGGTCTTTTGTTTATGTTATGATTCCGCCAGCATATGGCGGTATTGGGGATGGTGCACCCTACTGGCTTGTTTTAAAAATAATGGTGCCCAAATAATTGTCTGTCCTCCAGTTGGATTAGGGTGAGATTAACCTACCTTGACTCTGTCTAAGGTGCAGTCTAAAGTCTTGAAATCACATTTGGCAATTAATTTCTTCATTTTATCACTAAATAATAACAACACAGTCACAGTAACGACATGTAAAAATTGTCATTCCCTGGACTTGCACCTTGCTGAATTTGAGGGTATTAGTGGCGTCGATCAGTGGCGTCGCCGGCTCGTTAAGTGCGGGGAGGGGGTTCATGTATTTGCGATTTTTTTACAGTCGGTGAACATAAATATATGAATATGCCCCCTTATCAATTCTGGCTAAAAATAAATTTGCTTCAAATGTTGCTGCCTTATAATTTACTCCACAATGAGGCCATGTTTGATGTCAGGCTATCGTCAGTTTCAGTACAAGCATATTTAGAAAAAAATTAATGAATCCTAAATTCTTATCAAAAGATTAAATAAAATTTGGGATTCGAACTTGGCCTGATTTATATACTATGACATAGGCGCCTAAGTTACATGATGCACAATCCTGTTTTTATTTTCAGATCAGGGCTTGCCCATTTTGAGTATCGATGTCCAGTGTTGACTTACTTGAGTGAGGCGACTCGCTGGGACAAAGCGGCAATCACAGAGAATAGGCGAAACCCAATTCCAATATCTGCATGACAATCACACTGTTCCAAGACCTTTAAAGAAAGAAAACCACGCACATTTAATGCCGCCTCCATCAATAACACGAAAAACTTGAAGACAATGAATTTGCTTGATCATATAAATGCGGGTCCAAAATTTAGGAGACTCCAGGGGTACGCCGGACTGCCGGCGAAAGCTGCGAGCCAGCTAGGTGGATCTGGGTGATTTCATCACGTTTTAAATATGCATGTACCAGTGCGTGATCCAGTAGTTTTCAGGTCAGTAGATCGCTTGCATGGCGTTGTTTACAACTATGCATCTTTTACAAGCACATTCAATTTTTTTCTTTTGAAAATAATGCAATGCAGGTATGTATGTATATCGTTTCGATTGTATTTGAGATACTTTAAATTACTCAAACGCAACAAGCTGTTGACCCGTTTGATTCTGATTGGTTTGAACGGGCCAATCAAAGTTCAGACCGGCGCGGCAATTTTGAAGAGGTTACATGTGTATGTTCTAATGAGCAGGCAAATTGTGCTCAAGTCGGGATGACGATTGTCACGATTCCTCGGGTATAGGATGTCTTTCTTGATGTCGAAGTTAGTGGCTAAATATTATGGAAGGCCTGTTCCAAATTAAAAGGTTTTCGAGGGAATATTGCTCTAATCAAGTGTGGAGGTAATTTGTTTAGCGTTTGTTTGATCGCATTTTGTTATACTTAAATTTAAGACAGTCGTTATAAGCGCACGTATATACGGCCGAGAGCTGTGTTATTGTTTAATTTTACATTTGATTTTATATGTTAAAGGGGGGAGATAAAGGTAACTAGTGTTTTTCATCTATTTCACTTTAGAAGGAGATCTGCAAAGCATGAGAGCGAAGTTTGAAGAAACCATGTCGCCGGCAGAGTTTGCATGTGGTAAGTTGTCAATCGGTATTCAGCTTTTTTGTTTTGCCTCTTCATGTTGCACGCTTAGTTTTGAAATGTGATGTACCTTTGTGAGCGCAGTTCATGAGGCATTCGATTTGAAACATAGATACACGATATTGTGGCAAATCTCGTTCAATTACTTCCTTAAATCTTGGTCGTACCTGCCAGCATCTTCGTGTTGCATCCTCACAGGCCGTCCCGAAACGAGATTTTGTTTAAATTTGCATAAATGTCTAAGGCCTAGTTCATACTTCGCATTTTGGTGGCGTCGAATGCAATTCAAACAATAGATAATGAGATGGTAAAACCTCATTCAGCCTTATTATTATCTCATTATCTATTGTTTGAATTGCATTCGACGCGACTAAAATACGACGTATGAACTAGGCCTAATTACCATATGCTTCGGTCCCATTTTTTAACGTGACGCACCCGTGCATGCATGGTATAGCAGTAATAGCACGCCAATAGCAAATAGGGCATTTGAATTCAAATGAAAAAAGCTTCATTCTAAATGGTTTACTTTCTTGGGATAGCTACATACACTATCGTCGAAGCAATCGAACACATATAACAGGATCAAAAAGTTGAATAGAAACTACCTGAAACTCTATCTATATATCATCAAGCGCTGATTGCACGGGCAAAATTTTTCAGCGAAATGCGAAATATTTCTTGGTGCGTGAGCAACCAAGTAGAGATAGTGTATTCGAGCAACACAATATGTACACTAAAAGAAATAGATGAAAAAATATTCACTTCGCCAAAAAAAGGGCTTTGTCATTTTAGTGCCCTGCTACGACTTACCCGAAATACGTAGCTCAGATGCGAGTCAGTCAAAAGTTTTGAGTTGACATTCTCCAGAGCTTCTAACACTTCTTCGGGCCATAAAAACCCATCTTTATCTTCGTCAAACTGAAAAAAAACAAACGACAAACGTCATCAAAGACATATGACTTCGAAAGCAGTCATGCATGCATGATAGAAACTTTATGAAGCTTCGCACCTTTTCAAAGACATTTTTATAGATGATCGATTCCGACTGCCTTACGATACAGTATTTGTCTAAGAAATCTCCTAAATAAACAGAAACATAATTCATACCATGGTTATTCATATTACATTCAATTCAGTACTCCGGTTTAAAATAGATTACTTGTTAGTTATGCTACAAACTCTGCTGTATACCCGACCGAATGTTTTCAGTAAAGCAAAATATGCATTTTTAACATTTTCTTTTCACACCCTACACAAATGCAATATTTTTTCTCAAAGAAAAAACAATATAGGTGACTTGCACTAAGGGCTTTCATAAAAAATGCAGTAAATTTTAGTATATTAAACAATATAGCTAGGATTAGCCCTCCGCTTTGAATGACAAAGCATGAATGACATGGGCAATCCCAGTGGTATACATACCTAATTCATCTCGGTCTTCAGTAACAACTAATTTTTCTCCGTTTCTATAACTATTCTTGGATCGAAGCTTCGCCAGTTTCTGTCTTCGTTCTTCGGCCAATTTTTCCCGTTGTAATTCCCGTCGAATGTTCCCGTTGGAGCGCGCACGTTCAAGCGCTTGTGCCCAGCTCTCCAGGGGAGAGATTGTCGGGGAAGGCCTGGGGGGCGGTGGAGGGTGAGGGTCTTGAAGCGCAGTGATATCTTCAGGTTGAGAAGTTGGAGGTTGTAGAGGTTCTGGGTATTTGAAAAAGATCATAAACGATTAGACAAAGTGGATATGCGAAAATCGACAAGATCACCACCAATATCTGGTTGGCCAAAATCACTCGCTTACTTATAAAAAATGATTGTACTATTATAACTTTTCTAAATTGAATTTCTACAGAAAAGGCGAAAATAAATTGTTAAATGTTGCTGCATGTTTATGGGGTAATCAGGCTATTTTAAAACTAGAAAGAGCACACACGTTGAGGCCAGTTGCGACCATTTCGAATGGCAAATTTAGTGTACCAACGGTGCATGCATGAGCTAGCTCGAAAGTCTAGTTTTCAGAACCAAATAGAACAGTATAAACAGTAACAAAACACTGAAAAGATTTAAGTGCGGTCGAAGTGCGGCAAAACGAAGCCTAAATCACATCCATTACCATTTTCATCGACATTGATTTGCTGACCATCGGGTTCTGTCGTTTGGTTTGATAATATTTCTTCAGATTTGCTGCGGTCGCTGATGTTGTCTTCGCTACACTGACTCTTTGTTTCTTTGGACATGTCAGATGATGATGACCCAACTTCGCTGGCACAATCAACAGTAGCTCGTAGGGGTAGCTAAATTAAATGGTTTGATTTTCTAGCTTAATTTAACTGATCTAACTTCTTATGGTTATAATTACTTCTTTTATGTCACTGTTGAGGTCAAATTTAGCAACAACCATCTTATCTTCTCCATTTCCGTTCTTACTCCTGAAGAATGTTTAATGAAATTAGATGAACTTTCCACAAAAGTAACTTACATTTTGATGGCACATTTGAGGCTGTACAGAGTCTGTGATAACGACGACATTCTGTTCAGTGCATGGGGGATACCAGCAACGGCAGGGGTGAATGAAGATTTTCCGGTGTTAATGCGTGTTCATCAACGGACAGGCCTGTATTGAAAAGACGATTTATTTATTTTACTATGTGAACCAAGTAGATGGAAACACGGGTGAAAGATGCGATTAGGAGTACTCGCATGAGATCTGTAGTCTGCTGGATCGACTCCTTCGATCTATGATCACTATGATCAAGTCAATGTTTTTGCTATAGATTAATGGCTATTTCTAATAGTCTATAAGGCTTTGAAGTATTCAATCTATAGACACAGCCCTTCTTACCCAGACTCAGGCACAGAGTACTGCGAAGGGACATGCGCGAGGATACTAAGGTTAAGGATTCCGACACAGAGCGACATTTTTTGGTTTCTTTCGCGTCTGCAATTCAGGCTAGCATTGCATGGACTTATGACATTTGACACTGGATCATGATCAACAAACATTGACAAAAATTGTCAAAATATTTTCTGAAGCTAAAAGTATACGAAAGTATACAAGTATACCAAGACTTGGTATTGGTATATGCATAGACAATCCAGAAGACATTGTCTATGGATTGTCTATTGATGTCTTTTGGATTGTCTATGGTAAATGTTAGTGCACATTTTTTACAAAATTTAAGTGGTTGAAAATACTATGAAATTATTATGTGCCACAAAATATATATTACGCCACCTTATGTGAATAGTACTGAAAGATTTTGTATTTAAAATTTGCAAATACAGGCATTGAATAAATAAATAAAATAAATAATAAATCAAAGCATACCAAATTCACCCGTTTCCGAACTAACAACGACGTCGCAAAAGACCATTTCGGCTTTTTGGTTTCCTGCAATGTCTTCGTGTTTCAGGCTTTCGTCGACGGAAAGCGAACACTCTAGTTTGTCTTCAGGCGTCCCAGCTTCTGTCTTTTCAACAATGTCTGGCAAAACAAACGAAATCAGATGAAAAATATTTAGGTAATTACAGTTTTTGAAAGGATGAGAAACGCGTGCCTCGTTTAGACTGTCTCTAATTGGATAAAAAACATTGCCTCACTTTTTGATTGGTTCGGCTTTCTTAAGTTCTATTGGTCAATGCAATTGAGTATTTTCCGTTTTTCCTACCTGTGAGAGGACTCGAACCAAAAACTTCGACCCTCATAGCAACACCAGTATGCCATTCTGTCGGTCGAAATCGAACAAATCGCGTTTGCACAGCATTGTCTAAGCTGTTGAGAACAACTGAATCCGAGTCACAATTTCCTGTGAAAACCTGAAAGGAAAGCAAAAAGAAACTGTCAAAAATCGTTCATTTTGCGATGTTTTTTTTTAACGTAAAAAATATATAACAAAGGTATAATTTCGGCAAATATGAAAGTTTTCTAGTCAAGATTTACAAAAGTAAATAAAGCAAATTTCTCTTTGATTTGTTTTTTTAGAATGCTAAGTCATGCTTCCTGAACGTAGCTGGGTAAACCGTTGGTTTTAATAATATTAATGTTTTCAAAGAAAAACAAAGCGAAAAACGTGCTGTCTTCGAAAAACAGTAAAATAAGAAGATATGTTAAATTGGCATGTTATAGCATAGGTAGCCCAACACTCGTGGTCCGCGCGCGTGGCCATGGGGGACAATTATCCTCAAAGATTTTCTTTGTCATCCAAATTTTCACAATGAATCTTTCTTTATCAGATCGCAGCTGACAGCGAAGCTTTTTTAATCCCATCAGTGATAAAAGATAAAAGCTTTTTTAATCCCATCGGTGATAAAATTATATAAAAATACTTGACCATGCATGGCCATGGCAAATTATGTTTCATCGAATATAGAATACAATCTCATGTTTGTGCCCAAAACACTCCGAAATATTTTGCCCGAGAAATGGTCGGTACACCGTATCTGAGAGTTGGAAGCTGCGGCTCCGGCTCCGGCTCGTATAACCATGCTTCGTACCCGTATGCCTTTTAAGCAATATTTGTTGAGAATGAAGTAACAAGATTCCAAGCAATGCTTCCAAGTTGAAGCTTGAATCATTTGTTTGCCATGTATGCTAAGGTTTAAATTGTTTCTTACAGAGTACCTTTAGTTTGCCAGATTCTTTATGCTCCGTCCAATGTTTTCCGTCTTCGCTAAATTCCAAGCTAAATTTAGTCACCCAGCGTTTGTGCCGCTCGTTTTTCACGGCGGAGGCCGGGTTTCCCTGTGACGCAACTTGTTGTACCGTAGTCACCTGACCCAGGTCTACTTGAAGATATGGAGTGGTGTCACGTCCCCTTGGAAACCATGCTCCACCGTTTATATCTGAAAATGGATAAAATATACTTTGCAAAATTTATACTAAAGGAGAATGATCTGTCGGGTTTACTGTAGAGACTAAATAACTAATATTTGTCCGTTTTGATACTTTTTGAAACGATTTGTTTTTTGAAATAGACTGACTACATACAATAAGATCTATTCAATTTCAGGATCTTCTCAATTCAAATTTCAAGTCAATGCCCTCTCCTCTTCTCTTCTTTCTTTTTGAATAAGACCAAAAATTCTTATGATCCGACAAAGAATCCTTTTTATTCCTGTTCGTCTAACAATTTTTCAAGCACCCACCTTGTTTCTCGTTATGCAGCCTTGCTTGGTCAGCGGTATGATAGGTGTCAAGTGATGACGATGCTGTCATTTGTGGATCCGGGATCTTTCCACAAGATACGCCCAAAGGAGCTGGCACTAGTTGACTCATCAATTGAACTTATATGCAAAAGATCGTTCGCGTTAATGCAAATATACAAATGTGTGTAAAGTGACATTAATTTTTGTCCCCGCTGTGGAGCATATAGATTATAGATTATAGGTTGTAGTGCCAAGCGAGAATAAAGCCCGTTTCCACTAGGCGAATTTATTCGCGCGAACATATAAAAAGTAGGAAACGATTCTACTTTTTCGCGGAAAATATTTTCGCAAACCAATCACATCACCGGTTTCACAAAATAAATAAATAAATTCGAATAAATTCGCGTAGTGGAAAACGGGCTAAAAGCTGAGCTCTTCTGTGTCTTGCCGTGCAATTGTATGATTTTTTCAATTCGTATTATATATTGATATATTGTGGTGTAAACAGAACAGTGTAAGGGTAAGATGACTATTCTAGGAGGACTTTCGTAGATGGAGTGCGCGAGCAAAAACTCACTGATATGAAAATTTTAGTCACCCAAGTGCCACACCTACTATTAGTTCGCTTGAACCAGATGGGACTTAATATTCGCACTACCTGTGTTATCGGCGTGTTTGATTCCAAAAGCTTGCGCTATATCCACAACTGTACGGTCATGACCCACTGTATCAAGGCTTGCCCCTGAAATACTGCATATCGTTGAGGAGGAATTATGGGTAGTCTTACTCCCTATCTTTCCCCCACCACCCTCGGAAGAATCTACTTCATCTGCGGGGTTAAAATCGTCTGTCGTATAATTCGAATGGTCTGATCTAGAAGAATACGGTTCGTCCATATCTATTGTGGCGGTAGGAACATGAATCCCAGAGTCAATATCCCCGAATACATCTTCCGAGGGATTAAAACACCGATATTCATTTTCCGTATTATCTAATCCCCTTGAAAGCTTTCTATTTTCAACTTCTATTTTATTGGAAATGGTCGGTGTTCTTGAAAAGTTTTTTCGCGGAAAAATGTTCAGAATTTGCCTGCATATGACTTGATAGCTTTCCTCCAAGTACATGGCACACGATTCCTCGCCATGTTCGTCATGTGAAGCCCACACAAATTCGTACTCGGTAACTATGATCTGTGGAAGTAAATTTTCAGGGCTTTTTTTCTGGGTTGTTCTTTCCCGCCTTTCGCTAGCTAATTTGTCCCAGGCCTCCTCCCATTCCCTTTGTCTTTCTTGCAGTCTTTCGAGTCTCCTGGTTTGGTCCAAAGGCGCCAAAATCCTTCCTAAAAGCACAGTTTGAATCTTTTTAATTTAATATTTTGCGTTGCAAGTCATAGAATCCATACGTAAGAATCGTGCCCAATGCTGTACCCCAGGATTAAGAAGATTTTTTTGGTAGTTTAAACCGAAACCACAATACCAAGAAGACACATCATAACACTGAATTGGGGCCTTTGAGATATTTTTTTCCATGAATTTAGTTCAGACGCAAACTAACCGAACACCTACTGTGTTACCAAACTGTGTTGCAAACTAACCGAACACCTACAACACAGTTTCACAGTATCTTAATGTTTTCGTGCCTATTCGAACACAAGTCAAATTAAGAGACGACATTTTTTACTAATTATATACAACGCGCGTTGCATTGTGGTTAAATTAGTATCATTGATAATCAAGATGACTCAAAGGCAAGATAATGAGGCATTTCAGTATATTATTTAAAGTTAAAAATGCGTTCGAGACCTAAGACGACTTCTTGACAATATACATTGTGCTAACAATGTTTCGCACTTGCCTGTAGATTTTCTGAAGTTCTGCAAACGCATGTGAGATGGCGTAGAATGCAGTGCGCCGCTTCGGTTGTTCATTTGTTCAAACCACAGTTCCTGCATGTTCTGATATCTCTCGAACGTCTTTTCCAACAACTAGTCGGTATAAAATATTATATTTCAGAAAATAGCAGTGTGCGCATGTGATTATTGCATGCACCTGCTACAGGAATAGAAACTGGATTGCTGTGGGCGACATCGCGGAAATTCGTAAGACTTCTCAATTACAATTAAGACGCCGCAATTCTAGATACTTCGTTTCAAACTTGGTGAGAAAAGAGATATAAAAATACTCTCATACTAAACAAAATATGTCTTGCACAAAAGATATGAAGATTCGATTTTGCATACCGCAAAACGAATCCGGTTTGAATTAATAACTTTGTGTATACTTGAAGCCTCAAAATGGCCATTTCACACCTGTCAGATGTGTATGATCAAATGATGAGCCCTCAAAAAATTGCAGAGTGCGTATTCAGAAGAGAAATTGAAAATTGAAAAGTTACTCAATAGTTTTCTCTTTCTCGTATCGCTAATACAGAAATGCATAATTGTGAATCAGTGATCAGATTTTAGGGTTAAAACTTCATAAACATAACTGCGGTGTTGCATGCTGTAGGCTGGAATACGATCGAAATAATAAGACATGCATGAAGATAAGTTCTCGCGGTCGATGAAAACACGATTGAACTGAGAAAGTTATGCTACGCTTGCATTCAAGGAATATGATTGCCGACAGCTTAAAAAAATTCATAAACTTCATCGATTTTTTGCAGGTTGTTCAGCGGCAACTATAGTTGTGTGGCGCAGCACAACAATGCATATATATTCATTCCCGTTTTTCGAAGTATAAAAAATGTGACAGTCAAGACAATATAAATTCAGTTTACGTTCCAATATAAACAAGTAGCAGCGTGGATAACTTCTTATCAAATGTGGTATAACAACTGGCTAAAATAGACAAAACTGAAACTTCTTGACGTTTCGACCTAAAGTGTCTTCTTAGCTGGAAACGTCCGGACGTTTTTTTTTGCCTCTGACCTGTTGGCCTCATACGTTTATTATATTGCAGATTCTTGTCAGATGTCCGTCACCAATTTTCTGTTCCCGATAAGGACTGTTGTACCTAAGCTGTTGTCGTCTTTCGTTCCATCAGCTTACCTCTTTGTTCCTCATTTCCCTCAATTCACGGTATCTCTGCCGCTCCAATCTCACCGCGGACCACGAACGGGAATGATCGCATCTTGGGATATGTGGACACGGATCCTATAGGGTGTACATGCAAAGAAACAGTCAAAGGTACCGTATTTTTCACTATATTTTTTCTCTTAAATATCAACTTAAGCAAAACTATATATATATGACTCGACTTATCTAAGTGACAGTAGAAAAGTATTGCCTTCAAAGATAGCACTTACATAAGTTCTATATGCATAAACCTGAATGCTATATATATAGGCCTTTTTTCCGCCATTACGCTAAGTAAAGGTAATAGTATAGCCTTAATCGAATACGATTTTATACACTGCATGATTTGCAATGAATAGAATAACAATCTATTTACGGACTTCTACGTTCTAAGTCCGAAATTTGAAAGTGTAATTATCACTATTATGTAAAGTCCATATTGAAAAAAAGCGTTTCGTTCACACTTTGTCTTTGAAGTGCATGCATGCAATATAATTCTATTTGTGCTGTTTAAATATTTAACAACATTTTGGTTCGCGCTTTGCTTCTAAATGTATCTGAACTTTGGAGTTTATATTCAAAAAATTGCAAAAGATTCGAAAGTTGGATAATTTTTTAATTGAACCGGAGTTTCCATTGTTATGAGCAGAACGGATGCGCAGTACACATGCTTTATTCCATCTTTAACAATATACGTTAAAAGATCCTCAATTTTGTGAAGCTTTGCTATAAATATACATCTACATTATCGGAAAACAATCCATTAACGATAACGCAGATGTTTACAAACATTTATTATATATCAACTAATCAACGATTTGCAATGAGTGGTGATAACATCACGCGGGGATTATTTTAAGGTGCAGTGTCAGTGATAACCAATTTGTGCAGTAATAAATAAGATTTTTGAACAGATAAAAGAGATTTTGTGCAGTGATAATATGCAATGATATATCATTGATTATTTCATACGTACACTATACGCACGTTTTGTGAGTTTGGAAACATGCAGTATAGATAGTAGAAGTTAAATTAGTAGAAGTACTAGTAAAAGTAGCAGAATCGGTACAAGTATACTGCGGTGATGCCAGGAAGCCAGAGCTTTTCCGAGTCGTCAAACGTTACAATAAACTAAATCCTCCGAAACTCTGAAAAAACTGAATACTACTAACCAAAAAATAGTCCGGGTCTTTGCACAATAGATCAATCCTTCTTGAAAACTTTTCGTACAGTCTTCTTCCCTTGATAGGATAAGAAGTACTAGTAAGACTATGCTCTTGATAAACAGAGAAAGTAGGGAGTAAGCGAAAAAGCACCTGTATATAGTGGTGTACTGAGGCTTAGTTTAAATAGAACATGCATGGAGGGTGGCGACCGAGGAGGTATACGGATGTGACATTTATAACAACGATTCACAGAGATGAGAATTTGGTCAAATTGAATCGTTTTGGGTCGGAAGAATACCGCGTCAAATCAGTAGCCAAATATCCAACACGTACTGTTTTTTCTGAATATTCGAGGTATATTCGTACTCAAAATAGATTGTTTCCAAAGACTTTAAAAATTTTTTACTTGGCACCACGGAACCACAGTGGTATCACGTGAACTACCCTCAACTGCTAACCAACTGCACGGCTTACACCCATTCCATTTAGATTACATTATGTCACTTAAAGTCTTTTTATTTAGATTGCTCAGGCTACAGGGAAGTAAAGCTGCATTTAAATATTTAACTAAAATTGTAGTCCCCATGAATACGCATTTTCATTACAAAAATTGGGCAATATATCATAAGACACCACCCATGAACAGACTCGTTCGCCTCGCCCCTGACTTGCATGGATGTCCAGTGATATGCAATCATCGGTTCCGGAAAACTACATGAAATGATGTAGGGAATATTATATTTCCTTTTAGGGACTTTAGGCAACGGGGACACTGACCTAGAAAGGAAACCCCAAAAACGAAATCGAATATATTTTCAATTCCCGAGAAAGGGAGAAAACTCACTTTTTTGAGAGGAGCCCAAAGGCCAAGCGGCTCTATCCAAAACATGGCTTTACTGCGAACTAGATCATTACTTGGGCACTTCGGTAGTTTGAGTGGCTTCAAAACGTTGTCGCTTTCTTCCTTGTTACAGACTTGCTCGCGTTTACTGGTAATAGTACCTGGCGCTGCTACTAGACGTGGCAACTGTCAGTTGAACAAAAAAATACAACGGCATGAGCATGTGAGAACAATCTGATCGGTAATGTCCAGCGGGGAATGATAGTCGAAGAAATTAGAAGATATTAATTCAGGGACCCAGGAAATGGGCAGCACTATGGGCAGCTACCCCACTCACCTTTTACCACCAAGGACAAGGGGGGGGGCAAATACTCTTTTCTTGTATAGGATTGCATTGGGATTAATTAAAAAAAGGTTTTAAAACGAGCCTCAGTCAATAATGGAACAATCGTTTTGCGAAAAAGCCGCCAAAACCGGAATCACTGATACTGAAGTGGGTTTCCACGAAGGCTGAATTTTTCGATCGAGCGGCAGGTAAAGCCGCTACGGTTGTTAAGACATGAATTTCAATTGCGCATGTTTTGTAAACCCTCTGTTTAATACTCTGTTTAGTGCCGGAATGAATAAAAATGTGTGTAACATTCTTGCTACTGCATGCTATATGGATCGAGCCACACGCGCTAAAAAACCTTCATGTTTGAGAGGAGAATTTCGTCTTAATGCCTGCTGTTTTCTCTTACCAATAGGCATTTCCTCCAATAAATGGCAGGGGGCGAAAACTTAAACTTAAACAGCAGGGAGGCGAAGCAGGCGAGGCGGGTGAGCGAGAAAAATTGCACCGTGTAACAGGACCTAAAGTTTATCATTGAATATGTATTTCGGACAAGGGCCTATATGGCACCTCGTTTTTCTACATATCAAATTTGCGAAAGAAATCACTCGGATATTTTTTATTCGAAAATTTTCGACTCCACACACCAACTATACAAGTCATGCTGGCTACGGCGCAAAAAGTCAAATGATAGTCATACGAGAGTTAGACATACTGAGAATTTGACCTCTTTGCCCTGATATAATTATAAATATGAAATATCCTTCCACGCTGTTTGCGGCAGAAACAGCTCATTAATCGGCAATCTCGCAAGACAGGTTTTTAAATCCGTCGAATTACGAATATAGCTCAACTTATTTCGAGAGTCGCATTAATTTTGCCAATGGAGACCTGCCTTGGTCGACATGCAAGAAGCTCCACATCCCTCGTTTGAACAGGAGTCAAAACAAGGAAAAAACGGTCAGCGGCATTGCCGATTTTTGGTACGAAACAAGACGGAATCCGTAGCACCTGTTTTGGTTTCATTTTCAAGTCATTCGGATACTGTTGTGTGTTTAACGAGGATGTCGCTATTCTTAATGACCAGTTAATGCGATCATAACAGGAACCTAATACCCAACACAGCCAGTTAAAGCGTGTAGAACGCGTACATTCGCCACACTGCCCACACATTCAATACGGACTTACCCTTTCGCGTTTTCCCGTGTTGCTACCGTTGTCGTCGCTCGGGCAACTTGAAACAACATTAGAATAGCTTTGTTCGGACGTACCATAAATATTAGCCAAGCTAACCCTGTAACCAGACTTCTTGTCGTCCTCTCGCCTCTTGTCCGTTTTCGTCGCATTCTGCGTCGATTGGTTCGGGGTTATGTTGGGTAGAAAAGCCATTCCATTGGGAAACCGAATGTTTGTTGTCCGAAGTAAGCCGTTTTGTCCACAATTTATGCCGATATTTGCCGCTCATGGAGCTTAATATCAGTATATTGTGTCAAACGAGGCATTATATTCTAATTGACCTAATCTATTTGTCCGGAAGAAATAACAACACTAACACGTGTCGCTAGGCAACGTATAGGAGTAAGGTAAAGAGGAAAATTAATTTGTGCATTAACTTCCAGAGAAGCAGCTGTCTTGGAAGATTAGGATATAATAAGGGTAAACAAATTAATCGGCGCCTATCAGTTTCGTTCGTTTGTCTTAAGTTGAAGACAGTATTACGTTGTTCGTCTAGAAACTGCTGGTCAGGTCCAAAACATTTGCTTTAGGATCATGCAACCGAATCATATGACATATCCCAAGCAATATCTGATCATAGGTCTCGCAGGGGTCATTTCTAATTGTTTCAGTGGCAATGAACCGTCTGGTTTAAAGTGCCCATGTCATAAAATTGGAATTTAGATTTTTAGAATCTTTGTTTGAAATGAGTTAGTAAGTTCTAAATCAAAACTGAAATTGGATTTTTATTTCTCGAGTTATTGCCATCTAAACATTGATTTTGGTGGAATGAAAACTCTGAAAACCGCGCAAATGAGACTGGTGCGAAACAAGGTGTTGACGTCACAATAGGAACTCGTTCGACGCGACAATTTAGTAACTCTATTGCATGGAGTAATAAGTAGAAGCTAACCGCGCAAAAAAGTGGTTGTTCTTACTTAACAGACAATTCTATATAAAGTGACTCATATATTATCAAAATGTGTTGTGAAATGGCTTCAATAATTGTACGTTCCTGGCAACAGTCGTGCAATAATTGTAAATACGCCATGAGTCATGACCAATTGAGTCACTGTGTTGTAAACACGAAGGCAGTGTTTAAGTTAACAGATAAAGGTTCGGTAAATAACGTCTCAAAAGATGCGAGTTTGCACATTTTAGTAAAGACAGCTAAAGAATGTTGGTAAAAAAGATGCCATAATAAAAGCGAAATGTACTGGGTTATGTTTATATACACATGATTTGATATGTTTCTTTTGCGCGAGACGTGTTAGATTTCTCAGTTAATATTGATAACTCTAAGTCTCTCATTGAACTATTTTTTTGAAAGCGCATGGGAACTCCACTCATACTCTAGCTCAGTTGATTTGTAATGAAAATAAACCAGAGAATCTTATCACACAGGCATGCGTGACTTAACTACACATAAACACATTGTAGAAATACCGGCACTCATGAGCCACAGGAAAACCTCAATCATAATGCTATTAATAATATTCATATAGGGCAGTAAAATGTATTAGGGGTCCGCGTCCGCCTTTTATCTACACCCGGGTGAACTGTATGTGCGCAATTACGAATGACGATCAACTAGGACGAAACTTTAGAATTAAGTTAAGTACAATTGCCAGATTACTAACATAGAATCTATTTGTAATTTGAATACTGTATATCTAGCGTATTAAATGATATTATGTTCTGGGGTCACGGAAAGCAAGTCGCGCAATCAAAATCATAAGAAAACATTTGCTATTTACTGACGCCTACGATCAAGTCCTCGTTGTAGTTTCGATGCCATGATCGTTGCACGATTGCTCCATTTCGTGATAGCTTTTCAGCTTATCATCAACATCTGGTTCGTCAATGGACCCTTAATTTATGGTCCGAAGTGTTCTTACTGCCTGACAAGGCTGACATTGACCCGCGTTCATGGTCTTAACTTTTGTTCTTTCTTGATATTGCATTGGCAGGAAAACAATTTTAATCGGTGTCATTCCTTTGGTAACTTCTTAATAGCTAAACTTGATGAAGACATATTTCTGCCACGTTTAATGACCGAATTTAGCTGGCATAAAATCGCTTCTCTTGTACTACATACTATTATTTATCTAAAGGCGCAATATGCGAGTTCCTATTGTGACGTATTAGTTACCAGTTTCCGACTGTCGCGGATTTCAAAAACTTTTGCCGTTAAAATTTGAAATTTTCAAACTTTATCGCTTTATTTCTCCGCGAAAACAAACTCAATTTTAAATGTGATTACTATTTTCGTAATCTACGTTTCACGGCGATTCTAATGAGATAAATTCCAATTTTATGACATGGGCACTTTAATAGGCCAGTAGGTTAAGGCCTGGTTTCCCCTGTGTCGTGAACAAGTCATTTCCACCGATGAGAAATACTCCGACCGGTTGTATTAAATTTGTAAATTTGTTTTTATTTACTCAACGGTCATTGTGATGCACACAAATGGAATTTCTATCACATCAGCCACCTTGACATGTCAACGACACTCACTAAATGGGAACCAGGCATGATATATTTTTAACCCCAGACAGTCTTTGGTTCTCATGAAGTAATGTAGGCATTAGCGAGGACCTGCGAGGTTCTGATTTGACTTCCACTGTCGCCGCGCCATCGAGGTTACACGGAACCAATCACGAGACACGAGCATAATTGATCAGCGAGAGGTAGCATAGTGAAATGGTGCAAGTCAAATCTGAACCTGGATAGTTGTGCTTTGATGGCAGGCTATTTATTCACTAGGTAATTTCATGAGAAATATTTGAAAAGGTTCAGTTGATTTTTTAAAAACACCAACAGCCTTTATTCATTATGGAACTAATTTTCAGTATGGTAGACTAAAGTTTTTTTAGTGCGTATTTTATGGCATACGTAATTTATTTTCAGTAATTTATATAGGTGGTACGTATAAATTAACTGAATGTGTACGGTTTATATGATTAAGCCATGCCACTATTTGGTGAGTTTTGCAAACATATAATCAATTACACGAAAGCTTTTCATATAATACACATTTGAATTGAAAATTTCGCATAGCGTTACAAGATATCTACGGTTTACAACTTGTCATATATGTAGATAAATAAACGCGTCGAAAGGCATATCATTTATATAAAATATCAATACACTGTCCAGGAAAGCTGTTTAGATCCGCGCCTCAACAGGATTTCCAGAGCGTCCCTTGATCTCTCTGTGATACCTGGACTGTTGTGCAGTATCAGAATGTTTAGTCGTTCGCAGCGTTCAACCAAATCGAAGATTGCCGTGTCGGTGATTGCGTTACAATGCGCGACGTGAATTTCCTACATGAAATACAGTTAACAATATTGAGATAATGGAAAATAAGTCAAGGTAATCATGCGATGGCGAGTACAATTCGGGATTAATAGTACGAGTGATGTTTGAAAATTTAGCACAAAAAGCAGACATACTGCAAGGACCAATCAGAATCCCATTAATTTCATAATCCCAATAAATTGGGAGTAATACTAACAACAAAAACTTTAAGGCTAATGTACGAAGGATTTTAGCAAGAAATGTTTAAAGGCATTATGTGACAGCTACTTCCTTCCATACACATTGTCAAATTGTTTTACAACGTTTTGGCTGCAGCGTCAAAATTCGATTGCGCAATCTTTAACTCTCTTTAACTATCAAATGGAGTTGATGCAGGTAGTATAGTGACTATAGTCTGCTCGCTATACAAGGCTCAAAATACAAGCTTTTAATGTCTGTTTGATAAACGAGACTTGGATAAATGTTTAAATTTTTCTCGAATTTGTGATTATTAAAGCAGCAAGGTAAACGCCGCTTAAAAATGTGAAAACGAAACTGATGTGGGCGAACAATATCATTGCACTGCAGGGCGCAGCCTGGTTGGTCAACCACCAACTCTTCTCGGGCTGTGGTCCTGATCTATACCGGAGTGTACTTATTTTATAGTATTTAATTGATAATACCATTTAGCCGTTCATTGCATTTTCCTTTCCCATTCTTTATACAAGCAATTTCAGCCAGCTAACTTTCATTTTTATACTTTTGATTTCAATTTCAATTTTTTACAATTAAGGAGTTCCTGAATTATGATGGCATGTGGTGACACGTTGACGTTTGTTAATATATTTATTCGCCAGGTTGCTATAGTTTAATAATTTTGGCGACGAACTAAAGTACTTTCGTAGTTCCTGTAGTGCTATAACGAAGCCGACCACTTGATTCAAAGCTTGGTTTAATTTTGTTGGTTATCAAGAAAATAACAGGAAAGTTGGTATACTTCACTTAACAAGCAAACTTTATAGCCGAGCTTTCAATGGCAGGAAGTTTAATAGCAATTTTTCAAGACCGCCAGGTAAATTTATGATAAAATAATTAGCCGGCATTCGAAATATGACGAATTCCGGCCTTCAAAGGCAAAGTTTTTTTATTTGAAACATCCGTTCAAGTAGATGAATCGTATAGTGGCGGGTACGGAGGCGAGTTTCTTTTGAGAAACCCTAATTTCCACATCGAAGGAAAACAAAGAAAAACTTTTAAACGTCTCGTCAACTAGAGAAGGCTGAGGTATTGATCTTGCGAATTAACATAGACATAGCTACACGTAGTGTTTCACCGTCAACAACGTCTACGCGCATTTATTTATATGAATGTTCATGCAGTTATGAATATGCCGGGTCAACCTGAATTTTAAGTACCAATTTTATATACTAAAATTCTTTAGTCCACAAAATACTTTTTCAAAGGAAATACGGTTTTATTACGAAAACATGCGACTCAAGGATCCAATATTTTTTCAGCTATACGCTGCGATTGAGCACGTAAATATAAGCAATTTTTTTCCCTGGGCGCGCATGCAACATCAGTCGTGGATACCCGCCCTATCGCCACAGCTATCGCGAATAGTTTACATGCAACTTTTGTGTACCTGGGCAGAGGAACCCTGAAACTTACTCTCAGATTTTGCTGGCACACTCCATGAGCTAAGGCGCACAAGCCAACATCGCTGACCTGAAGAGTTCAGAAATAGATAACAAAAGTTTGCATTGTTAAAAAGCAGATAATTTTTCAGACGTGCATTGGGGATCTGGTGCAGGTATACTGAACAGGGTTTCATGAAGAGACCTTTAGAAATCAAGCATAATGTTAAAACCTGCTAAACCGTAGTCGTAGGCGTAGTGCGTCAAGTATTTGGTATATTTAAGAAAAAGAAACATCTAGAAACTATTGGTATAATTTAAATCCATGACATGCGATTGCGTGCAGTATACATGGATGATCGTTGAAAGATGTCCCTATCATGTTCAATATATATAAATATTTGTTCATTTCGTCAAGTTATTTTGCTATTAAAACTGTTATTTTAAAATTCCCAGGAGCAGATAATTCGTTTGTAAACTTTTTATAAGGTATATTTTTCTAATATATGGTAATATGCAAGTCCCTCGTCGATATATATTATGCGTCTACTATGTGCAACTGAAAGGACATTAAATTTTAACAATACGATTGATTTCTAAAAGTCTCTTTTTTATTATACATGTTCCTGTATTGTTAGCCATACAAGACGTCTCAAAAAAGCGGACGTTATTGAATTAACCTGTTGTTGTATGTAGGTAACACTAATACACTATAAGTGCACGGAAGTGAAAAATAGACGCTATTAAAATCACTTTCATTGTTTGAACCAGTGAACCTTGAATAGCATGAACTGAATACAATCATTCACGAAGCTACCTCAAATTTCCAAGCCAAAGGCATTAATTCGTGTGTTCTCACATAAATTTCAACTTCTTAACAAGTCGTTTTAGCCAACTTTGCGTTCAGCTTAGTAATCAGTCGTTCCAGTGCCATTCAAAGGTCAAACAAAAAATGATTTCAAAAGCACCATTTTTAGGGACAATCTGGAGCACTTACAGAGATAGGCTATTCAAATTCTAACAATAGGTTTGTTCAAAAGCACCCACATTTTTGAGGCACCCTGTAGTTTAAATGTTTGCATGACAGATAAGTAGATCTGTATTTCAAAGCATTGAATCTTGATTGTGCCCAATCCATCTTTACCTATTCATTTCATTAGGGCAAAAAAAGCATATGATTGATAAATTTTGATGTTTTTTTCGGAATATTAATTTTCCAAATTGGTTATTCTACCTGTGTATGGGATATATTTAAACTTGACAAATTCCAACTTTCTTTGGCAAGGGTGCATATTGACCTATCTGAAAGTAGGTGACAACCACCTAGGTTCAGGTTTGCTATATGTGGACAATTGGTTGCTATGGCAACTACAGCATCATCGTCAATTTCTGGGCATCGTCTGAGATGTATCGTTTGAAGCATCCTACAGGATCTAAACACTACCATTATACCTAAAAATAGAGTAAGTTTAGCTTTGGTAAGAACATAGCTTGCAGAAATTGTACCATTCTTTGCTTTGCCTTTACCAACCATTTGATGTGATGTTAATTCTCGGTTCACTCTCTGCATTCAAGTCCAGACTTGACAAAGATTTGCATTTTTCAGCAATGACAGCAAGTCCACCATCTGTTATATCACACGAGCTGAGATTTAGCGAACGAATCCTTGGATGCAGCAACTGAGTAAAAAAGCATGTTTCTTTTCCTGAATCATTTACACAATACAGTCAAAATAAGAAACATTTTGAATGCCCATGCTCTGTGGAGAACAAATGTATCAATTAATTGGGTTATTTAAGTACGTATTGATGAAGCTGCCCGAATCACGACTGTTTAATTTTATCTAACAAAGAAGATTAAACAATGACCATTGAAAATTATAAACAAACCTTTTCTAAGTGACAATCTCTAAGCAGTCCACGCATGGAGAGCTTTTTGGTTAATTTACTTTTTATATCGGGAGGTAAAGTATCGAATAAATCTTGGTGTAACGTTAGATTTTTCGATATATTTTCCAAACAGTGATTTAAAAGACTTGAGGCAACATGGGATTTGAATGCCGCCATTTTTTGAATTTTATAATTTTTATTACTTAGTTGTTCATAGAGATCAGTGCCTCCTCTGATCTGCATACTGCTTTTGCTCTGGATACAGACACGAAAAAACCGCGAGTTACACAACTATGATTTTTGGCACTTCACTCGATGGTCATGCAGCCTCGTGCAGGTAAATTGTAGAGGTTTAAAGGGTCTTAGTTTCGAGTGGAATTATACACACTTCAAATTCAAACCAGGAACAAGGAACAGTTGATGGAAAAAAGAAGCCAACATCGGTCCTCCGGCAGGAATTGAATCTTGCATTGAGAGCATTTGCACCGGCATCGCAATAGCGTAGGTTCGATTCCTGCCGGAGGACCGATAATTGACCCATTTTCCATCAACTGTTCCTTGTTCCTGGCTTGAATTTGAAGTTTGTATAATTCCACTCGAAATTAAGACCCTTTAAACCTTTAGAATTTGCCAGTTACACAGTACACACACAACTGCCTCTTGTAGTCTTGTTAGGTCTGAAATATGTATTATTCTATCATGGAAATAATCTGAATAAGGGAACCTGTCTCCTTTTTCTGCACGTGACGTGGGTGGAAAGTGGTGGGCGAGAAATATAAAATACGCAGATATTTTTGCGCCGTACTTTATTAGCGACTGTATCCAGTCTTCCACACTTATCGCACGATCGCGTGAGCATTCCAATTTCGAGCCGTGATCGATGTGTTGACCTTTCGGCCGATCGGATCGAACACTGTTGTACTCACTGGGCAAAATATTACTGCTTTTCATCGTGATGCCGTGTGTCTACAGCCTGAAGTGCATACCAAATGGGAGCTCTGCCCTTGAAATGTGCTAAAATGCATTTTAGGATCGAAATATGGCATCTGGGGACAGTTTAAAGAATTTACCTGCCGATTTACTGACACCTCTCTGGACTGCAACGGCAGCAACGCCGGAATTTAAAGACGAGATCGACTCCAGTGGTCACAGTTCAGAAAAGGAAACGAAATCAATAGGGTAGGTCGCTTGATGGACAAGTATTTGTGAACCAATCATCGCGAAAACTCTTCGCATTTTGCAGTTTCGAATCGTGGCACTTGTGTATAAAAGCTCTTGCACCTTACATTTAGTTTCGTATCGGAAGTGATATAAAACCATAAACTTCCGGCGAGGAGCATGGCTTTTGGGAGCTTATTTCGGAGGTTTTCGGAAATGTGTAAAGTTGAAAACGAAATAACGTGGTCTAAAGCCTTCGCAGATCTCAAATTGCTTTGTCATCGCGGCTGCAAAAAGGTTGCTAAATTTTCAGGAACGGCCCACGCAAAATTCATTTGTAATATTTCGAAGGTGGGCTTTTTATTTACATGTTTGTTATTAATATTTATTAATTTCCGAATTTGATGGGAAACTTAAACTCGTTTACTGCCTGCTATTGCGAAATTATAGCAGAGGGATTATTGCCAATTTAAATGTGAAAAATTTAACAAACGCTTTGGCAAGGTTTTGTTTGAGAATCTTTGTTTTGGATGGATTCATACATTTTGAAATGTAGCATGCACTCATAGATGTAATTTGCAACTTTTCAGAAATAAATATTAAAGCCATTATTAACAGCATCTAATTCATTGGCTTGTTTGGAATAAATTTTTCCTTTTCTATTTTTACAACATTTTAACTAGAATTTCAAGAGCCTTTCTTTGTCCCTATGTTTAATTTTCCTCATTAGTTTTCTGTATTGTACATGCATTCAGCCATGGTCATGCCTGTTTTTCTGAATGTTTTTTCGAGCCAGAGTTTTCCAAATTTCCAACACAGTCCAACTAAGCAATCTGGAGTAAGAATCTCTGCCTCAATTATAATATATAATTTGTGTTTTATAAGCACTACAGACAGATGAATCATTTGTCTTACTTCTTTGTCTAGACAGACAAATAATCATTGGTCTGACAAAGATAAATGTTGTACCCAGACAAAAGTATGGTCAGACATTTAGATCTTGTTTGATTTGTTAGACTGCTTGGGTAGATGTTGTGTTTTGTTTGTTTAAAATCAAGCAAAACTAATTTAATGCATTATTTATTATTATATTGGTGTAAGAATATTCATGCATCAATTTACTTAAGGCCTCATTTGCAATTTTCTCCTACATTTTATATCTGGTTTTTACCTATTGGAAGAAGTGAATAAGTTATAAGTGATATTTATATCTATTAACCTTTCAACCAACCTCCACTTGTTCACATCAAGCAAAAAAGGAATTTGCACCTGAAATCACAAGAGTACATTGACCCTTACACTTTTTCTTGCTCTTTCTCATTGGAAAAAACATGCATGTGCTGTTTCAAAAGGCTACTTATTTAAAAAAAATGCAAATTGCATTCATTTTAGTTACTTAGTGTATTTATTGATTCAAATGTTTCCCATTTTGTATTTTATTCTGGCAAACTTTTCAAGAAGTGTCTTCCATACATTTAATATACTATAATACTAAATTGGCCAAGTTTCATATTAATAGAATCTGATATCATTGCATTTAGAGACTGCATGATAATAATCTTTTTCAATGTAGAAATATTAATGTGCATTTGAATAGGGCTGTCAAAGTGTCTAGTCCCACTATTAGGCCAATCTTTTGACAATTACTTTCATGTGAGCTAGAGGTGACTGAAAAGCATAGCAATAAATTGAAAAATCGTTTATTACCTGACAATTGCTCTGGTTTGTTTTATTTCGATTGGGATTAAGTGACCGTGACAAATGACAAAGTACTGATTCTTGCCAGAGAAGTTATGTAACTGTGTAATTTTCGCTCGTACGTAGTAATGCAGTTTTATCACATCTTTATCAAAAATAATTTCGACGACCTAAGCGTTGCGCCAAAGTATGGAATAAAGGCTATAAAGCAGAGGAACCACAGCTCTGAAATCCGACAACGTGTTTGCTACCGAAAAATTTTCCCGCAAAAATGCAAAATCGAAACTCGCTGACTCCAATCACGAAGCTGGATTTCGGTTTTGGCGTCGCGCAAACAAACTCGCGTGTTAGAAAACGTGTTGAACACTTATAGATATAAGCGCCCTGGTGTTGAATTAAATTTTTGAGTCCTTTTGGTAGTCGCACGAGTAATGCAACCCCCCCCCCCATTTCTTTCGGTTGACCAGCCTAATCGTCGGAGAAATATAGGTGACCAAAGTCGAGCCTTCTATATTCATCACGTATTATTCATATGTAAGGCCTAGTTTTCGTCATTCTAATTCATCTTATTTGTTTTTGTTGGTACTCTTTTGCGCATAAAATATTTTGTCTGACACCCGCTCCATAATAAAATTTTAGCCACCCCTGAAAAAGTACATTTCATAAAAATTCGTGTATTGGCACCCCCACCTGTGTATTGGGTGCCCCCTCCCCTCCCCTCCCAAACCCCATCAGTTAAAATTCTGACCACACTCCTATGGAAGAAATGGGCAAACACGCCACATTAAGCAGGCTTGATTCCATTGGGCCGTTACCTGTTGTTACAATGACTGGGTTAAGAACGGCGCTCGTTGTTTCAGTCCATCGATGCGAAATAGGCTAAATTAAACTTTCCTCGTACGTCGTATGCAATTCAGTTTATACTATCGTATTGATAACATTGATATTTCGCCAATGAAGTACATCGTCCTCTCGAAGTGGTAATTAACGGCCAGTAAGGACAAGATGGAAACCAGGTTTTAGAAACAATTTTTCTATCGTTTTTCAGGAAGTCTAAGTCGCTCACGTCTGCAGCTGCAAAAGATGCGAAATCGCAAAGCCTAAATCAAGTCGACTGGACGGTAAGTTTCTCTTTCTTTCCAATCGAAAAAAACTTGTCTCGTTTAAGGTGGTCATGCAGCCAGTGATGGAAGCCAGTCTTTCTGGTTAGAAATTTTGAAAACGTCTCGTTCCTGTTTTAGGAAAGCGCCGTAAATGCCGAACATCTTTGGACTGACGCAGATTCGTCTGGTCACTCGTGCTGCATACCTGATAACGAATGCATGGTATGTGGAAACTGACCGCAATTGAACTGAATTCATACCAATGAAGTTTAAACCCCGCCAACTGTGCTCATTAATTTTTTTTACTGTTCTCTCCCTAAGTCAATAATTTCTCCACCTCATTGCCCATGCATTTTTCTTTAACATTTCCAGCTATAATAGAATTCTTATCCAGTTTAGCCATGCAAGATGTTGTTTAATACGTAATGGGCCTATTACGATATGTTTATTTGTTTGTATTTACTTTCAGAAATCGGGATCAAAACTAAAGTGTACAGGTAAGCTCCCTAAATATTTAAGATTGGTTTTAAATCATCGTACCTTTTGCGCGCGGCCTTCGCCTTTTGGTCATTTCAGAGGACAACTTCTTTTCAATATATATTACACTAATTTCATATGGAGCTCGCCCACTCTTTTTCGCGTCTTCTTTGACGTGCTATGCCTCGATTTATATTTGGCCTTTACATTCTTTCCTCAATAATAGTAGATTATTTGATATTGATAATTTTCCACTCGATTCCAAAATATTCTATTCTTTTTTTATGCAGCATGTAAAGTTGCAGTTCACATAAAATGTATGGATAATTTAGAAAGGGTATGTTTTGCATGTGAAATGTAACGTTGTGTTAGCCATCTCATTTGTGTTCTGGTTCTTCAGGGCATATCGGTTTTTAACGAAGTAATCTGCTTTATCTTATTCATAAATGAAAGGACATAGGAAGTACAGGACTGTATATTTCCTTGAAGTGAAGAACGTTTTATATTTTCCCCGTATCTGTCTAATTTTTTGAGATTTTCGATTTTATTAATATTTTCCAGGCGTAGTTTGACAACAGAAAACAATAACATTAATTCTTCCTATGACATACTAAAAATGCAAATTAACATAACTTGCATACCATATAGAATCTTCCCGTAATATTTTGGTCGTTTGAAAAAGGAGGTTGTAAAACAATCCCAAATCTTCCCAAGCCACTGTATACATACGATATTTAAAAAACTAGGGACCAAAGTTCGATTGCTTTTTGTTAGAGCTGGTATTCCATATATACTTCCAGCGGATTATGGTAGTGTCGTGTTTTCTTAGGTAAATATAAAATGCAAAGCTACATTTCGTGAAGGAAGCAGAAGATCGGCTGATGAAGAGGTTGGTGTCGTTTGATTTACAATTCCAATGTGTTAATAGATCTTTTTATGACGTCAAATGGGAAGGGGGGTTGTTACATGAAATTTGATTGGTTCGACATGGTTTTGAATTATTACTTAACCAATCAATTCCCGTTTATGCCGATACATTGTTAGATATCATTATAGACCCCTTAAATTACGTCACAGACGGCACTATGAACTATTGTTTGATTAATATTATTTAGCAAAAACAACCAGAAAATTGGTTGTTTCAAACAAGTTTTTAGTTGTTTTAATTAACTAATAAAAAAATTATTTTTAAATAACTCTGAGGCAACCAATTTACATTTTCTGAACGCAATTCAGCACCGGAGATCTTGCATATAGTCAGATCTTGCAGGGGTTTCAACCAATCAGGTTGCTTGTTTCACTGTATGGTTATTATTACTTCCAATCAAAACTTGCAATTTTCCTTAGTTTCAAACGCGCCACCACTGGGTGTATCAAAGAAAATACCATGGAAAATGTTCGCATTGTGGAAAGGTATGATTACAGTTTATTTCATAAAACTTTGGCCGCTCCAGTTGCGAACTATGTTTGGAAACTGTCTAGTGGGCGAGCAAGTTGTCAATTCCGTTTTGTAATTCGCAACGAAGTTCCGAAGTTCAAATCGAGCTTCGGAGTTTCAAATCGAACTTTGCGGGCAATTTGACTAAATCGCTATAAAATGGCCTCTATAAAAGCAATTTCAATGCAGCAAAGAAATATATTGTAATTGCTTTGCCCTGGTATTTTATAGTGGCCATTTTATAGAGACTTAGCCAAATTGCCCGCAAAGTTCGATTTGAAATTCCGAAGTTCGATTTGAACTTCGGAACTTCGTTGCGAATTACAAAACGGAATTGACAACTTGCTCGCCCACATGACAGTTTCCAAACATAGTTCGCAACTGGAGCGGCCAAAATTTTATGAAATCAACTGTAAAAAGTGATTTTTGCTTGTGTCATATGACTTTATTCACTTCCTCTTTTAAATATTTCAGTCATTTCACAACACGCGCAATGTTAAGGTAACTATTATATACGATCATATATGTACATACGGTTATTTTCTCTGAGGCCCAGGTTTTGCATCGCATTTTTGTCGCGTCGAATGCAATTCAAACAATAAATAATGAGATGATAATAAAGCCTAATGAGCTCATCTCATTATCGATTGTTTGCATTCGACGCGACCAAAATGCGACGTAGCTATAACCTATAGGTCTGCACGGAAAAGCAAAACGTCGGAAATAACCCCTCATGCATTAAAAATAAAAGAAAGTGTCTCTCGAGACTGCTTATTTTCTTGGTAATTAAAACTTTCAACCTCAGATAACAAGTTAACCTCAATCGGTGTCTCTTTTAGGATATTGTCGCTGTGAGTTGTTCATGGTGCAAACGTGCTGTAAGTAAAAGGCTGCTTTCCACTCTCGCGTTTTTTGCACGTACGTATGCGCATTTAAATGATACTTATGAAATCAACGATTGAATACATGCGTAGGGTTGGATTCTGTTGATGATTTGGTGTGCTTTTTCTGGTATAAAATTAATTATACAACAACTTAGAAGTTTTTAAACTTACGTGCGTGTACGTATACGTGCTGTTCCGATACTTCGGCCCTCATCGACTAAGGTCCTTCATCGGCAGCTTAACCAAAACACAGATAAATTTATAGCTTTTATTGTGAATATATGCGGTAAAAGGAGAATGCCTATTCACCGCCTACAACAGAAAAATATAACAAAACGAGATATTCCCCATACTAAGGATTAGCCAATAGAATACAAGCGTTTACCGAATCGGCGCGAAAAATATTGTGAGCATAGCTGGGCGGCCAGAACACGTGCAGAAATATGGAAAGATAGCTCAAATATTGTTATAGATTATAATAGTATTTAACTTGTGAGTTATACATTGTGACAAAGCTTATAAAATAAATTCATTGTACCATATATGTGTCAAGGTATATTACAAATTTCCAGCTCTTTCAATTTTTCAGTATCACTTCAACAACGAATGTGCTGCGTCGTTAAAAGAAAATGTCTGTACTCTTGGCCAGAACAGCAACCTAATTGTTCCACCAACATGGGTGGTAAAACTACCTATAAAACGGGTAAGATTTCTTTCAGGTTTTAAAATAGATGGAATATAAACATTCAAGTATTAAACAAAGACATTCTTAATCCCCAAAAGCATTCTTCTTCTATTCACTGTGGAAAATTTTTCTTCCAGTTTCGAAGTTCATCAATAAAAAAGCGACATGCAAAAAGGAAGTCAGGAAGGGTAATAAAAAAATACCTAAAAAACCGTTAATAAACCTTTTATTATTTTTCCCCATATTCTTGACGTGCATCTCGATTTCAGCGATTTTTGTGTGTCAGGATGATTTTTTGAACACACGTACCATCATCATGGTACCGCGGTTTCATCATATGCGAAATGCGTGTAATGCTTCATATTTGCACTTTCAACTCGGTAAAAATTCTCATCAGCATAACCACGATATATTGTATACGTCTATCATAATATAAACAAGATCAAGTTTTTTGAAACGTAATATTGCCATTACTATACTGTATCCTGGAGACTACCCAAGAGATGACTGGGGGAAGATGAAGGCACTACGTATATTCACTCGCAGCATTTCACTTACAGTTTAGGTTGTAATTCTAATAGGTATTTAATATTTCGTTATCGCTCAGAATTTGCCGTCTTGACTAATTTTTCCTCTCTTTTTCTTCTAGGAGAGAAAAGCATTTGCAGTAAGTCCAATTTCTTGAACTTGAAAAAGTGTACACATTGTTTATAAGATCATGGAGCCACTTGTTTTTGTGATCGGGTAACACTTTTTTCCCGGTGGAATGCATGGCATTTTTTCCGAAAAACACGTGACCACGAATCGGCCAGTCATATTTGATCTAAGCAACTTACTGACCGACCTATTCCAGTATCGAGCTACCTGAAAAATAACACTTGTCTCAGGTTATTTTTTTCTTTAGGTCAGACCTGTCGCCGGAGACGCTCGTAGCCCTCTACTTGTATTTATCAATCCTAAAAGTGGAGGTAAACAGGTGGGCAAAAAGGCAATATTTGTAAATATGCATGGTGCTTCGCTTTGAATATTTCGAGCCAATGTCGGCCATATTAAAGGCACCACCTTAATCAACCAACGTCTTAGTTCTACAAAATTGAAAGAAATGTTTTCCAGATAATAACATCAATAGCCTCCTCCATCAATTTCCAGATATTATTCTTCTATAGCCTCCTCCATCTGAAATTTTGCTTAGTGAACTGATTACATACTGTATCCGCGCCATATATGCCTTACATATTATTGTGCGTGTTGCTTATAACTTTCAAAACTAGTGCTAGGAAATAGTGAACAGTAGCGTAGCAAACCTGTCGATTTTGTCGCCATAGGCAAATTTTTGGTCAGTTTTTCACTTCTTTAGAAATTGATTGCATTCACAGCCAATGAACACTAAAGCATTAGCATTTAGCGGGACTAAATCATCTGGCCGGCTACGGTATACCAATAATAAACCATTGTTTTACAAGTTACCTGAAAGCGAGCAAGACTTTGTGACATAAATTTTTTATTTATAAAATTTATTCCGGTTAGTGTAGGTGTTCATCCCAGTGGAAAATAAACCCATGACTTTTTACAGTACATCGTCACCGAACAACAGCTCTTATCCCGGTGAATGTATTACGTAGCAAATTCTGATTATTTGTTTTCTACCCAGGGATCCAAAATCATTCGTAAATTTCAATGGATTTTGAACCCACGGCAGGTAGGAATATTGGTACTCGCTTCCAATATAATCGAAATGTAATTTTTCCCTGAAATTAATTGTTCGTTTCGTTTAGGTGTTTGACTTGTCCCAAGTTGAACCAAAGTTTGGGTGAGTATTGTACATCGTTGATTAAAATATTCATAGCTAGCCATAATGATAATCGCAGTAATATAGGGATAACCTCGGTATTAATATTTAAAGCCAAACCTATAAATGGACCAGTATCTGTTCCGGTGTTACTACAAGCGTGAACTTTATTTCCGTCAATTCAAGTCATATTTGCGAAATGTTTTCCACTTCCGTGGGAAAGAATTTGAAATTTTTAAAACTTAAAATATTCTATTCACTCTGACTTTAACTCCCCGGGTATAGACGTGCTACTGTAATTGGCTATTACTTTACTAAGTTCTGGGGCCGGTTGTTCAAAAGCCGGTTAACTTAACCCTTGTCTGCAAATCTGTACATCAACTTCTCTACATCAACTTGTTTACAAAGTTGAATATCTTCTTCCATCAATATTTTCTGAACTGATAGAAGTCATGTTTTATAAAAAAATTAAAACACACAGCGGCTCAGAAGCACATAAACCAAAACAGCATAATTAAAATCTAACCCAAAGGTTAGCGTTTACCTGGCTTTCAATAACTGTCCCCTTCAATAAGTGTGTGACGCAAAAAAGTTTAGGAAGAGTAATTTACTTGTACATCGAAATCTAATACTTTTTTATGCATGGTGTGTTTTCTGTAGCCTGCAGCTTTATCGCCGAGTCCCAAACTTAAGGATACTGGCTTGTGGCGGCGATGGAACGGTAAATATAATTATGTAAATAAATATTGCTGACATAATTTCTTTTAAACTAGAATGTTATCCTCTTTAAGGTTGGCTGGGTTCTCTCGGAGTTGGATAACCTGCAGCTATCACCTTCTCCTCCAGTCTGCATATTACCTTTGGGGACTGGGAACGATTTGTCAAGAGTACTAAATTGGGGAGGGGTGAGTAAATTTTTGCTCCTGTATGGCGGATAGGTTGTACAATATGAAGGTGGTTGTCATTTTTCCCCAATCTCTCTCAGGTTGAGTTTATCAAGCATTGATTTGGGTAAATAAAGCCTGGATGATCTTTTGTGTACTGTAGTACAGAACTGACGGGGTTATAACCAGTGTAAATACATACAATACCATATGTCGTTTACTTTTTCACAGGGTTATACCGATGAACCATTGGAAAGAATATTGAACCATCTCGAAGACGCACAGATCGTTCAACTTGATAGGTCAGTAGTTATAAATACTTCTCTGACAAAAATGTCGATTGACGTGCCCAGTTTTGTAATTTTTGCTATTCTTGATTTTAAGATGGAATCTTCTTGTCACTGGAAACGAACAAAGAGAAAAGCCTGAACCGAATTCTGTTTCAAATGTATGTTTATTTTATTGTCTTATAATAATTAACGATGAGTTTCTTACTCTTAGTTTAAACTGGTTCGCAGCGCTGTTTCCCTGGATGAGACGGTTGATTCACAGACAGTAGATAAACTCGAATCTAGAATATATTGTCATCTTTCAAACCATCCTATAAACATCTCAACTTATTTTTGTCTCAGTAAAACTCGTATCTTTGGATTCAAGTCAAGATCTTCCGACTTGTCGATTTTCAGTTTTTCGTCTTTACCTTGTGAGTCTCTTCTTTTCTTTCAGTTACCGTTGAATGTAATGAACAATTACTTCAGCGTCGGGGCGGACGCCGAAGTAAGCCTCGAATTCCACGAATCGAGAGGTAGGTGTGAATCACCGTTGCCATGGCTATACATCTGATTTTCGTTTCAAATAAAGCGTTCATATCTAGTTCTGCGATATGCCAGAGCACTTTCTTATTTGTTTGTTGAAACTTGAAAGTCCTGTGCGGTAGCTATCTGGTTTTGGCGTTTTGGCGGAAAAACACGTAATTTCACGAAAAGGCAATGTCCTGTCGGGATTTTTAGCTTTTTTTCATTTGATTTCAATTACACGACAAGTCAAAATGTTATAGATATCCGACATTACTGCGTGTTTACAGCTGGAATTCCCATAATTATCGCCAGTTAAACGCGGCCATACACTAGCTTACTTGAGCCTTTCTTCCCTTATATGTGTATTTATTCATGTTTCAGAGGCCAATCCTGATAGGTTTACGAATCGCTTGTACAGTTTATATTTTTACGGAAAGGTAAGACAGTTCAGGGGAAGTGATATTTGACCATGCAGCAATACAAATTCCTCTTAAATTCCGCAGGGTTTTGGAGCCTAGGTTGTATAGAAGGGATTAGGTTATGAGAGCTAACTCTTAATTGGTTAGCCCTTATACAAAAGCGGCGTTGGTCAATAAGAATGATTTATGTCTTTAGCATGGTAGTCGAAGTGTAATACAACGGAGGTCGAGGGATCTTTTTCGCCATGTTAAGTTAGAGGTAATTCAAAAATTCATATCGACGTTTGCTATTTTCGCTGATGACTGTACCCAATAGACTTATGTCGATATATACCGATGAATTCTCCGAAAATCTCTACATGTTTCTATTCCCTTTTTCTTTGCAGTGCGATGGCGTCGATTTGAGTGAGAAGTTAGCGGAGCTAAAACCTCAGTGTCTTATTTTCCTCAATATATCCTCGTAAGTATTGACTAACTCGTTCTATTAAGAACGAAATCTAGATCACTCACTGACTAAGACTGGCTTGTGCATTCGAATTCAGTGATCCGATTTAAAAAAAACTATATACCTAAATATAGACCAAATTCTGACCAATGATCTGGCTCTAATTAACCTCGTCATATTTTCAGCGTTTTGCAACGTTATAAACACAGGATAAGGACTACGGTATAATTTTTCAAATTAGTTATTCATCGGCAAATTTGGGATGAAAACGAGGCTGATAATTACGAATTGTTGTCCAGTCGCCTATAAACGACTGTACAAAACGTTAAGGCGCTAAAATGATTTTTCAATATGCCTGGCCTGCCATTAGCTTTATTTCTAGCGCTATCCTGAACTGACCTTGAAAGTACTTGACTTGTATCCTTGCCTTACAGATTTGCAGGAGGGACGTATCCTTGGGGAAGTCCGTTAAAAGAGTACGAGGTAACGTATTAGTGATAACTTTCCAGTGGGGCAAATTGCGAGGCCATGCTTTCCCATTTTCAGTTTTTGACAGCAAGTGGTTGCAAATGACTCATGCTCATTCCTTCATTTGTACATCATTATTCAACGTAGGAGAACTGGTGAATCCGTCTAAAAGTTAGGACGGTCACAAAAAACGAGAGCATAGCACTTAGCAATTCGGGCTGTAACTGATGAAAAAAGATGCACCTGTACGAATCAATATTTTAGATATTTGGAACGATAAAGCCATCCTTGGGGCTTCGCGTTGCCAAATTCTCTGTATAGAAAACAACCCTGACACTGCATGGGAAATCTTACTGGGCTGAGTGTAGCGCGTACTGTAGCGATTTGCTAAGCGCGTCACCTTTGGCCTAACGATCTGTGCTAGCTCTATGTATGCGAGAGCTCGTTATTTAGCTTTCTATTATCCGGCAGGATTTTACCAGGGAGGTGGGTACTTGGTAATTCGAGATTCCTTCTAAAGAATGCCGCTGCAATTTTCGCTTTTGTAAACGGATGGTGCCATTCATTTGAATGGTCGTTCAGTGTTATTTTCTAGAACGGTCGATCCCCTTTGAAATAGTCGTTGCCATGTTACACAATATCCGAAGTCATCCATTTTAAAACGTAGCAACGACCATTTACCCATATTTTTTCTGCAGGAATTCAAAGGCCAGCGACATGATGATGGCATTTTGGAGGTTATTGGTTTGACCTCGACATCTTTAGTGAGTCATTTGATATACAACGCATGCGTGTACGGAGTACCCTACTTATAGTGGAAATCTAGCATAGGAGAACGCGGTTGAGAACCAACAGTTCGAGCCGGTATAAATGACATGATGTTGGTTTGAATTTTGGTCTAAATATGTCCTTCTCTATATTTTTTACTCTTCTTACTGGACATCGAGTATACGGCGAACAGTTTAGAACTGACCCTCCGTACGTATACGCATATATACAAGCAAAGTAATCTTGCTAATTGATCTGTTCTACAACATTTTAGGCCACGACACGCGTTGGTGGTCACGGCTTGCGACTTGCGCAATGCCAGTCTGCTGTTTTAACAACGAATAAAGACTTGCCCTTTCAAGTCGACGGTGGTAGGTCGAATTCAAAGAAGTGTATGACCTATATATATATGCATATGTCTGGAATGAGAATTTGTGCCTAGGAGAATTTGTGCCTAGTGCCTTATACATATATGCATATGTCTGGAATGAGAATTTGTGCCTAGGAATTGAATGATACAATATGTAGCTCCACTGGGCCCTTTGTCTCGAAATTGGTACCAACGCTTCCACTTCTTTTAGCGCCTCGTTCGCCTTACAATTGCTACTTTAATTTTCTATGTAATGTCTGGAAATCCTGTCGTTCTAAATATTTAGAGCACTTTTTAAAAAAAAACTGATTGGTCATTTAGGGAAAGTTTTAACTATTTTTCAGAGCCCTGTCGTCTCTTGCCGTCTGTCATCAGGATAAACCTGCGGAATCAAGCAAATATGATACAGAAAGTTAAGGTGACTTGAATAAAATTGTTGGAAAGTGTGTTCTGTCCATAGTAATCTTCTTTCACAAAAACATTCGTATTTTGTAGTATTCTCCTTCTTTCGATAGCCATGCCTTTATCACCCCCTCCTGGATAACCCCTTTTAGTAGTGCTACGATTTTAGTCGAAAAAGCACCTGTTTTGTTCGATAACATTCTCAACAAGAACATTAGATACGCCATCCTATATCCTCTCCTATCCCCTTTTCCCCCCTTCTAACCCTTACAAATCAGTCAGGCTGCAGAAACTCCGTGTTTACGCGTAATTGACGACGTGTTTTGCCTAATTATTTTGCAGAAAACGCCGTACAGATTCAACTCTAACCTAGGGTATGAATGGTGAATTATTATAATGGTGACTTAATATACTCGTGCATTCAATAAGACGGCTATTTAACAGCTATTTTGTAACGAACAAGACAATGATGTGTTCATTGAGAGGATGGTCCGTTTAGTTTATTGTCTTTTAATATAAGAATAAGTAACACAAAGTTTGTTCACACGCACTCAATGTATTGTGCATTAATTCTATACAAACTCAAATTGGTGCAAAAGCGTATTAGATCGGATTAGAGAATTAGAACTAAACAAAAATGAATGAAAGAAACAAAAAAGAATTATCATCTACCCTCCTTGACCCCCAGTAGATAATTTCCCCAGAAGTGCATGTATGTGGAAAACCCTTTATCCTGGCTCATCGCGCCTTCCTTTATCGTACATCAGTCGAGTGAAAATAACACTATTACAAATCAACTCCATATTTTGGATCTTTTACTTATTTTTATGTCCCAAATTTGTTTTGAAGGAGTCCCTTGTCTCCTGTGCCGCCAATCAATGCGAAAATTTACGTGACAGAATTTGAAGATTACCAAAAACATTTTCATGACATCAACAAGATTGCTGAAGTTTGTAAGTTGGAAGCGTTTTATTTTATGAAACTAAATTATATTGGTGGTTCTTCATTCGTATATGGGGTCAGTCATATTGTTATATAGTGATTGTTAAATATTAGCAAGTAGATAATTCTTCGTTCCTATTGACTAAATTTAGATGAGGGAAGAAGATGAATAAATCAACTTTTTCGACGTATCATTTAGAGTTGAAACAAATTAAACAATTCATTGTGCCTGTTTCCAATGATCCAGAAACCTTCCCTAGTAGATTATGAAACATCTCGTATTTTCCAAGTGTGGTTCGTTTTTGTTTGAAAAACATTGTTTTCTTTACACCTGTTCCTGTTATTTCTTTATTTATACCTGTTCGGTTATTCTCAATTGGTTCAAGTAAGAGAATTCTTGCTCTGGGGACATCTACATCTACAAATCATGTAGTCAACATTTTTTCCGTATATTTTTTAGCGAAGCTCATGACAACAATTAGTGTTGAATCTCGATGTGACTTGAAGTATTTAAGATTGCTCATCGACGACATACTGAAAAAGGAGGTAATTTCATTATTTTTACACCGTCGAAATCGTCTTCCTATTATCTCGTCCTATTTCATCACGGTTGACAAAATCACTTTGAGTTCAAACATACCCCAAACCATTTTTAACTGTGATACGAGATCCTATTTTTTACTTTAAGAACAAAGAGAGCGTTAAACTTGAGAGCAACTGGTGTTTCCTGGACGGTATGTTTCAATTTTACTCATTTACGGTGGCAATTCGTGAGATCTCCAACAAATTGAAAAGAAATTTTAATATTTTTAATATTTAAAATTTTTAATATTTTTTGCCAAACATATTCTTTTGTGTCGTTTCAATTTGTGGCCGCTGGAAATAAAATCGTCAGGTCTAAATAAAATCGTCAATCTACGCTGCTGATTGTTTTTGCATTACTTTCATCTCCGTTCGCTCAGTATCTCTACTTTCTAACCTGCGAACGGGCATCTTCTCTGTATACGTGATACCACAGCACAACCCGTTGAGCTATATAAATATGTGAAGTTGTAAATTTCTTCCAGAAATTATGACCAACAATGTGTGTGATATTCCTCTGTTCTTCTTTCAGCCTCCTACAGCGACCGAGTTTATAGAATAGACCCTGGACAAGTAAGTTTTATTCGAGAACCTCAATAACATATCAACGATGTGGATTTTCACAAATTTCTAGGGAAGGACTAAGCTCACTTGTCTAACTAGTGCTAATAGTTGTTCGTGATGGTCATCCGCTGTGTTGCATTTTTTGTACAAGGACAAAATATGGCAAAAAATCGACCTCGGAACTCCACGCATACACCCAAATGCTATTTTTCTTTACGAAATTTATTGCGGGCCTGTTTATCGGAAACTTTAGAGAAGAAAGCGAAGTGAACGAGAAATATCCAGATGATGCGTGTCCTGTTCCGTCAAAACCTATATAGAATTTAAAACCTTTCAAAACGTAATCCAAACTCCGCTGTAGATTCTGAGCTAGTGCATCTGCTGCGCGATAAAAATGGATGCGAAATTTCAAAATTTACTAGATGTGGCCGTCACTTTAAATTAAAAATTTACGTAAAAACTAATTCTGTTCCAGGAAGGCCTTTATGACGTGGCAGACATTCTGGAGGATGGAGTATTTATTGTTAAGATAAACGAAGAGGAAGAGGCTGAGAGGTATGGAGACTAAGAATTGTTATCATAATACTCCCAATAGAAAAAGAAAATTTTTATATAACATGTAACCCTATAACTCTGTTAATAATAACCAGCATTTCATAATAATTAATCATAACCAGCATTTCATAAGCTTTAAAATCATATATATAGCATGTTGAAGTTGCTCACATCTATCATTATTAAGAGGCGATACTGCATTATTGCTTTGCGAACCTGATAAGGTGTGCTCCACCCTTAATAAAAATTCGTTAAAACAGTCTTTCGTTCGGAAAACCTCCCACATGCGAACCCTCCCCTCCCCCCAAAAAAACAATATTTCTGCTCTTAAAAATTCTTCTTTAATACGAAATGGTGCGCACAGGTGATGAAAATCTTCGGTTTCATTTCAATTCATTCCAATGCATCTTATTGCAATGCCTGGAAGAAATTAATATGGAATCACCAAGCTGTCCCAATAAGCGCCCCGCCTAATGTGTTTCGAAGAAGAAGTATTTTAGAGATCGCGAGCCAAAGTCAAATTTATAGAAATTATTATTGAATATTTTTGTAGAATAGCCAAGGAGGATGCCTTAACGCAAGGTAAGACATTTAGACAAAAAATATTATCAATGAAAAGGATAAATCCCCTGCATACTAAAACAAAATTAGCCATTTCCCAATCGAAAAGGGTCTAGTCGCGAACCGCAAAGCATCTATGGACTGTTTTGAGGGACAGGAAATATAAGTCTGAAATCATTTGTTCCTCCAAACAGTCCATAGATGCTTTGCAGTTCGCGGCTAGACCCAGTACCCTGCTCGATTGCGAAATGGCTAATTAAAGTACAAGTTTATTATAATACACACAAAATGCCCATAAATGTCAAACGTCTGTAAAAACGACAAAAATTTCAACTTGGGGGCCATTCAAACGACTGTAAACCTTTTTCGATAACGCCCTTATAAAATAGTTTTATTATGTTTTGTATTTAACATGTTTATAGAATTAATCAAGGCTTGCAGCGAGGGAGACATTAGCAAAGTAAGAATTTGAAGCTGTTTACATCTCAAGTTTGCAGTTTTTATAATTTATTACCCAAGCATAATGCCCGTTTCGTGAGCTGGACTGCCTCGTCTATTGTTTTTAATGTATTCAGTTCAAGTAAAATACGGCGAAAAGAGCTTAATGAGTGATACAGGGTGTCGTGATATATAAAGAAGACACGGAAATGAACAGACCTTTAAGCAGGATTATTGAATTTAATTATTCTATCCTCATGTTGTATAAAAGAGCAGTTATTTAGCTTCCTAGTGATACCCTTTTTCAGTTAAGAAGAGCAAGAAATGATCGAATATTTTTAAAATAGAAATTAATGATTAAGATCAAACTTGCCCGATTGAAGGCAACGCGAAGCAAATTCGAATTTATTATGAGCGTTGAAGCAGCGGCCTGCATGTATATAGTGTTGTTCATTTTTTTAATTTAGTGTCCATTTCTTGTAGTTTTCTGTCTTTCTAACTTCGCGTTTTTTGTTTGTAGGTGGAACGTTTTCAACAATCCGGAGTAAGCCTTTCTCGTGCAGATATATATGGCCGTTCACCATTACACTATGCAGTCATCAACAGTAGACAAGCCATTGTGGAATACATCGTGAGTCATGGTAAGCCCAAATTAATAATTTACGTGCACGCGCTGACTGGTCGTTCCTCATTTGTGGGACCTCCATTCTCAAACCGTTTATGAGGTTTTTTCATGTTTTTTTTGTAAATATCAACGCCTTTCAATCCGACTGGTTCCGCAGTAATATTTCCACTTTAATGGGCCGAGGTTTCCTTTTTCCATGCAGGTGCATTAATGAAGGTTTCTATATCAAACTAGTGTGCAAAAAAGTGATGTCGAGCTTCCACCGTATTATAGTAATTTTTCTTTTCCCTTTTTTATTCCAGTCTGTGTTTCTGCGTTAAATCAAGTGGACGACACGTAAGTCGTAGAAAGTTAAAAAAAAAAGAAAATAAAATTGAAAATTGACTGTCTTGACACTCGTCTTGTTTTAATTCATATTAAATTTAAAAATTAACTTATTTTCGAACTTTGCTTGTTTTTGTAATGGAAGACACGAACTTGTCCTCCGCTTGTGGGGATCAAATGGTCTAGTCTGTCAACGTCAATTGTCACAGTGGTTTTATTTGACATTATTTCCTCTCGTTTCAGTGGCCAGACCGCCTTGCATAAAGCAGCCATATTTCGGCAACCCATGATATGCACGATGCTAGTGCATGCTGGTGCTGACATTTCAAGAATGGATTACAATGTAAGAGAAATAGAAACTATACATCTCATGACCTTAATTTTGTGCTTCGTGCGAGTTGAGGTAAATTTAACATGCGTTTTCGTTTTATTCGTGGTAGGGAAATACCGCTGCAATGATTGCAACAGACATGGGAAATACTAAACTTGCAAGTTATTTAACAGGTATGTGCGATTTTAATGTGAAGTACAAAGTTATACTGGACTGCAAAGTTGAGCAGTTTCTCCCGTTTCTTTTTTTTCTGTGTGTAATAATTGTTCAGTGAGAAGTAAATCTCTATGCTGAACTTTTAACTGTTGGAACCGTTTATTTACCTTGTTGTTGTAATGGAAGACACTTACTGACTCTCTGCTCGTGGAGAACTGATTTAGTTTGTAAACGTCATTTGTAGTTTTCTTTGACAGAAAGGAAACATGGAGCGATTGCTTGCTTAGAGAGTAATTGCTAAAAAAATTAACTTCGCATTGGTGTCTTCCTGGTGTAATATTTGATAAATAGGAAATGGCGTCTTATGCAGGACTTCTGGAGTAAAAAGTTTAGCTACTGATAGAAGTATCTATTCAGTTTTTCTCTCCGTAATACTTGAACAATAGCAGATGATCCTCCAGGTCGAAGTAGTTCGGTAGTAGTTCAATGCTGCTACTGAATTACATTACATGCAAACGAAATCCGAGCCAATCCGGAGGCCCCTTATCCCTCTATTGACCTCTTCACCAAGTCCTTTTTATGCCTCTTTACGTTTCTCTTCACACTTTGACATCATTTTTTTTAAGAACATGAAAATTCACAGAAAGAAGACAGCGACGGGCAGGAGACCTCGGTATGACGTCATCGTAAGTAAGGAAACATACACACAACACGTGTCACGTAGGAAAATATTTGAATCATTCTGTGCATCGTTTAGTCAGGCCGTCGGAGGAAGGAACGTGGATTACGAGTCAGATTAGAAGTCACCATGATTTGTGGCTTTATTCGATATTTTACGGCTGCCAAATGCATATCTAAACTTCGCGAGTAAATATCGCTTGTATTGGCAGGTAAATGTCACGTTTTCCTCCGATATGCCAGACAAGAGCTGGACGATATTTAGATGTCGTCTAAATTGAAGAAAAAATTCAGGCTTCGCGTGCTTTGAAAACTTTAAAGCATTAATGTGATAGTCCTCTGCAATGATAAGTATAACGGGTTTAGATCCGACTTTTGCTAAAGAGCGATGGCAACAAATTTTTATTGTCGCATTTCAAAGCAAAATTATGTATTTAGATTTTCACTTCGTCTTTTATAACTTGTGGTTTTTGATGTGACATTGAAATGTAACCTGTAATAAAGAAATTAGTTATCCGCCATTTTGGATTATCGAGGATAAGCGTGATGACGTCAGGTTTTGTATAACGCGGGTAGATCTTGACAGCTAGTGACAAAAATAAACCAGAAACTCGCTGTTGGTGGCTTCGCCACAAGATGCCGGACAATTCAACATAACCCGTTGCAGTCAGTTTTGCAAGGATTCCAATAAAACAGGAAAATTCAGTATCAGGATTTCGTAGATGATTTTAAAGAAGCGATTTGAATTGAGACAATAATTTTTCAGTTGCCATTGTCCTTTAAAGGGACTAAAACCAATCGGATACTTTGCCCAGTAACGAACCATAGTAGCTCATGGTTTATACAACCTTCGATACAAAACATCGTCAACGATTCTCCTCCCGGTGTGCGCCGGAGATTTGAAGAATAACTGACAAACATCTAGGTTTGTGCTATGGATTAGTATTAGGGTGCGTTAGAAGCTAACGTCAGGGTTTTGGTGCGTTGGCGTTTAGCATTAGAGTTAGGGCTGGAATAATAAACCTGGATCACATATCGAGTAGGGTAATTCGAGTATCAAGATGGCGGCTAACTGTATAAAGTTCAGCCATTTAATAATATTGATCAGTGAGCTCTACGAAGATCGAAATGTCGACAACTCAATAACCACGATCTTTTAAACCAATTTGTACCTAAATTGGGCACTAGTTCCAGTCTCTGCTTTGCCATAATCATCCACCGTGAAGACCAAAATAGTAGAAATAGACTGGCACCGGAATCCAATTCACATATAAATTGGTTTCTATGGCGGCGACCGAGTTATCGTTCTAGTTCACTTGGAGTTAATTGTATTCAATTAATATAACCAATATGGCGTCGACGTCTTTCATTTTTGAACAACGAAAATGCACATTGAAGGCCATCCATATCGAAGCGCGTAGGCCTGGAGTCCAGTTCATTTCTTCTTGTGTGCCGCTAAATTGCATGCGCCAGGAGGAGAATCGCGGCGTTCTAACCTTGCAATTTTTAAATGGCAATAAACTCAGCCGTAGCTAAGCCTATTTGAGACCATTCAAAGGCTTCGATTGCTTCACGGACATATGTACCTGGACGTTTTAATAAATAGACAAAATAGTTGCCGTGATTTTTGAAAATCACAACATCTCAGTCGAATAATTTTCAGACTGTTAAACCATTCCAAGAATCGAAGCGGCTGTACAGAATTATTAGTAAATGTTTTAATAAATGAATGTTTTAATCAAACTACGACAAGTTTGCATTTACTTTTGCGTATAGCAGGGGCAGATCCGGACTGATGAAGTCAAAACATCACAACCGCAAACAATTAAATACGACTGAATCGGCAAAGAACAAGCCTAGTCTATGCCTATGGAAAGGTCGGTACCGAGTAAAACGCAATTAAAAAAGTGAAAGTCGAATATAACTGGAATATGGTTTATTCGACTTTGGTTATGCCCGGAAGATGGTATATTTTCGACCTTGCATGGTAACTGAGGACCTTGGTAAGGTTAAATATACCACCGGAATATGGTATGTTCGACTTTGATAAGGTTGAATATACCAAATCACGTATCCCTCTAAAAAGTCCTGCAGTATGGTTCAAAATGTCAGGCATTAGTCAGGCAAAATGTGAATCCGTCGCTGGTGTATTGCGTCATAGTAAGAGGACTGCATGTTAAGGCTAGTTTCCACACAGGAAGATTCTCCTTTTAATCGGACAGGACAGGAAAGTTTCCTTTGTATAAACGCCACCTGAGAACACACCGACAAAGGAAATTTTCCTGTCCGTTCCGATCCAAAGGAGATCTGAGTGGAAACTAGCCTGTATTCAAAAGGACTGTTAATTACAGCGCATGGTTTGTAGCCTTGTGGGGGGGGGGGGCTGGGTGACAATGTCATTCCTCTACTCTCCCACCAGAAGTCATTTCGGTGACATCATTTCGCGACCATACGCTTGGTCGCGTGTAAGCGGCATGCTTTCCAGTTTCTTGCCAGAATCTTCCACCGCAAAGTACCTACAAGTAGAATTGAGTGCTTAATATGCACTTTAAATTGGATTGCAGATTCTTCTACACTATGAGACACCTTGATTATGCAATAAACTAAATGCAATTAATTAAACAACAATGTAAACTTATTAAGCTCGGTGAGGATGGGAAATTGCCAAGGTATGAGAGCCAACGCAAGGACGCATTAAGAGCTGTTGTATTCAGTTATGTGAAACGTCTTAGTTTCCGCATAATTAAATTATAACACACTCACGCAACGACAGGCCAAAATTCAATCGCGCCTATGTCGGATTGAAAGTTCATGTTCAAAGAGAACCATCGTTGTCTCGGATTTGTCGGACAACAAGCATATATAGGCTATAGCCAAAATCGCACTATCATAGAAAATCCGAATTGAATAATTGTTTTCATCGATATTCAAAACGTCGAACAACAATTGAAAGCTGACAATTTTAAGAATATGGATTTTTTGCGTGCTTTTTATAGAAAACAATCAACGACTAGCTACGCTGCATTGGGAATATGATAAATTACATTAAACGTGAACTTATAAGTCTCAGCCAATGAGAGCATAACAACGACTTAAATTATAGTTTCTTTCGGGTCAGTATAAGTCCTTCAGTGCATATTAACTGATTAATCCTGTTATAATACTTGCCTTTTGACGAGGGTCATTAAATCATGCATACATATACGTATGTAATACGCTTATAAGCTCTTGTAAGCATTCATTTCCGCAGAAAGATGGAATCCCTCTTTTACTGAATCAGAAAACTACAAACTATATTGCTGTGCATGCGTCTTGTGGGGCTTTTTATTTATAAAGGTTATGGAGTTCACTGTAAATTTTAGGTTGAATCTCACAACGATTATACTTTTCATTCTTTAAGAAACGTTCCCGTTATATTCACGTGTAGAAATCATCCTAACCAACCGTCCAATGTCGCTATAGCTTAATGTAACCCAATCAACATAACTAGGTTTGGAAAATTCAAAATGATATTTTAAATCGCATGAAATTCCAAACACGCGTGTTTAAAAAGTTGTATCTTTATGATTGTTTGTATATGATCGGTTTCATTTCTTTCAACTTTTTTTTACAATCTCTCTTGTCACTGATCATGAAATACCTCCATCCAATATATGGGCTTTCGATAATTTTCGGATTAAACTTGTTCAGAGATTATCCCCTCTTTTTGCGTGCAATATCCAAGTTCAAATGAAATAAAAGGTTTTTGTGTAATTGAAATCAGGTAAACATGGAAGCATTTTTTCGTGCTTGTTTCACCGACATAAATTGGTTTTTCCATATCGTACATCCTGTTTGGTTTATACTATATTGTATTTTCCCTTGTGTTATGACAATTTTACTATATATTTTTTCATTTTCTTGTATATATCGAAATTTTAACTGCTTTTTCAGCTCGAGGCCAAAGACGGCACGTCAATTGCTGCATAAATCTTCTAGGACTTTTTTTTATCTATAAACCTATTAAAACCTTACAAAAGGGATGGGAAATTGGCAGTTAGGAAGTGCGATATGTGAGCTGCTATTATGGGAATTATTTTTTATCAATTTTACGTCATATTTTTAAATCGTCCACCGGAATTCAAGGATTTCTTATAGTTTTAGCGCGAGTCAACTCATCCATCGGACATTGTTTGGATAAGCTCTTTCAAACATCTTTTTTTATACTAAACTAATTAGCCTGAACGGACACAAAAACTATAGGCTCTGTTATATGGAAGATCGGACGCAGGAAATTGTATAGTTTGTATGCTTAACATTTTTACATCAGATTGCGAGGCAGGGTCTATAAGCGCAAGCCAACTGGAAGTATATATATATGTATACGTTCTCATTATCAAACTTAATCTCTTCTAAAATGTAATGATAATAGAATTTTCAATAAGGATTTTTCTGCCCCCCAAAGAATGGGACGACATTTTCGTTCGGCCAACCTCATGCAGGTATCCATTTGTTTATGTTCCCACCCCGAAAACTTTGTGTCAACCTGCATGGTATTCCATGTATGCACGCACTGTTTGGATTTCAGTTTGAAAAACTATATTAACACAACCCAAAATTGCTTTCCATGTAAACAACTAGAAGTTTAACTATTTGCAAGATTTTTGAACTTTGGTAACGTCCGAAGATGTTCCTGGAACTGGTTTTAGATGTCGTGTCAACTTCGACGATTTTGTGGAAATCCCCCTTGTTTTGTGATCTGCGTTAATCTTTTAAAAAAATTCATTTGCTAATCTAATTACAGTTTTATATGAGAATAGAGGTAAATGCAAATATATATAAATATATATGTATTAATTTCTCGTACTCGAAAGGTGCTTTATCCCGCCGGGTCAAACGGATGGTATACGTCATTGCTCATATACCAGCCAAATCGTTTTAAAATCTTTCCTGCACTAACCCGGTTATAACCAGCTTATCGAAGCTGATTTTATAAATTTAGCTATGTTTATGTATACAAAGTAAGAAATATATATCTATATAGCATATCTTTTATGCTTATATATATAGCATACAATTTACAACAACTGTATTGATTAGGCACTCCCAAAACCAAAAACCATTTTCTTTAAGAAAAAGTAACAATACAAGTTCATGAAGATTCTTTTTTATGTAAATAGCCTCTTGGGACACCGATTTTAATTGTTCTATAGGTCCCCAAATAAATATGGTCTTGGCTACGCTCAATGCTGCGAGAATTGCTTTTATCAGTAAAACGTATGCTCGCGTGTGTATTTGCTTCCGCAATGGAAGTTAATGTTGTTTATACAGACACTAAGATAAACGTCTCAGGGTAGTTTTCTCACCAAAACCGAACTTGTTGCTTGGATTTTAATCGTAAAACAGCGGTAAGAGTTGCCACCGAGGAGAAGGCGATTTCCTGGTCACGAGACCACGTCATTTCTTCACTGAATTAATCCATTTAGATCTCTTTTAAGTGTTTATGATCGCGTGGGCATTCATTTCCGCAGTACCCAACCCGTTTATGCAGGAGGAAATCTGCACTATAGCTATGCACTAATGTCTATATCGCTCCTTGGCTAATGTAAACTAATTCGATTTATAATGAGGATGAGCAATCATTCGCAGTAATTCGACTTTACATGATATTGTTACACTTGAAAAGATGTTTTTATATTTTTATTCGAATTATGTTATCTTACGGCAAAATTAAGATGCCTAAGAGATTTGTTCTCTAAGCGCTGTCAAAGGTTATGCGTGTTAGGAATAAATGAGCAAAATATGGCGGAATGTTTTACCCCACTTGTCAAAAGAATCGATTTCTTTAAAATGGCATGTTATTTGAATGGTGAATACGTTTTGCACATTTTTTCAACCGTGATGAAAATGCTTTTAAAAAGCCATATGAAGCTACATGTATCAAATTATCAATTATTATTATTATTATTATTATTATTATTATACTTAAGATTGTGAATTTCAAACTTGGCTATTCCAAAGGCAAAGGGTGAATGAGTTTTTAAACTTTGAAATATTCACTATCAAGTGGATAACGTCCCTTTCGAAAAACCGGCCCAGGACTCCCAGAATTTGCGTGGGGAATTTTTTTTTGGAAAGAATGGATAAAAGATTGCTATTCTTCCTAGCGATAGATTTTTTTAAAGGTGGAACTGCCAGGACCGTTCTGGTGAACTCAGAAACTCTACGAGTACTTCAAATTGGCAAGTGAGAGTCTTCATTCAAAAGCCCACGGAATTTATTTCTCCACCACACGAGACTCGAGAGAGAATCACAACGCAAGCTCGATAAATATGCTCGCAAAACATCTGTACTATTTTAAGCGTTTAGGCTGTCGTTGACGTCCTGTCAAAATAGAAAGAAATCCAAACAGAAAATCAAATTTCCTGCCCTCACGCTGATGTAGGTTCGAGCGTGCGTTTAAGGGATTGTTTTTTGAAACAATTTATCGCACTGCTTGAGTATTTCCCGTTGGGTTCTAAACAATACACAAGGGAATAATATTCTTGTAAGTTTGCATGGTGACTTGCCCCCAATAAGTAAACTAGCTTGCACTGATAAATTTTGTTGGATCCAATTCACTTCTGGCGTATGGAATATAGTCGGCAATTGATGAAGCAATAGTGCATTGGCTTCAGTGGATTTGCTGCTCATAAACATTACAAGCCAACAGACTATAAAACATCCATAAGAAATGAGTTGGGTC